CATCTGGGCTTCATAACATATTTTAGAGGTGACCTAAATAGTTAAGGCAAAGTATGCCTCCTTAAAGAAAATGTTTGAATTTAAAAGCAAATGAGGGCTCAAGACTGTTCATAGCATTATGCAACTGTGTGGCATTGCATACTAGAAGCTGTCTCTTAAAATAGGAGAAACCTTGTCCCTGCAGGGCTGGGGAGATGTGTTGAACTTCTTAGTGTTTGTCAGCATGGCAAGTTTTTGTGCATGGTGCTACTCATGTATGTCATCCATGTACAATTATATCATTACCCATTACAAATAAGAAAGTAAAAAATTGATAAAAGCTAAAATTATAGTAGAAAAAATCAAAATACAGTCTGGAATATCTATACAAAGACAAGTCTAACCCCTTGGTATGACTTTATCTTCATTGCAAACATGTAAATATCAAGATATCAAGACCAGTAAAAAGAATTCTTTGGTCGAATAAAAATAGTTCAAAGTATCGATTTAAAATCTATTTACATAGCCCAGACAGTGTTTTTCTCTAGGCCTAGGTGTCTAATTTTCATTAAATTTGTTTATCATTACTGCAACTGTGTCATTCCATTAAATTTCCAAGGGGCATATGCATTACTGACAATGTATGGCACACAGCATCTAGTTCTCTTTGCTCACTTTTACAAAGTTTTTTTCACTTGTTTACTTTGATTTACTGACCTTCATAGATTGCTGCCTAAATTGCATATGAAGCAAATTTTTGTTTCATTTTTCTGGCTGGTAGTTGTATTTAAGGTTTGAAATTATTGGTCTCAGTTCCTGGTGACTCAGTGATCATTTTGTACGCATAAAATGTAATAATTTATACACTGTTGTACATTAAAAATTTAAAATACAAAATACTTAGAATACTGAGGAATAGTTCAAATGAAGAGCAGGAGGCTAAATAGCCGCCAAAGTTGGATTGGGATTTTGTGACTGGGCAATATGTATTGGTCAGCATACGGAGTACCATGTTCAGAAAAGCAGGCTTTGTTTTTGATTATAACTTTTTCCATTTCTGCTTGGATGGGCGCTGGCACTTCTGGTTTCAGAGTGGGACTTTCAGTGATGACTTCGATGTTCCCTTATCGAGATTCTCTATTATTTTGTCAAGGTCAGTTTTTATTTTCTTTGCAATTGTTTGTTCTCCAGAGTTATTGCACACTCAAGGTTTACATAAATTTTTTGGGAGCATATCTGGTGTTGTATCCATGAATACTGCTTACATATTGAAAATGACTTTGGAGTAGATCCACTTAAGCAGGCCTTTCTGCCATAGATGCAAAAACTTTAAAGCATTGTGTTGATACAAATTATCTACTGTTAGAGTATCTAGAATGCTGAGCAGATGGAGGGTGCTATCTGTTTGTTTATACCAATAACAGTGTGACAAAACTTCCTCATCTTTGTCCTAAAGTGATCGATCAATCATTGCCAAGAAGATACACATGTAAAATGCATCTTCTGCTCTTCTTTGTCAACCAGTGTTTAGTTGGCAGTGTGGCTGTCACTTGGGATTGAGATTGACAGAGTATTCCGTGATCAATCACAACTATTCTCTTGAGGGAAATGGTAAGTGAGTTGGCACAACTCTTGCATCTCCAGCGTCAGAACAAGTCATGTAAAATACCATCTTTCTTTTGTTGTATTGTGAACCACTAATTACCCGGGGAGTAACTGAGTTGATAAAGATTATGTCAAGTGGGAAGACAGTATTGAAAGGAAGAATGGCAATTTGCAAATCCTGAAAGGTTTCTCTCAAAGACTAACAGAACTCCCTATAAAGGTGTTTTATAAGTGAATAATAATTGAAATAAAATATTTGGATGGATGTGGTCTTTTGGCTGGGTTGACTGAATTTGTGAGGAAGCTGAATCCATGTTTTACCACATTGGTTGACATCAGTAGCATTCTTATGAACCTTCAATAAAATTTCCCCTAAAAGTAGCTTGGAAAATTTGACTTCAGATGATTTGAGATCATTGAAGCTATGTTTCTATGCATCATGACTGCCTCACTGCTGGAAAAGTTGCCACCTCCCATGAGGGTTATATTCAGTGCCTAAGAAGCATCCCTTGGCACATGTAGATTTATTGAATTTTGGATCAAAAACCATAATTGAAATTTGAAGTTTTTCCGATAGGAGCTGTCAAAGAAGTACACATTGCTCACACAAAATGCTTTCAAGTTGGAGTCCAATGTTTTATGAACAGTTACAAATGTAAAAACGACAATAAAAATGCCTTTGTTCATTCATTAATCTTCTCAAAGTTTGGACCATAACACTTGATGACAATTCTTTTGTTAAATTTTCCCTACATTGTGATTTTGAAGATATCTCTTCCTTGCCCATTTTTTGATGTATGGAGACCATGACTATGCATGATTGTATTAGTATATTAATAGAATCACCCTCATAAGATTGTGAAGATCCTCATCACTATTCAAAGCTGATGTAATGCTTGCCAATCAAGCCAAGTATTTTCAACTATAAGGGGTTATTTGAAATGTGCAGTAGTACATCATCATAGAATAATGTACTTTTGTTCTATGCCACTATCCAGTTTTTGTTCAACTGTGGACAGTTTGTTCTGACTGGTTTCCAAAATTGGACTTTCGCCTGAGATCTGTGAACTCTATACTTGTTGTGTAGCACTTGTTATACTTGTTGTGTAGCACTTGTTATACTTGTTGTGTAGCACTTGTTATACTTGTTGTGTAGCACTGACAAAACAAAGGTTAATTATATAAGTGAAATAAGGTTGTGTTTGATCAAAAGGATATTCTTAATCGATCATCAAATCGTTTTAGGTTGTGTTAAAAAATAAATCAGTCAGGGAAAAAGTTATTCTGAAGATATAATAAAGAAAGAATAAGAATTAAGGAAAAATTATCAGTAACTACTACATTACAAGAGTATTTAAAAAAAGGCTTGAGAATTGAGGTTACCAATTTCAAGTGGTTTGAGCTTTTTAAAGTAGGAAACACTCAAGTTAACCTCTGATCCAGTGCTCTGATCAGTGTGTATGTATCGGAATGTAAACAGTTTCATTTCAAATCACTCATGATGATTTGATTGTATGCAGAGCATGTCAAGTTATAGGAATTAGCCATGACAAAGACGAGAATTCATCTGAAAACCAAAAATGCTTCAACAGACTATAGCTCATTATCATGTTATGGAAGCATCTGTCAAGAATTTGAAGGTCTTTCAGAACACACTCACAAATTTCAAGTCTGGCAACAACCCAAATGTTTTATTCACATTATAACATTGTTTATTCGACAATAGAAAATCAAAGTCAATAAGAAGTTAGCTATAAAAGTTTTGAAACGAAACAAACAGTTTTATTAGATACTATTAGTGCATGCCTGTTCAGCCATCCTTCTGTTACAGAGATAACTGTCAATAGCTTTACAGCAATCCACAGCAGTTCCTGTTGTGTCAACATCAATGGAAGAATTTGAATATAATTGGTTCGATCTTTTTCATTTAACTGGACCTAAGGTAAGTTTCTTCCCTGCCCTATTTACATTTGGTCCATCTAATTCCTGTGGTAAAAAGAAAAGCTGCACAATATGTATGGCAAAATTCTTATTGAGGGTCGACTTAAACTGCAGTGAAGGAGGGTATCCTCTGAAGTTTCCTCCTCTGATGGCGCACAGTTAGGTGCTGAAGTTCTCATCATTAAATTTCATTTAAGGATACTGGAATATGAGCAGCATCTTGCAGCACTGAACAAACAGATGCAAAGGTGTATGTTTAATTAGCTCCATTGGTTTTAATCATATGTGGACAAACTTGACTTAACCGATAAATGTTTCAAGATTTTTTTTTTTTTGTATATTAACTTGGGCTGTGTTGAATATTGAAATAAACTACCAAGTCTCTTTTTGGATCATACATGTATGTGTAGAAATAATTTTGTGATCAAGTTTAATGTTATGTTGGTGGAAATTAAGTGACACTTTGTTTAGATACTGCACCATAATGGAAGAAAGGTTGTATAACCAACATCTAATTCTGAAGAAATTGTTTGAGTAACAAGTTTAGTTTTAGTTTTGACTAATTTTTCCACTAGCAACACTCTGCTTAATGGCCTTCATGACATCACTTGAGCAAATCTCACCCTTCATTATCAACAGTTGACTTTGAAAGTCCACAATAGCAAAACCTGTGGTCACAATCTCAAACTCTCCTAGGAATGTAAGAATCGCTGATATTCCTCTTTTTGATGTAATAAGCAATGCTGTTGGGGTCCCTCTCTCTCAGGCACATCATGTGGACAAATTTGTGTTTAAACACTCTCCACCACTGTAAGCTCTTTTTGGCATTGCATTTGTTTTCCACATACTAAGCCAGCTTAACATGCTTTGTCTCTCTACCCTGCATTGAATTGAGGCCTAATCCATAGCAAAGCCTCAGATGTTAAACTTCCTGTCCAGATGTTACCCTTCGTGTCCAATTGTCCTCACGGTAGAAGTGACACCATTAAGCAACAAATAGTTGGCATTGAAAAAGTGTTGGCATGAGGTCTTTAGCTTTTCCACTTGCTCAATGTGCACCTCGACTGTTGAGTAAATAGAAACTGCATCTGAATTTGACGACAACAAATGCCAGTGTGAAGTTTCACAACTGACCCCTTTGAAAGAGAGTTGATCTTCAGAAGTTCCTATATCAAAGAGGCAAAATGCCAACAAAAGTACTGATTCAAGCCTTGTGAATCCATACGAGAATGTAATACTTTTCTTTTGCTTCTCAGTGAACCACCAAAGAAAGGCCTTGTGTAATCTCCCATACTTGACCTTGTCTTCCAGGCACTTCAAAACTGCTAGCAGAGGGGAACTGTCTAGAAGATCAGAGACTGTTGTTTCTGCCTTGAGGTGACTCTGGTTTGTGTACTGCATTACAAGAGAGTGCAGCTGAAAACCAGTTCTGCCAAGCATTGTTTGTGTTATGTAAAGGCTCCACCTTGAGTAAATCAACATACTTCCCCGACAGAGGAACAAATTCTTGTCTCAACTTGTTTTGAGCAATAAATTTGTAATATGACTTCTTTGTTTGCCCATGGGATCTTTAAGTCTTTCCTTTGACTTTTCCACTTTCTCTGCAATGGCCAGTCTCTCAATGTACTGCCATGGTTACCATGTTGCTTTAGGGCCACCAATAAAACCATGACTCCCTTGTGTGTTTGATAAACATTGGCAAAAGGTGGAAAGTAGGTTGCACAATTGTTTAGTTCTCGTAAGTGGGATGAAATCCATTTCATGTCAGATGGTATCAGTTCAAATTTGAACACAACCTGCTCTCCTATCTTAGTGTTCAATGTCTTCTCTTCAATCTGTTCCATTTCTTCCCTCAAGTGATTTGAGTAAGATTTCATGAGTGGATGATCTTCTTCACAGTTGGCCCCAAGGAGTAAATTATTATCATCACAACTTTGTACTCTGTTCAGCGGGTTGAGAAAGCTAACAAAGTATGCAGTGACTGTGTCATCCTTGCCAAATGGCGCACCATCTGCCCCCACTGCCACATACAGTACTCCTTACTCAACCTAACCAAAAGATCACATCCATCAGAATAATTATTATTTTATTTCAATCACTTTCTACTTACAAAAGACCTTTATAAGGAGTTCTGTTAGTTTTTGAGGGAAAAAATTGCCAATTTTTTCTTTTAATGTCGTCTTCTCACTTAACATAATCCTTTATCAACCCATTAACTAGCCAGGTGCTGAGAGGTTCACAATACAACGAAAGAAAGATGGTATTTTACCTGACTTATCCAGGCGCTGGGGATGCAAGAGTTGTGCCCACTTACCTACCATTTCCCTCCAGAGAATAATGGTGATTAACCTTAGAATACTCTGTTAATCTCAATCCTAAGTGACAGCCACATTGCCAACTAAACACTGGTTGATAAAGAAGAGCAGAAGATGTATTTTACATGTGCATCTTCTTAGCAATTATTCATTGCTCACTTTAAAACAAACGTGAGGGAGTTTTACCTCACTGTTTTTGATACATTTCATAACCAAACAGATACGCCCTTCATCTGCTTAACACTCTAGAAATTCGAACAGTAAATGTGTATCAACACAATGCTTTAAAGGCTTTTCATCTACAGCACAAAGGCCCGCTTAAGTGGATCCCTTCCAAAACCATTTTCAATATGTAGGTTAAATGCAACACCAGATATGCTTCCCAACAAAATTTGTGTAAACCTTAAGTGTGCAATAACTCTGGAAAACAAACAGTTGTCTATTCAGGAACTAATCTTTATGACTAAATCCCTCTAGACTTATTATAACTTAAAATGTATATGCCCTTTGCAGATTTAAGAGATGGATATAGTTGTACTATTGATAAACAAATTTGATGAAAAGTTTTTACATCTATGACACAAAGGCCTACCTAAGTGGATCCCTTCTGAAACCATTTTCAATATGCAAGTAGTATTCACGGATACAACAGATCCCTTGCAAAATGGATTTTGGAATTCCTAGGAATTCATAGGAATAAAGGTGTGAATTTCCATGGTAAATTCAGACTGGGAATTTCCAACCATAACAACTCTGGTTCTAAAAACCTTGAAATTCCCAGAAATTCCAAGTTTATAGCCAACAAGACTTGGAATTCCTTGGAATTCCAACTCAGAGAACCAATGGCTTTCCCTGAAAAGCTGTAAATCTAAAAAATTCCTAGGAATTTCTGGGAATTTTAGGAATTTCTAGGAATGTTTAAGAATTACTGGGAATTTTAAGCAAAAATTTGAGGCTAATGATATAAAATAAATACTTTAAATTAAAAAAACTCAGTTAAAATTCAAGTATTTAATGAAATTTATTAACAAGCTTAATGAAGGCTTACATGTAAAATATTTTTGATTAATTATTAACATCAACATGTGGTAATATTAAGATAAATAAGGATATTTTTCTTTTCTTGAAAACTTCATACGGATTAATCCTCAATTGCAGTTATTCATATAAAATAGTCCTAATCAATCATTAAATTTGGTTTGACACAAATTGTGAATAAAATCTGTTGATTCTTTTCCATAAAATACAATATCTTAAATTATATTTGAAAACCAAGCACTCTTAGGAGTGAAGGGGTTAATTACAGTTAAATAGAATTGATTTTTTAATTAAAATCTTGTAACTGTAACAATAAATTGGAATGAAGTTATCCTAAACTGCAAACTTAGCTGCTGTTTGTATTTTTTCCCCTGGGCTCACAATAAGTTGGCCTTGAATGAGGTTGTCTACAAGAAGCTTGACCATTTTGTATCTGGATTCCATGACATCTGAATTTGAAAATAAAATATTACATAAAATATATATATATATATATATATATAAAGCTCAGACCAGGCCTTTAAGATAGCTATAAGGAAAAGGGCATTCATTGGATTCCCAAACTGAGAAATCTCTGTTATATTGAGTGACTTTTATATTGGAGTTAGTGCATCTCTCCCATAGATTTTGCTAAAAAAAGGGCAGAATACATTATTTTGTTTTTACCAAGGAGGGCTTCTTTATGTAATAAGGTTTGTTTAATAACAGTTCCTATTATGAATCTTGAATGTTCCCAAACCTGACTAAAGGAATCTTGTAACCTTACTGATAGATTTATTTCATTGTAAAGCATATAAGTTTAAGAAACTGCGGCATGCAAGTGACCGATTCGATTATCAGAATTATTCTAGTTTCAGTTGCGCCGAGCGTTATGTAAGCTTACTTCAACCCGTTAATCTAATCTTTTATAAGATTTTGATCACGTAACGAATGTCGCAATTTTTACTCACCACAACCTTTCAAAATCGTAGCTTTACAGATGGCCACTCGACCCTTGTTTGTACTAGTCAATATGTCAATTGTTGTCCCTTCTTTTAACTCCACGGCGCCAACGACTTTCTTTTCTTTTACAACACTCACGCGTTCTCGTTTTCCCATTGAACCACAATAAAAGCTATCTTTAGAAATGTTATATTAAGCAAAACAGTTGAGGAAAGCGATCAACCGATGAAAAGTACATTCAAAGGTAAGCGCCAAATGGAGTCTTCTTTGTTTCCGATCAAGGGCATGATCACGTGGATCTTTTAGGACTTGTCATTGGCTAGCAATATGAATCCCCTGGCTTGCCGATTGCAGTGTTAATAGAAGCGCACAACTTTATTGTGACTTCTCCGACCAGTTCTCTGCTTCTGGACGATGGATACCTTGGTGATATAAACAATGATATGAGCTCACTCTATGTAGAAATAACCGACAAGAATCGATCGTACTATAAATGCACGATTTGTGATTTTTGTCACGTTTGAATGAAATAAGTGGGGGTTGCGAAAAGATAGTGCCAGTCTCTGAATCGTTTTGGAGTAATTTAAAATTTTTAAGAATGATAGATTTAACTGCGTGGTTGTAAGGGTGAAATGTAAGAGTAAATGGAATGCGGTCAGTGTTCTCCTTCTCGGCCGTTTGTAGTGCTGCCTGTCGATCGATTTGTTGGGCACGGTGGTAGCCCGCTTGAACGACAGAAACAGGATAGCCGCGTTTATCGAAAAACTGGCACATTGCCTCTGATTTTTCGGAAAAATCAGAGTCGTCACTACATAAACGACGAAGTCTGAGAAACTGTGAAAAAGGTATGGAGTTCTTGACGTGTGATGGATGTGAGGATGAATACAACAAGTAACTATGTGAATCTGTAGGTTTGTAGTAAACACTAGTACATAAGCTGTTGCCTTCAATTGAAATTTTGATGTCTAAAAAAGCCAAAGAAGTGTCGGAAATTTGCCAGGTATATTTAAGAGCCGGATGAAAGGAATTGACGGCGGTTATAAATTGAGTGAGCTCCTCCTTGGTAGAGGAGGTAGCGCCGATGCAATCGTCAATGTAGCGGCCGTAGAGTTGAGGTTTTGGGCCGTGGTATTGGCTAAAAAATTGATGTTCGATAAAACCTACAAAAAGATTGGCGTAGCTGGGTCCCATTTTAGTACCCATGGCCACGCCATTAGTTTGTTTGTAGTAGTTACCACCGAATGAAAAACAATTGAGTGTGAGTACTAGTTCGGCCAGACGGAGTAGTGTTTCAGAGCTAGGTTCCTTAACAGTGCGTAGATCAAAAAAATGTTTGAGGGCCCGGAGACCTTCGTCATTGGGAATGACAGTGTAAAGAGATGTTATATCCATGGTGAAAATAAGTTTGTTTTGGTCAAGGAAACTAAAGTCACGAAAAATTTCAAGTACGTGTTGGCTGTCCTTAATGTAAGACGGTAGAGTTTTGACGATAGGTGCCATAATTTTGTCTAAATAGCTGGAAATAAGTTCAGTGAGACAACTGCAGGCAGAAACGATGGGTCGACCTGGGTTGTTAGGTTTGTGGATTTTAGGTAAAAAGTAAATACATGAAGTTCTAGGAGTTGTAATGATGAGATTTTTAGCAGTGGCCGGCAATTCTTGTTTAGCTATAAGATCGTTAATCGTATTTTTGACAATGTTTTGGTTAATTACAGTGAGGTCTTTGTCGACTTTGGCATTAAAGGAGGTGTCAGAGAGTTGCCGCAAAGCTTCTTTTTGATAGAGGTCGGCCCGCCAAACAACAACTGCGCCGCCTTTGTCGGCCGCCTTAATGACAATGTCTTTGCGTTTTTTTAGACCTTTTAGTGCCGACCACTCTTCCGAAGAAAGATTGGAAAATTTGGTGTTACGATTGAATTTAAGTTTGTTGATATCGTGGCGACATTGAGAAGAGAAAAAGAGAAGAAGAAGAATTTCTGAAGTTGAAGAAGAAATTCTGAAGTTGACTTATTGGTGGTGCCAGGATCTCGATCAGAGACAAATCTCGATCTCGATCAGAGACAAATTAAAGAAGCGTGCCGATTTCAATGATGGCAACAAATTCGTGTTTTGATTTGTTGTGCAGGGCGGGATTTTTTCTGTGAGAGTTTATTGTTAATTGAAAGCGTTTTCGCATTTTCAATGTATGAGCTCTTTTAAGCTGACATGGCATTATTTTGAGCGATGTTATGTGTTTAAGTGAAAAAGGGCGTTAAGAGTAGGGTTAAATTTTTTGCGCAGTCATGAACGATAAAGGGATTCAAGTTGCAATTGGATCAAAACGTAGAGAAACCAGTGCTGGTGGTGAAACCGAGACAACATCACAAATAAAGACAGAGGATCGAGGGACGCAATGTGGAACGGCGTTAAGTTGCAGCTATGGACGCAACCGCGAACACCAAAAATGGTGTTATGACGATCTAGTAGCGCGTATGCAAGATAAAGAACTGTTTGTGTATTGGCTAATGGAGGAAGGACTTTTGGCGAAGGAACGTTTGTGCCCGATTTGCGCTGGAGAAATGAGTTTGAGTAGGTGCGAGGATCGATCGGATGGTTTCAAGTGGGAATGCAGAAAACAAGTTAACTTTAAGAAACACAGGGCAGAGTTGTCGATACGGAAAGATAGCTGGTTCGAAAAGAGCAGGATGACGTTAGAAGAAATTCTGAAGTTGACTTATTGGTGGTGCCAGAATCTCGATCAGAGACAAATTAAACATGAACTTGGACTTGGAGAAAGCACGGGGGAGGACTGGGACAGTTTCTGTCGCGAAGTATGCGAAATAACACTTCTTGAAAATAGCGAAAAACTAGGCGGAAAAGGAAAGGTTGTTCAGATAGACGAAAGTAAATTTGGCAAAAGAAAGTACCACAGAGGACATCACGTTGAAGGGCAGTGGGTGTTTGGAGGTATAGAGGAGTCATTTTCAGATACTTTATTTACAAGCGTAAATGCACTCACCATTCTCGCTTTCTTGATCGAGGCGGCCGCGGCGCACGGCCAATGATCCTCTTCTGACTCTCGCGCTCTCTTCTAGGTTCGTCCTGAGAATGGAAATCGCGACAGCCTGATTTTACTAACAAGTTCATAAACCCTTTCATTATGTTCACCTTCCATCGAGGCCTTAAAACTCAGACCCCGGAATCGAACTGCTTTCAAACGAGTTACTATCCGCCATATTTAATTTGCTAAAGAACACACGTGTGACGTATAGGGCCACATGATCAAAATCGAAGCGATTGCGGCTAAGCTGGATTTTGGGACAGTTTTCCCGCCGGAAAAAGAAAACTCAAAGAAGCTTCTTGTATCTGTCTCTATATGATACCTGAAGCATTTAGACGGTATTCCCAAAAAGTGACCTTTTAGCCGTCAGTTACCCTTTAATGGCCACACTTTGTATCATGTAACCAATCACATATAAAGTACACAAATTGATATTGGATCAACTCTCTAGAAGCAGTGCTTACTTTAATGGACAGAAAAGTTATCATAATGAAAAATGGAAAATAAATTCATTTTGTATTCAAAGTCAGGTAACAACAGGAAAAATCATGGCAAATGTTTAAATTACTATGACTCTTTTCTCTCGCAAGTAGAGTGTCCTTCAAGTCTTTAATTTCAGTCTGGAGAGACTCGTTTTCCTTTTTATGCTGAATGCGTAGATCGTCCATTTTATTTATTATTTCAAAAAACGGCGAGAGTTGCGCTAATAAATATGAGGAACAATCTCTGCTGTTTCCAGCGTTTTCTTCGTCCACTCACTATTGCGTTGGTCCGCACCGACCACCAGCCTGGATTAAAGTTGGAAAAAATAGATATCTTACCTTGGTATTGTTGTTCAAGGACTGCCATCTTTTCCTCCAATTCTTTATCCTTCTTACCCTAGTTCAATAAGATTAAGTACATTTGACGTTTTATATACAAAACATTGTAACATATAATATTATAACATAACATATCGAGCCAGGACGTTTTAAAGCACGCCGACCATGAGAACTCTGCAAAGGTGCATAACACAAAATAAATGAAATTTGAGTTTTCAAACAACAAAGACCGGGTGTGTTGCAAAATCAGCTATAATTTAGTCTGATTTCTTAAATGGTTAAATACTCTTCATAACAAAATCATCACCAAACTAACCTTTAGAGCCTGTTTTGTTTACTTGTTATAGATGGGGGAATTTTTTTTCGCTTTTTCCTTCAATAACGTTGTTCAAAAGTAAACGAAATCGGTGCGTCGTAGTTGAAGAGCATTTCCGCGCGCTTGATTCATCTCAAGATTGAGTACAAAAGTAAGAAAGAAAGAAAAGGCAAAGTCCTAAACTTAAATACTGAATGGCATATTGTCCCATCAGTCTCCTCAACTCTAAACAGTCTTCAAATAATGTATTAAAAGAAGAGAAATGTAAGTTAGGCATCTACCTTTTTAGTCATCTTGCGCGCCCCGAATGATTCCTCCATCGGATCTAAGTTATTTGTTGGAAGATCTGTGAACCAAACATTGGCTTTAGAAAGGACATCCAATGAGCTGGTTGCGCGTTCATTGTCTTCTTCCCCAGTGAACTGTTTATACACGTAGTTTATCCACGAAGTGCTCATGTTTTCCCCTCCAAGATATACACGTTTCACTCGAAATTGCAAATGATTTCTGTCTGAGAAGTTGTTATGGTTACGCGCAGTAAACAATTGTATCGTCACGATGTCGTAACAAAACAATACTATTACTTAGTAAAGATATGCGAGAAGCCTGGGTCGTAGCCAAGAATTTTGCGCGCAAGAATTTAATTTACTTCACTCAGAGTTACCCACTTCATTGTTTCCCGATCTCATTGACTTTTTCTCTCCGGATATCTAACGCTTTTTAAAGGAAGCGAATGGTTGGAAACATGAAATTCAGCTTTCTTCTCAACAAACAACTCATTCACTCAAAACCACTGCAGATGTATTTCGTTCCATGCAGATTGTTATCTTGAGCCAAGAAGCGATAGTTCAGCTGGTTTAGCCCGAAACTGAATCCACAATCGCAAGTGTGGTTTTGCTCGGGAATTAAATGAACAATAGCCACCATTAGGCGCGAAAATATGCACGGATACTCGTCCAAGGGCATTAGCCGTTCCGAAATACGAACAGTTGCCTGTGTTCTCTGGTACCGCGGTATGAACAAACAAATTTGTCCCTTCATTTTTAATAATAGCTGAGTGCTCTTACGTCTGTAATAAAATTTTCAACGAACTCTTTTATCGTGGTAGTTATACCTTTGAAAATTGGCGAATGTCACTCAGAGCATATCCTCTGATATTCCCAGTATTAGCGGGGCATATTCGATCACGAGATGTGTGCGCGAGCAAGAATATTTGATGGATTGTAACGATCGCTAATCGAAAACTTTTCAAATCTGATTACGACTGAATTTACTCGCGCATACCAACAAAGCGAACTTTCTTTAGTTGGGTTGAGAAACTGACTTTTTGGCTGATGGAGTGAAATTGCGCCACTTAAGCAAAATGAAATTATAAGGTAATATTTTTAGCTGTTATCTGCAGTTTGTCTAAAGTATAAGGATTCATTTTTGGAGAATTTAATTGATCTCTTGCGAAGAAAGCTGAATTGAAGTTTCCAACATTTTATTTCGTTTTAGAGCCTTAGTAATCTGGAGAGGAAAGTCGATGAAATTGGATTCAAAATCTCTGGAAAGAAGCAGGAATTCAAACAACGAAATGGAGGTACAATGGTTTTATTTCGAATTACATTTTACTTTTCGCTCGCTACACACTTTGTTAAAACCACACTATAACGTTCAAACTTGATGGTCCGTTGCACCAAATTCAATACATTTGCACAGAGCTCAAAAAAGTCACAAGCAGTGACCGTAAATCAGAGAGAAAAGCTGATGAGTTGAAGGCATTAATATCCAGATTGAATCAACGTATTTGAGATTTTGCAAAAGAAAAAAAAAGAGAAACGTCTCGACTTTTTTTTAGGGATAGGGTGTAAGATATCCGTCTCTTTGCTACTTAGAAAACTATTTTTTCTAAAACCAGTTGTAGTTGTTTGTAGGTGCCAACAAGTAAATCAGAACAAATCAGAAATTGGTCCGACTTTTCCGATTTGAATCGCTCTATTGACGGGTAGATGAAAATGGATGTGAATGTCTGTTTTAGTTAGGCTGCTTTCAAAATTTCATCAGAGTGCACTAGCAACAATTGGAATAAAAAGTTTCCCAACAAAAGCAGAAACTTTTTAATCTTGATGATTAATCTGATTTCAGAGTTGAACCCAAACTGATTAAGCTATTCATAGATTGATATGGACGTTAAACCTTTTACCTTTAGTTGCAAGTTTATTGAGTTACAAAAGTCATGCCAGGAAGTTATATGCTCCTAGGAGCTATGTTAAGCATACTGAGACATGATATTGGTCTGCTTACATATATAGTATCGCTGTCGTCCATTCAGCTTGCTTTTTAGTGGTCATCGCATTGAGTTGGTGCATGAACTCTGATTTTTAAAATCAGTAGTTTCTCCTCACAGCGGCCCTTTTAACGGGCTAGGTCTTCTATTTGTTGGTTCACCCACTGTTTAAGGGAGGAATTCGTTATTGCCAGCTGTTCTAATTCTGTGGATCATCAAAGAAATCTCAGATACGGGCATTTTATATTCAAACGGATTAGTACATATATATGGTGAATGACTCCCATTCTAGTCATTCTATACTCATGTTTATCTTAAAAATATTTTTCATCAAATGCATTATTAGTTCAAAAAGACCTGAATTTTCAATACAGTTTAACTTTTACAAATTTGTGTTTCACTGAGTAAATCACACATTCAATCAGACAGATAACACTGACGGGCGAGGCTCGCTGTACTCTTTGACTGAAATGATGAGAAATAAAATAGTCTTGTAAGATTTTCACTCGACATGTGCCTAGTTTGTCTGTGCAGAAAGCGTTCCTCCCCTCCCACAAGAAATAAGAGGCATCAATGATTTCTTACGTAATAACTGACGTATAAGATACTACAAGTACAACAAAATGTTACACGATCAGCACATTTTTCCGTTTTTTTTTTGTAAACCTTTATTTTGTTTCTTCTTTCTCTCCTATTACCGCAGAATTTCTTTGTTCTGGGACAAGACAAGTCCAGCTTTGCACATTGAGCTGTGTAAGTTGCAGGTCGTCATAGACACTATAAATAGCAATAAAACAAATAAGTCATACTTTAAGAACAGAAAACTCTCTCTCAAGTAGAAAAAAGCGAAATAAATTGTCTCCTGACAATTTTTCTAAGTTTTGATTCGTCTCCTTAAAAACCAGGTAGATCGATAGCAGGACTAAGTAGTCTTCCAATCAATGCACCTAGTTCAGTTGAGGGAAACTGTTTTGCCTCACCAACTTCTCGGCTGAAAATGGCAACAACACAAACAGTTTAAATTCTTCCTGTAAGTAGTCAAAAAAAAGGAAAAAACTATCACCTGACCATCCCTTAAGCTTTGTTTCGGCATTCTCCACCCTTCACTCGATTCAAACTTTAAGTATTTGAAGTATCTCTACAAGGAACAAAAAAAGGTTATTTGTTGTAGTGCTATTATGGATGTGAATGGGACTGGTAAGAACTATGTTTGCTTTATAGAGGTAATGTGTGTGTGGCTTGTACTTTTCTGACTTTTGTTGGGTGCGGTTCAAGTGTTCCCACTGACCAAATTATTCACGTATCACTTCTATTTTACATTACCGTTGAGCGAACAAAGAAAGCTGCCCGGTAACGAAATCAATTTTGAGAACAAATTTAATTAGAGAGAATGAACGAGCGGCTAGTTCGGTTAGTCTTTAAATAAACAAAGATCAGTTTTTTCACTGATTTTATTCGATCTCTTTTGGATGTCTTTTCCTGTTCGTTTGAATTTTATTTCTTTTCATTGATGGGCATAACAATAATGAATTACCATGTACCTTTGTTCAGAATCGTGTTAACCCGATATGCTACACATACCTAGACAAAACTTCAGTCTTCGGTCGGAGTTTACAGATGTTCAAAAGCTTTTTCTGTTATGGCGTGAGATTGAGGACAAAATTGATCATTACGTTTCGTCGCGTGTGTTTTTCCTGTGTGAAGCAACAAAAGATGTCGGCGACTGACGAAATAACAAGTTAACACGAAAATCAAATAACACCTAAACAAACAATTTTAGCTACCGATTTTCAGTGAATTTTTAAAGAACAATTTTCTTTTAAGTTTCAAGACAATTTGAAGATTCAACATACATACAACGTACTAAAATGCGAAAGTTACACACCACAAAATTGATAAATAGGCCTGAAATGAAATTCTATCTTGTTATTGATTATACGTTGCCTAGCACGTGACTTAAATCTTCCCAGGCGAAGATCCAAAATGATGGTGGCAGGCTTGGCTTAGTTATATTACTCAAAACTCGTTCCCGTTTGTCTCATTTGATAAAGAGGGAATCGTTGATGTTTTCATTAAGACAGTATTGCCTTGTGTTTTCTAATATTTACAACGAAAGACAGTAAATTTCACTTTTCACCCACATTTACTTCCAACCTTTTCTTTTCAATTCACGAGTTTGCTCACAGAGCACTTTGATTCTCTCTCTAAAGTAATTATAAAAGCAAAGCTGAGAAGCGGACAATCGCATCGTTGTTTATGAAATACCCTCTTAGAGAATGTTTGTTTTAAATTGTCCAAGCCAACCAAATTTAGGGAATGAAGCTTCGATAGGCTTTAGAAAGTTATAGAGCCAGACGTGAGCAATGAGCGAGTATTAAATTGACCCCATCATGTGGTCAGTCACGTACGTCAGTCAGTCAACCAGTTAGCCAGTCAATCTGTCCGTCAGTCAGTCAGTCAGTCAGTCAAGGTAGTGTCCTTGGACCTATCTTATTTCTGCTCCATACCTCACCCTTGGGTGATATTATGAGACACCATAAAGTTAATTTCCATTTGTATGCCGATGATACGCAATTATACCTCACCTCCAAATCATCCACTGCTGACCTGGCCAAATTAGTGATAGAAGACTGTGTGCGAGATATCGATGCTTGGATGACAGTAAACATGCTTAAGATGAACAGGAACAAAACAGACCTAGTTGTCTTAAATGCCAACCATCGCCCACCTCCGCCCCTGACGTCAATTTCGGTTTGTGATGAGTTGATAAGCAAGACATCGACAGCTAGAAATATTGGTCTTCTGTACGATACAGTCATGTCGATGGAACATCCTGTCACAGCTGTATGTAAGGCTGGCTTCTTCCACCGTCGAAATATTAGCCGTATAAGGAAATATATCAGTCGCTATACAGCAGAAATACTTGTGCACGCTTTCATTACTTCCAGACTGGACTTCTGTAATTCACTTTTGTATGGACTGCCGAAACAAACTACCGAGCGCCTTCAGCATGTTCAAAATGCAGCTGCCAGAATGGTTGCGCTTACACACAAACATGAACATATATCACCGGTATTACAGGAACTGCATTGGCTTCCTGTAGAACAGCGCATAATTTTTAAACTTCTTTTGATGACTTTTAAATGTCTAAATGGCATAGCACCTTCATATTTGTCTGACCTAATTACGAGGTAAATTCCTAGGCGCAACTTAAGATCTCCTAATGGCCGTCGCCTGTTTGATGTTAAATATAATCTGCGCAACTATGGCTTTCGTTCTTTTTCAGTAGCGTCACCAATGTTGTGGAATGACATGCCACTAGGAATAAGATCTTGTGACCGTCTGAACGATTTGAAGAAAAAACTGAAGACTTATCTTTTCAGGAAAGCGTTTTCAAATTAGTCCTTTTATATTTTAGTCGTTCTTTTTCATATATATTAGTCCTGTGATATTTCAGCTTTATATTTTAAGTTTTTATTAAATGGTTGTTTTATATTTTAGCCGTTTCGGTGGAATGTAATCTTTAAATATTCTTATGAACAATACTTGTGATATCTGTAACATTTTAAACATTTTTGTAAAGCGCTTTTGGACATCGCTGGTAATGGCGCTATATAAATGAAGTATTATTATTATTATATTATCAACAGTGGTGTCGCCCATAGGTCCATGAATACCATGTACTCCTATTAATGTGTTGGAGGGGGGGAGGGGAAGAGGAGAACCCAGTTCAGCAGGATAAACAGAAGGTCCCAGCCACTTCTTATCTTACACCGTCTCCAAGATAGGACGTTCTGACCCCTTCGGTATCAGTAAAGGGTAGTAAAAGCGACCCCAAAATTACCTCTGACCAGTGGAGTACATGTATGCTTTCTTGGCTCCCTACTTATCACTACTGATCAAAACACAACATTTCGACTAAAAACTGAAGTGCATCATTTTGAAAGAAGAGTACATCGCCTTGATGACACGAAGAAGTCCATCTTGTTTTCAACCCGGAAAAGTAAATGGTTGTTATACCCAGACCATCGGAATGTTGCCACTTAACACATATCAAACAGATCATGAAGCATGAAAAGAATTTATTTGCATGAATGGCATGTAAGTGTATGCCCATATTTTCCATTAAATTATATAAATATTTAAAATATATACTGATTGCAAATCCTCATATCACAACATTTTTTCAACTATTTACAATATTAACTGAGTTGCAATTGATAATTGCAAGGACGAGTCCTGAAAACCTGCACAAAAGATAAGAAAATAGATACATGAGCTGTGATCAGCAGCATGTCTTAAAGGAAATGATTCGTTTGTATCTGGAGGAGTAACAGTTTAGTGAAAGAGGGCAGAAGGTAATGAACCGTTTCAAAAACCCGCTAGATTACTCGAGACTATACACAAAACCAAAATAAGTGAGACTTTTGTTATGTTATGTTATCTAACTGTGAACAAAACGACTCAAGGAATCAAAAGCAGCAAATTAAAGTATTTTTAGGTATTTCCCTCAATCACTTGAGTTAGCCGAAATCAACCGTCGTAAATTCCAGCATATGTTAAAAATCAACCACAGTATCTACTAACTGCCGTCGAGGAGCCTGTCAAATAAGTCTTCGAGACCCATTTAAAGCATACAGAAATGAGGGAAACCGTGAAATACAAATATGGGAAGATAGATGAATACCAGAGTAAAAAAAAGATGATGTACCTGAGAGGGACGAAGGTTGGTTCAAACACAGGCAGACAAACCTATAGCTTTGAGGGAGCGTGATGTAAAAATGCCCAAATACTTTGCCAAAGAATCCTTGCTCATCTGTATAAACAAAGAAAGGAATAAGTGTTGTAGAGAATCTCAGTCAACTGTATGGTACTGTGATACTTAAAACTACTTCCCTAAAACGCACGGAGCGGTAATAGTACCCTAAAAAAAAATGCTATAAACGAACCATTCCACGGTTCAGTGCAAAATAACAACGACAAAAAAATTGTTTCTGCTACGAAGAATCAAACAATCCCACATCTTAAAATTAGACAAAGATCTTTTATATGCGAAAAAGTGACGAACCTCAAGGAAAGTCTCATTCCACAATAGGGGGACGCAACTCATCTGGAAAAAGTCTCTCGCCCCGGCACCGGTAAAAGATATAATGTTCACGCCATAATTGGAAGTATTCTTACGGAATTACGAAGAACGAATAAGTTATGCAGATTTTCCCGAAGTACAGAAGTGCACTCGGCTCACCGAAAACTGTCCCACCAACATTGTGAAACAATTCGAACCAACGGGGATGACTTTTGGCAAGATTCTCTTGCTTTTGACTTTTCAAATGGGTCAGGTAATCTAATTTGTCAGTATATCTATGCACACTTTTCTAAACCCACTAAAAAGGCGAGAAGACATAAAACATGACTAATCCGCGAGATAAAACTCTCTCAAAAGTTTCACACTACACCATTGAGTTACATTTTTTAAAGGCAATATAGGAAGAAAGAAAAACGTAACTCTTTTTCAGGGTTTTCAAAATTTTCAAACAACCTTATAGTTATTCCACAGGGTATAATTTTTTTCTCATCAAGTCACTGATATCACTGATATGGAACATACTAAATGAAAACTATAACAAGATATTTTCAAAGAATTCTTACCTTTTTCTGTCTCAAAGGATGAGTTTCGTATCTTAGCAGAGGACATTTTCTTAACAGAGGACTCATCATGCGACTTTTCATCATACTTAGAATGGTCTTCTTCTACTAATCGACAGGCTCCGTCTACAAAAATTGAAAGTCAATAAAACATTAAAAAACTTTGACGTGCTGATGCTTTCTTCTTCTCTGAGTTTCGGAAGATTTTCCAGGAATCACATGGATTTTTTTAGGGGGGGAGGGGAGGGAGATCAGTCGTCACTAACAGAGTAAAAATTAGGGTATTTAAAATTACATTGCATTTTGATACAACCAAAATCCTCCGCTCCCACCCCTTCAGGCGATGAATAATGACCCGTCTCTTACTCACTGTCATGGGACATACTAAAAAACGTATAAGTACATATTATCAAAACATTTTATACCTTTTTCCGACTCGAAGGATGAGTTTCCTTTCATTGCAAAATATTTTTCATTTTTTTCTTCTAAATGGCTTTCATGCAGAGTTCGATCAGGATCGTAATCAAAGCCACCGGCTGCAAAGAAAGAAAGGCATCCAAAAACCTCAAAACTCTGACAACTCTTGTAGTAAACTGGAAAATATATGAAAATAGCATTTCATAGAAATGTCACTTACCCTTTGGGGAGAAAGGTAGAAAGTTTCCTTGGTTCCTAACCAGCCAGTCGTCATCCTTTTTAGCTCGGCCTACTTCAGATGTAGATAGTCGTGCAAATATGGGAGGGAGGGGTGATTGATGGTGCCTGATGGAGCCACCTTTGTCTGAAAGAGACGCCAATGAGATTAGTAGATTTTTACAAAACCCGTTTCCCATTTGCTTTGTTTCTTCGTTTATTTTTTGGTAATGTGTTTCACTGCTCTTACCTGCGGTAGGCATGGACAACGGATCAGCTGTTTTGCTGTCGCAACTGAATCCCTTGCTTTGATCACTTCTATGCCTTTTTCTCAGACAGGTGTCCTGCACTAAAGTTCCACTCGTTGAGACTCTGGCTGCAGATGATAACATTGACGGGCGAGGCTCGCTGTTCTCTTTGACTGAAATGACGAGAAATGAAATAATCCTGTAACATTTTTACTCGATAAATACTTGGCTAGTCTATGCTGACAACATTCTCATCCCACTCCCTCCCCCCCTCCCCACAAGAGATAAGAGGCGTCAATGATATCTTACGTAATAACTAAAGTACAAGTTACTACAATTACAACAAAATGTTAAATTATCAACACCTTTTACTGTCTCCTTTACATTTGCTTCATCGCCTTTAGGCGTTTCTGTCTCTTTTATAAGCACAGTACTTTTCTGTTCTGGGAGAAAACAGTGCCCGCTTTTCACATTGAGCTCTGTAGGTTGCAGGTCGTCGTAGACACTGGCTAGGGAAAAAAAAAATTGAACGCATTAAAACTTGGATATATTTCCGACACAAACCCCTTCTTTAAGTTTTGACAGACATCGTATGCAACAACTTCCCTTCCAACATCGAATATGCCTATATGTTCATCGGAGTCTGTTCCACGCGTACCAGTTTATGAATTATAACATATAGATTTAGCCAAGCCTAAAAGCGAAGCTGGCATTTTTTTCCCGCACGTCTCAGGGGCACAACGCCTTGCCTCGGCCAGGACTAAAACCCGGGTCGTCCGACTCGGAGCCCAGTGTACTGACCACTAACCTACTGAACAAAGCTGTGGCGTTGACGTGCCCGCGGTACAGTTGACCACGCATGTTAAAATTAGCACCTTCTACGGCCGTACGGTCGTAAGGCTGTACGGTCGTACGGTCGTACGGTCGTACGGTCGTACATCCAATTTTTTCAGCTTGATGGATTACTACTATTTTGTATAATTATGGGGCTGCGCTCTGCGAGCTCCACTATAAATTTCATCTTCTATTTGGTGCGAAAATGCACCAGAATATTAGTTCACGGATATCATCCATTACAAAGGGCAAAGATTCAAGCTAGAAGCAAATTTTGAGGAAGACTGTGAGTTTTAGATATTGTTACTGAAAGGAAAAATAAACCTTCATATTTTTAAACCTAATAGAGACTCTCTCGTTTATTATTCTTCAATATATTTTTGAAATGCACGACACAAAGGGTTTACCAACAACTCACTTTATAAAACGGGGATTGAAATTTTAAAGCAATTTTGTCAACAAATAAGCTCATCCCCTTATTAGTGTCAAGGACAAAAACGTTCTGATTGAATCAACAATTATAGAACGACCTTCATTGCACTGGACGTTCTCTTAAAATTTGGTACCACCCCCGCGTAATACCAATAGATATTCATCACTTTAACTCGGTCGCGTTATGCCAATCGCACGCGGAAAATATCTCATGTCTCATTAATGAAGTTATGCTACGTTTATCTATTCATAAGATCGCTTCACGAACCTAGCATTTCTACTGTCACATCAGTACGTTTTGTTTTCAGATCTTCCTTTAAATGGTTCATCATACCCATTTTGTCGTTTAGCCTCTCCTTGTTTCTTCTTTCTTGAAGATCAAACTGCATCTTTTTGTTCTCATCCTGAAGGAAACTGATCTTCTCAACCAACTTAGAGTTGACTTCTGCAAAGAGAAAGAAAATAAATCATTCAAACTTCAAGAACAGAAGACACTCTTTCGAGTAGTAAAGAGTGAAATAAATTGTTGCCGAGCAATTCGTCCATGTTTGCTTCAAGCCACCGCCTTGAGGACAAAACTGTTAACATGGAAGAAACGGTCTCTTCCATTTCAGCAATTTGGTCCTCAAGGCAAGCGTTCTTCGTTAATAATTCGGACTTGTCGGCTGAAAAATGTCATTAAAACAGACAGTTTAAATTACTTCAGGAAGTGCTAAAAACGAAAAAAAAAAAGTCACCTGACAATTCTTTTACTTTTGCTTCGGCATTTGTCATTGTTTCTTCCATAATGACGACTTTTTCCTCGAGGCATCTGTTTTTCCTCAACAGTTTCTTCTTAACGGCTGAAAATGGCAATACAACTAATAAATCAAACATAAAGAACAGAAAACGCTTTTTCAACTGATAAAAAACGATATAGATTGTCACCTGACAATTCCTACATTTTTTTTCTTCGGCATCAGCCACCGCCATGAGGACCAAATAGTTAACATGGAGAAAACGGTTTCTTCCATTTCAGCAATTTGGTTCTCAGGGCAAGTGTTCTTGGTTAACAATTCTGTTTGTCTGGATTTTCTTTCTTTTTTTTTTTCTTTTTTTTTTTTTCTTTCGATGGACGCAATAAAATAAATTACCAGCTACCTTTGTTAAAAATCGTGTTTTGCTTAATTTTGTGTTGCCAAGTATTAACCCGCTATGTTACACATACCAAGAGAAACCTCCAGTCTTTCACTGATTTTGTCAACATCGTTTGCAGCTTTCTGCAGGCTCTTGTGATAATTCCGCATATCAACCGTTAAGTTTCTTATAAGATCTTCATATCTGTTTAGCTGAGATGTAAGCTGTTTAATTTTTTGATCTTTCTCACTGATTGTCTCCTTTGATGCAGAAAGAGTCGCTGAAATGAACACAAAATACGGGAATATTACGATGCCATTCAGTAAGCAAGACATTTAATTATTACTAGTAGTCAGGCACAGAATTTAAAAGCTCCTCAGAGAAAATACAAACGTCCTCACGTTGAAATATCTCAGATTGTTTTCAGCCACATCCTTCGAGTTTTCATAAAATCGTATATTTGATTAATTTCGTATTGCCAAAAATAAACCACATCTCCCCCTAATGAAAGCCAAGTCCAACAGAGAACGATGTGACGTCGAATGAAGATTTCTTCAGTATGTTTAATCACTCTTTATTTTCTCTTCCAGCTCAATGGAATCTTCTTTAGTTGACCACGCAAGGAAGAGTTCATCATTTTTAATAATTCTTTATCTCAGTTCCTGGTGATTGTAAAGGCTTAGCTCATCAGAGATCAATTGCATTTCTATATTTCCATTTTATTGACTCCTTCGCTTCCTCTTCTTCTTTGCACATTCTCCAACAATCTTCCAAATGTTAACGTTCACAAAATAGACGCAAACAGCTTCATTTCCTGGACAAGGATTGTCAAAGGAGTGCTGGGTGTTCGCCACCGTTTTGATCATTTTATTTAAAATGTAAATAATTTAACTCAGAGATGACTTTCAAGAATGATGCTTTTAAAACATGATTTTGCTTAGGTTACGTTTAAGTCAAGCAAATTGAATTCTGGGATGCCAACTTCATGGCTGCCAGCCAGGTTTCTCGCTTGTCCTCATGATGTGATTAAATAATCATGTTACGACACCGTGACTACGCCATCTGTTTACCGCGCGCAACTATAATAACTGCTCAGACAGGAAAGATTTGCGATTTCGAATGAAATGATTATAGCTACGGGTGTAAACATGAGTAGTTTTTGGATATCATAAACGTCAGGTGAAGTTCTAAACTTCTGGTACAAACAGATTACTGGAGAAGAGGACAAGTTGTCTTCTTCGCCTGTAATGTGCTTGTACAAGAAGTGAACGAGCATTCAGTTCATTGGATGTCCTTTCTAAAGCCAAAGTGTGGGTCACCGATCTTCCCACAAACAATTTAGAACCGACTGAGGAATCAGTTGGCTCCTAATTGTTTGTGGGAAGATCAGGGAGGGGTGGAACCGACTGTGTCCCAACCATTTTGTCCTATATCGTACGTTGTAAATCACTACATATTATAATAATATTAAAAATTTATAGTGCGCAAATTCCATAAAATGTTCAAATGCGCATTACAAGATTAAAAATTATCATTAAAATAGACTTACAATAATTTTAAGAAACGAGATAAAAAAAAAAAAAAAAAAAAAAAAAAAAAAAAAAAGCTATAGAAATGCACTACGAAAAAGGTGAGTCTTCAGTTTAGCTTTAAAAATATTTACTGTTCTTGCGCTCCTAATATCCAGCGGTAGTTCGTTCCATAGTTTCGTAGCAGCACAGGTAAAAGAACGGTCCCCCAGTGTAGCTTTCGATTTAAATGATGGATGGCTAAGTAAAAAGCTTATCACTGGAATTTCTTAAATTATATTTGGAGGGGGGTCTAAGGGAAATAAGAGAGGATAGATAAGAAGGGGCTAAAAAATTAAGAATCTTAAAAGTAATTAACAATATTTTAAACTCAATTCTATATCTAATTGGTAACCAGTGTAACTTAAAAATTAAGGGCGTAATATGACAAAATCTCTGTTCTTTAAGAATCAATCTGGCACAAGCATTCTGTACTCGTTGCAGCTTATTCAACAAGCAGTCCGGTAGTCCATATAATAGGCCATTGCAATAGTCCAGGCGGCTCGTTATAAATGCATGGACAAGAGTTTCCGTTGACTGCTGTGAAAGGTACTTTCTGATCCGACGAATATTATAAATGTAGTAAAATGAAGAGGCACAAATTTTCGTGATGTGTGTTGCCATGGAGAGCCTTGAATCAAACCAGGAACCAAGATTTCTCGCAATTGGCACGGGATGTATGTCTGAGTCGCCCACACGTATACTGATATTGTCGAGCTTTCCCAGCTGTTGTGATGTGCCAATGATAAGGAATTCAGTCTTGTCGTCATTTAATTTAAGATCATTATTCAACATCCAAAGACGAATGTCTCTGATGCAGTCCTCCATACTCCTCACTACAGCAAGTTGCTCAGCTCTGTCGTTGGGACTGAATGAGATGTAAACTTGAGAGTCGTCAGCGTAACAATGAATCGTGGGCAAATGATATTCAATGATCTCAAAAAGCTTGCTCGTATACAACGAAAACAATAACGGACCCAGACAGGAACCTTGAGGCACACCGCATTCTAATTTAAAAGGTTCCGACAGCGAATCGTTAATCATTATCCGTTGAGTTCTACCAGACAAATAGGACGTAAACCAGGAGAGGGCTTTCCCATGTATACCAAATGATGACTCAAGTCGACGTAGCAGGAAGTTTTAAGCTTGTGTTTTTCAAGTATTAAATATCTTTTTACGAGTTGTTGTTTAGTCATTTGTAACGTTTTTTTTGCTTATCTGTGCTTATCTACAAAACTTTTGATTGAACGCAACAATATTTAGTTCATAAGCACGTTTTATGATCAGTTTTGTACCGAGAAAAAAATGAATGAATAGTTTACCTTATGCATAAGACTTACCTTCACAGGCCTTCATCCCTTCAGAGAGATTTGAAATGACCGCCCGAGCTTTGTCCAGTTCACTCTGGGCATTAGCTGCCATCTTTTTGAAAAGATCTTTTTGTCTTGTATGACACTTTTCTCTCCTAAGTAGAGTGTCCTTCAAGTCTTTAATTTCAGTCTGGAGAGACTCGTTTTCTTTTTCATACTGAATGCGTAGATCGTCCATTTTGTCACGTGATTCTTTCAGTTGATTTTCCAAGGCAGAGTTCCTTTTTAGGAGTTCTTTCTCTCTCTCTAATGTAGTTATAAAAGCTTAGCTCAGTGGTGAATAACCGCATTTTTTGTCTCAAATATCCTCTGAAAGTATGATTGTCTTGGATTCTCTAAAGCTAACCGAATTTAGGGAATGGTGCTCTGATATGCTTTAGAAAGTTAGATGGTCAGTATAAGCAATGAGCCAATAGTCAACTGACTAAGCTCTGACGTCTCACATGTCATACCAATCGGGGATCACGGCTGAATAGACAGACAGACAGACAGACAAACAAACAGACAGTCAATAAACGTGGTCCTTTCTTCAGTCATCCGGTCGATAAGTCAAACCATATATTGCTTGGTCAGTCAGTCAGTCAGTCAGACGATAGGTCAGTCACTCGGTCAGTCATTCAGTTACTCAGTCACTTGGTCAGTCAGTCGATCGGTCAGTCACTCGGTGAGTCATTCAGTTACTCAGTCAGTCACTTGGTCAGTCAGTCAAGCAGTGACTCGGTCAGTCAGGCAATTACTGAGTCAGTCACTTGGTCAGTCGGTCAGTCGGTCAGTCGGTGACTCGGTCAGTCTTATTTAATGACAAATCAGTTGTTTCAATGTAACCAGCACATCATTCACGAATACCTTGATGTGTTTCAGTCCGCAAGTGACTAAGCTTTCAAATAATCGATAGTTATACACCTTCATCACTTTATTTTATTGCGAATTTGACGACAAAAACCGACAAAGGCCTGCATATTGGATGATTATCCTCTTTGTTGAGAGCAATTACCTCTAATGAGTTTTTAGACAATGGAGGCAAAAAGGCGTGGGGGGGGAGGAGTTGTCCAAAAACGGCGAGAGTTGCGCTAAGAAATATGAGGAACAATCTCCGCTGTTTCCAGCGTTTTCTTCGCCTACTCACTATTGCGTTGGTCTGCATCGACCACCAGCCTGGATTAAAGTTGGAAAAAAAAGATATCTTACCTTGGTATTGTTGTTCAAGGACTGCCATCTTTTCCTCCAATTCTTTATCCTTCTTACCCTAGTTCAATAAGATTAAGTACATTTGACGTTTTATATACAAAACATTGTAACATATAATATTATAACATAACATATCGAGCCTGGACGTTTTAAAGCACGCCGACCATGAGAACTCCGCAAAGGGGCATAACATACAATAACTGAAATTTGAGTTTTCAAAGAACAAAGATTGGGTGTGTTGCAAAATCAGCTATAATTTAGTCTGACTTCTTAGATGGTTAAATACTCTTCATAACAAAATGATCGCCAAACTAACCTTTAGAGCCTTTTTTGTTTACTTGTTATAGATGGGAGAAATTTTTTCAACTTTTTCCTTCAATAACGTTGTTCAAAAGAAAACGAAATCGGTGCGTCGTAGTTGAAGAGCATTTCCGCGCGCTTGATTCATCTCAAGATTGAGTACAAAATAAAGAGCGAAAGAAAGAAAAAGGCAAAGTCCTAAACTTAAAAACTGATTGACATATTGTCCCATCAGTCTCCTCAACTCTAAACAGTCTTCAAATAATGTATTAAAAGAAAAGAAGTGTAAGTTAGGCACCTACTTTTTTAGTCATCGTGCGCGCCCCGAATGATTCCTCAATCGGACCTAAGTTATTTGTTGGAAGATCTGTGAACCAGATATTGGCTTTAGAAAGGACATCTAATGAGTTGGTTGCGCGTTCATTGTCTTCTTCCCCAGTGAACTGTTTATACACGTAGTTTATCCACGAAGTACTCATGTTTTCCCTCCAAGATATACACGTTTCACTCGAAATTGCAAATGATTTCTGTCTCAGAAGTTGTTATGGTTACGCGCGGTAAGTAATTGTGTCGTCACGATGTCGTAACATAACAATACCATTACTTAGTAAAGATATGCGAGAAGCCTGGGTCGCAGCCAAGAATTTTGCGCGCAATAATTTAATTTACTTCACTCAGAGTTACCCACTTCATTGTTTCCCGATCTCATCGGCTTTTTCTCTCCGGATATCTAACGTTCTTAAAAGGAAGCGAATGATTGGAAACTTGAAATTCAGCTTTCTCCTCAAAAAGCGACTCATTCACTCCAAACCACTGCAGATGTATTTCGTTCGATGCAAATGGTTATCTTGAGCCGAGAAACGATAGTTCAGCTGGTTTAGCCCGAAACTGAATTTACAATTTCAAGTGTGGTTTTGCTCGGGCATTAAATGAACAATAGCCACCATTAGGCGCGAAAATATGCACGGCATGCTCTGGTGCCACGGTATGAACAGACAAATTTGTCCCTTCATTTTTAAAAATAGCTAAATGCTCTTACGTCTGTAATAAAATTTTCAACGTACTCTTTTATCGTCGTAGTTATACCTTTGAAAATTGGCGAATGTCACTCGGAGCATATCCTCGGAAAATCCCGGTTTTAGAGGGGCATATTCGATCATGAGATGTGCGCGCGAGCAAGAATACTTGTTGGATTGTAACGGGCGCTAATCGAAAACTTTTCAAATCTGATTACGACTGAATTTACTCGCGCATACCAACAAAGCGAAACTTCTTTAGTTGAGTTGAGAAAAAAAGCGACTTTTTGGCTGTTGTAGTGAAATTGCGCCACTTAAGCAAAATGAAATTATAAGGTAATATTTTAAGCTGTTATCTGAAGTTTGTCTAGAGAATTTGCATTCATTTTTGGAGAATTTAATTGATCTCTTTGCGAAGAAAGCTGAATTGAAGTTTCTAACATTTCATTTCGTTTTAGAGCCTTAGTAATCTGGAGAGGAAAAGCCGATGAAATTGGATTCAAAATCTCTCATAAGGAACTCAAACAACGAATTGGAGGTACAATGGTTTTATTTCGCATTACATTTTACTTTTCGCTCGCTACACACTTTGTTAAAACCACACTATAACATTTAAATTTGATTTTCCGTTGCACCAGATTCAATACATTTGCACAGAGCTCAAAAATGTCACAAACAGTGACCGTAAATCAGAGAGAAAAGCTCAAGAGTTGAAGGCATTAATATCCTAATTGAATCAATTTATTTGAGATATTGCAACAAGAAAGAAAAAAGAGAAAAGTCTCGACGTTTTTTAGGGAAAGAGTGTAAGATATCCGTCTCCTTGCTACGTAGAAAACTATTTTTTCTAAAATCAGTTGTAGTTGTTGGTAAGTGCCAACAAGTAAATCACAACAAATCAGAAATTGGTCCGACTTTTCCGAACTGAATCGCTCTATCGACAGGTAGATGAAAATGGATGTGAACGTCTGTTTTAGTTAAGCTGCTTTCAAAATTTCATCAGAGCGCACTAGCAACAATTTGAATAAAAAGTTTCCCACCACACGCAGAAACATTTTAGTCTTGATGATTAATCTGATTTCAGAGTTGAACCCAAACTGATTAAGCCATTCATAGATTGATATGAACGTTAAACTTTTTACCTCTAGTTGCAAGTTTATTGAGTTACAAAAGTCATACCAGGAAGTTATATGCTCCTAGGAACTATGTTAAGCATACTGAGACATGAAATCGGTCCGCTTACATAGTATCGCTGTCATCTATTCAGCTTGCTTTTTAGTCATCATCACATAGAGTTGGTGCATAAACTCTGATTTTTAAAATCAGTAGTTTGTCCTCACAGCGGCCTTTTCACGTGCTTGGTCTTCTAGTTGTTGGTTCACTTGCTGTTTAAGGGAGGAATTCGTTATTGCCAGCTGTTCTAATTCTGCCGATTATCAAAGAAATCTCAAATACAAGCATGTTATATTCAAACAGATTTGTACGCTAATATGGTGAATGACTTCTATTCTAGTCATGCTATACTTATGTTTACATTTAATCTATTTTTCATCAAATGCATTATTATATTAAAAAGATCTAAATTTTCAATACAGTTTAACCTTCACAAAAGTCCTTGTCTCAACTGAAACAGCTACTCAATGGGCGAGATACATGCTCCAACCCTCAAAGTAAGCTGGAAAACATATGAAAATAGCATTTCTATACACATTTAACCCTTTCGGGAGACAGATACAAAGTTGCTTGGTTCCTAATCAGCCAGTCGTAATCCTTTTTAAATCGGCCTGCTTCAAATGTAGGTAGTGGTGCCAATATGGGAGGGAGGGGTGATTGATGGAACCTTATGGGGCCACCTTCGTCTGAAAAAGACGCCAGTGAGATTATTTCAACAATTTCCGTTTTTCCCATAAACTGTCGACTTATATAGAAATCTGTTTCTTACAAACTTTTTGATCACTTCTATGTCTTTTTCTCTATCTTATTGGATGTGTGATTTACCCAGTGAAACACAAATTGTGCCAGACACGTGGCTAAAACATTGGAACGGTGGTTGTAGACGATAACATTGACGGGCGAGACTCGCTGTACTCTTTGACTGAAATGATGAGAAATAAAATAGTCTGGTAAGATCTTCACTCGACACGTAGAGTAGAAAATAGCGAAATAAAATTTCTTTTGACAATTTTTTTAAGTTTTGATTCATTTCCTTTAAAACCAGGTAGATCATTGCAGAACTAAGAAAACCTCAATCAGTGCACCTAGTTCAATCTGAGGGAAACTGTTTTGCCTCACCAACTTCTCGGCTGAAAATGGCAACAACACAAACAGTTTAAATTCCCCCTGTAAGTAGTGAAAAAAAGGAAAAAACTATCACCTGACTATTCCTTAAGCTTTGCTTCGGCATTCGCCACCGTTGTTTCCATCTCCACGATTTGCTTCTGATTGTCGCCTCTTGTTCCTTTTAGATATTCCTTCATTTCTTTAACCTGATTCTGAAGGCAGGTGTTATCTCTAATAAAATAAGACTTATCGGCTGAAAAATGGCAATAAAACAAATAATTTAACTTTTAAGTATTTGAAGTATCTCTACAAGTACAAAAAAAGGTTATTAGTTGTAGTGCTATTATGGATGTGAATGGGACTGGTGAGAATTATGTTTGATTTATAGAAGTAATGTGTGTGTGGCTTGTTTTTTTGTGACTTTTGCTGAGTGCGGTTCAAGTGTTCCCAATGACCAAATTATTCACGTATCACTTCTAGTTTACATTAGCGTTGAGCGAAAAAAGAAAATTGCCCGATAACGAAATCAATTTTGAGAACAAATATAATTAGAGAGAATGAACGAGCGGCTAGTTCGGTTACTCTTTAAATAAACAAAGATCAGTTTTTTTCACCGATTTTATACGATCTCTTTTGGATGTCTTTTCCTGTTCGTTTGAATTTTCTTTCTTTTCACTGATGGGCATAATAATAATGAATTACCAGCTACCTTTGTTCAGATTCGTGTTTTGATTAACTTTGCCTTGCCACTGAAATATTAAGCCGATATGCTACACATACCTAGACAAAACTTCAGTCTTGGGCTGATTATTCAACCTCTTTTGCAGCTTTCTGCAGTCTCTTGTGAGAATGTCGTGTATCTATCGTCAGATTTTTTAATGAGATCTTTATATGTGTTTCTCTGAGACGTTAGCTGTTTGATTTTTTGTTCTTTCTCTCTAATTATCTCCTTTGATGCAGAAACAGTCGCTGAAATGGGAAAACTAAGGAATATCACAATGCTATTTAGTAAGTAAGGCATTCCATTAGTTATTAGTTGTGAGCAGCAGACTTAAGCTTAGAGATAATAACTGCGTAGCTCACGTTAGAAATATCTCAGATTGTTTTCAGCCGCATCCTTCGAGATTTCCCAAAAGTCACATGTTTGATTAATTTTGTAGTCGGCTGAAGATTTCTTCGGTTTGCAATTAATTTTTATTTTCTCTTCCAGCCCAGTTGAAGCTATTTAAATTCCGCCAGAAGTTCAGGAGAGTTTGACTTAAATGGAACAAATGAATAAAGGGGTAAGTTACTAAAGAAACTGTGGTGCTGCGTCGGTGGGAGAGTAGAGCAGGTAATTTAGTATTAACAAATGAGTTGAAAACGTAAATTAGCCACCGTAGAGATTTTACCCTCTACGGTGGCTAATTTACGTTTTCAACTCAGTTGTTAACACTAAATTACCTTAAATGGAACAAACTTTACCAGTAAGTGACTTGTAATTCGGTATCAATTGATCATACAATGGGCCTTGGCATTCCATCAGTTGACCACGCAAGGAAGAGTTGATCATTTATAATTCTTCATCTCGGTTTTTTGTGATGACAAAAGCTGAGCTCATTAGAGATTGATCGCATTTCTATATTTCTATGTTATGTTCTATTTTTCCAAGGCCTTCGCTTCCTCTTCTTCTTTGCACATTCTCTAACAATCGCTCAAATGTCAACATTCACAAAATAGATGCTAAACAGCGTCATTTCCTGGACAAGGATTGTGGTATTCGAGTCATTTTTTTTTCTATTTGAAGTGTAAACAATTTGATTAAGGGATGGCTTCCAAGAATGAATTTCTATAGACAAGATTTTTCTAAGGCTGACTCTAAGTAAAGCAAGTTGAATTCTAGCGCGTAAACTTCTTGGCTTCGACCAAAGTTTCTCCCGTCTTTTCACCAACTGAGCAAATAATTATGTTACGCAAAGACCTGAAAGATTGTGTAATGTGCTTTTATGTGCAGTTTAAAACTCCATCTGAGGTGGAGTTATAAACTTCTTGTACAAGCATATTTCAGGTAATGACAATGAACGAGCATCCAGTTCGCCAATGCGTGGATTACCGATCTTCCCACAGACAGTAACGAGCCAAGCTAAGGAATCAATTGGCTCGGAAGATCGGGTTTGGTTGTAACCGACTGTATCCCAGCCATTTTGTAATTTATTGTTTGTTGAAGGTAAATAAATTTGCATAAAATGACACTTTCTCTCTCTCTCACTTACTTACTTGCATGACACTTTCTCTCATAAGCAGAGTCTCCTTCAGGGAGACTCTGGTTATAAGAGATAGTGTCATGCAAGACACAATTTGACGTCACATCTGAAAGTTTACAAAGAAAATTCAGTTTAATTCCATTTATCTACAATTTTATGATTGAATCTTCTAAAAAGAATAAGGAAAATTGCTCCTAAACGGCTTTTGAACAGAGAAATCTAGAAACCTGGATTAAAATTTTAACCCTGGATTAGCGCTAATCGGCCTTTGAACAACTGGGCCCTGTTCAACTATTTTCACCTCAATATCAGTATCCATATTCTCCATACTATTCTCCATACATTTCCCAAAGTGCTGACAAGGAGAACTTCTTTAGCAATGAACAGTTGCTTTAGTTTGTGGTCCTTTCCTTTATTCTCGAGACCTTAATATGTGATTGTGAGGAGAAATTAGATGCTGGTCACTTTTTTAGAGGTCAAAACCGCGTTAACGTGAAGTAGTGATCGAAATACGTTTCGTGTTCTTGTATTATGCAGCCGGCGAGGAAGATCGTGCCGTGGAAAGGAGCAAATACTCCAGCCATTTATGTTATTTATTAAGAGAACACAACATTTCAATGAACGAAAGTTGCAGAACACTTCCCGAGACTTAACTCCTAAACTAACGATGTTGTCATGAAGAGAATAAACAAAGTGACATCAGTTCTCAGAATGAAACAAGAACTTTGTTCAAACTCTTCTTGGTATGAGAAAAATTGCAGTGAATAAGCACCCAGACCTCCGCAAAGACAGAGATATAATCGAATAGCAAGAGTTTCTTCATTCATTGTTTAGTTTGCACTAAACTCCATTCTTTTTGGATTGTGAAAATACTAGTTAAAGGCAGATGTAGTGCATTAAGGTGAAGGTAAAATAGATGAAAATACTATGTATAAAGAGGACAGTGTTTTCTTTCTCTAAAGGAAAATAAAGGCAGTAGTCAAGAGTTAGTGCTTGAACACAACAATGTTGACAAAGTAGAAATGGCTAAATATGCATCACTGATTGTTTGAGTGGACTGAGAAGATCATTCAACTCTACTTTATAGATCGTGGTTTGATCACTTTGCAGGATGAAACAGTCGCACTTACTTCTGTCCGACTGCCGAAATTTCGCAAAGCAAATTTCATTTACCCGCGCAATTTCTAGATCCCTGCAAGTTTTACTCGAGCAAGTCAATTTCAAGTCCGCATTTAACGCAGTCTAATTCATTCCGGGAGCCAAAACGTTTTGCTTCCTTCTATCGATGCTGCCGTTATTACTCACTCTTACAGAAAGAGCAATCCATGGGTAAAAAACAGCAGGAGCGCGATAAAATTTCTTTACTATTCATCACTGTCTGAATCAACAGTAGTGTCGTCCATACGTCCATGAATACCATGTACTCCTATTAATGTGTTGGAGGGGGAGGGGGGGGGGAGAGGGGAAGAGGAGAACCCGGTTCAGCAGGATAAACAGAAGGTCCCAGCCACTTCTTATCTTACAACGTCTCCAAGATAGGACGTTTTGACCCCTTCCGTATCAGTAAAGGGTAGTAAAGGCGACCCCAAAATTAACTCTGACCAGCGGAGTACATGTGTGCTTTCTTGGCTCCCTACTTATCGCTTCTGATCAAAACACAACATTTCGACTAAAAACTGAAGCGCATCATTTTGACAGAAGAACACATCGCCTTGATGACACGAAGAAGTTCATCTTGTTCTCAACCCGGAAAAGTAAATGGTTGTTATACCCAGACTATCGGAATGTTGCCACTTAACACATATCAAACAGATCATGAAAAATGAAAAGAATTTATTTGCATGAATGGCATGTAAGTGTATGCCCATATTTTCCATTAAATTATATAAATATTTACAATATATACCGATTGCAAATCCTCATATCACAAAATTTTTACAACTATTTACAATATTAACTGAGTTGCAATTGATAATTGCAAGGACGAGTCCTGAAAACCTGCACAAAAGAGAAGAAAATAGATACATGAGCTGTGATCAGCAGCATATCTTAAAGGAAATGATTCATTTGTATCTGGAGGAGTGACACTTTAGTGAAAGAGGGCAGAAGGTAATGAACCGTTTCAAAACCCACCAGATTACTCGAGACTATACACAAAACCAAAATAAGTGAGACTTTTGTTATGTTATCTGACTGTGAACAAAACGACCCGAAGAATCAAAAGCAGCAAATTAAAATATTTTTAGGTATTTCCCTCAATCACCTGAATTAGCCGAAATCGACCGTCGTAAATTACAGCATATGTTAGAAATCAACTACTGTATCTAATAACTGCAGTCAAGGAGCCTGTCAAATAAGTGTTCCAGAGCCATTTAAAGCATATAGAAATGAGGGAAACCACGAAATACAAATATGGGAAGATAGATGAATACCAGAGTAAAATAAAAGATGATGTACCTGAGGGGGACGAAGGTTGTTTCAAACACAGGCGGACAAACCTATAGGTTTGAGGAAGCGTGATGTAAAAATACCCAAAATACTTTGCCAAAGAATCCTTGTTCTTCTGTATAAACAAAGAAATGAATAAGTATTGTAGAGGATCTCAGTCAACTGTACGGTACTGTGATACTTAAAGCTACTTCCCTAAACACACGGAGTGGTAATGGTAACCTAAAAAAATACTATAAACGAACCATTATACTGTTCAGTGCAAAATAACAACGATAAAAAAATTGAAAAAAATTGTTTCTGTCAAGAAGAATCAAACAATCCCAAATCTTAAAAATAGCCAAAGATCTTTTACATGCGAAAAAGTGACGCACCTCAACGAAAGTTTTGTTCCACAGTAGAGGGACGCAACTCATCTAGAGAAAGTTTCTCGCTCTGACACCGGTAAAAGATATAGTGTTCATGCCATAATTGGAAGTATTCTTACTGATTTGCGCGTCACATATGAATTTATAAGTACACAAGCATAAATACTCTGAAGCTTAGGTAGAATGTCGGAGCGCGGAATCCGAAGTTCTAAGGTTCGATTAATTCTTCGTATAACTGAAATTATTTCCGCAGCTTGTTCAGAAGTGCACTCGGCTAACATACACTAACGCCCGTACACTTGAAGTCCACTTTTCCTTTACAGAGAGAAGCTGGACTTAAAGAGAAAATCTGGGAACGAGATTAGGTCCGAACAAGGACTTCTGATTGTTACGCAACTAGGGTTTAATTTTGTTTTCTTCTTCTTTACCAGATCACTGTTTCGGTATTTATACCTTTTGCCGTCTCCAAGGATGAGTTGCCTTTCTTAGCAGAGGACTTTTCATCATTTGTCTTACATGACGGATGGCTTTCTTCTTTTGATCGACAAGCATCGGCTACAAAAATTGAAAGACATTAAGACTCTGACGTGCTGATGCTGTATTCTCCTCTGAGTTTTGGAAGATTTTGTGACCGAAAACTTTCCCCCCAACACTGTGAAACAATTTGAATTGCTGAACCAACAGGGATGACTTTTGACAAGATTCTCTTGCTTTTGACTTTTCAAATAGGTCAGGTAAATCTAGTTTGTCAGTATATCCATGCACACTTTTCTAAACCCACAAAAAAGGCGAGAAGACATAAAACATAACTAATTCGCGAGATAAAACTCTCTCAAAAGTTTCACACTACATCTTTGAGTTACACTTTTTAAAGGCAATATAGAAAGAAAGAAAAACGTAACTCTTTTTCAGGATTTTCACAATTTTCAAGCAACCTTATAGTTATTCCACAGGGTATAAATTTTTTCTCACCAAGTCACTGATATCACTGATATGAAACATACTAAATGAAAACTATAACAAGATATTTTCAAAGAATTCTTACCTTTTTCTACCTCAAAGGATTAGTTTCGTATCTTAGCAGAGGACATTTTCTTAACAGAGGACTCATCATGCGACTTTTCATCATACTTAGAATGGTCTTCATCTACTAATCGACAGGCTCCGTCTACAAAAATTGAAAGTCAATAAAACATTAAAAAACTTTGACGTGCTGATGCTTTCTTCTTCTCCGAGTTTCGGAAGATTTTCCAGGAATCACATGGATTTTTTTAGGGGGAGAGGGGAGGGAGATCAGTCGTCACTAACAGAGTAAAAGTTAGGGTATTTAAAATTACATTGCATTTTGATACAACCAAAATCCTCCGCTCCCACCCCTTCAGGCGATGAATAATGACCCGTCTCTAACTCACTGTCATGGGACATACTAAAAAACGTATAAGGACATATTATCAAAACATTTTATACCTTTTTCCGCCTCGAAGGATGAGTTTCCTTTCATTGAAAAATATTTTTCATCTTTTTCTTCTAAATGGCTTTCATGCAGAGTTCGATCAGGATCGTAATCAAAGCCACCGGCTGCAAAGAAAGAAAGGCATCCAAAAACCTCAAAACTCTGACAACTCTTGTAGTAAACTGGAAAATATATGAAAATAGCATTTTCATAGAAATGTCACTTACACTTTTGGGAGAAAGGTAGAAAGTTTCCTTGGTTCCTAACCAGCCAGTCGTCATCCTTTTTAGCTCGGCCTACTTCAGATGTAGATAGTCGTGCATATGTGGGACGGAGGGGTGATTGATGGTGCCTGATGGGGCCACCTTTGTCTGAAAGAGACGCCAATGAGATTAGTAGATTTTTACAAAACCCGTTTCCTATTTGCTTTGTTTCTTCGTTTATTTTTTGGTAATGTGTTTCACTGCTCTTACCTGCGGTAGGCATGGACAACGGATCAGCTGTTTTGCTGTCGCAACTGAATCCCTTGTTTTGATCACTTCTATGCCTTTTTCTCAGACAAGTGTCCTGCACTAAAGTTCCACTCGTTGAGACTCTGGCTGCAGATGATAACATTGACGGGCGAGGCTCGCTGTTCTCTTTGACTGAAATGACGAGAAATGAAATAATCCTGTAACATTTTTACTCGATAAATACTTGGCTAGTCTATGCTGACAACATTTTCATCCCACTCCCTCCCCCCCTCCCCACAAGAGATTAGAGGCGTCAGTGATATCTTACGTAATAACTAAAGTACAAGTTACTACAATTACAACAAAATGTTAAATTATCAACATCTTTTACTGTCTTCTTTACATTTGCTTCATCGCCTTTAGGCGTTTCTGTCTCTTTTATAAGCACAGTACTTTTCTGTTCTGGGAGAAAACAGTCCCCGCTTTTCACATTGAGCTCTGTAGGTTGCAGGTCGTCGTAGACACCGGCTAGAGAAAAAAAAATTGAACGCATTAAAACTTGGATATATTTCCGACACAAACCCCTTCTTTAAGTTTTGACAGACATCGTATGCAACAACTTCCCTTCCAACATCGAATATGCCCATATGTTCATCGGAGTCTGTTCCACGCGTACCAGTTTATGAATTATAATATATAGATTTAGCCAAGCCTAAAAGCGAAGCTCGCATTTTTTTTTCCCGCACGTCTCAGGGGCACAACGCCTTGCCTCGGCCAGGACTAAAACCCGGGTCGTCCGACTCGGAGCCCAGTGCACTGACCACTGGACTACTGAACAAAGCCGTGGTGTTGGCGTGCCCACGGTACAGTTGACCACGCATGCTAAAATTAGCACCTTCTATGGTCGTACGGTCGTAAGGTTGTACGGTCGTACGGTCGTACATCCAAATTTTTTCAGCTTGATGGATTACTGCTATTTTGTATAATTATGGGGCTACGCTCTGCGAGCTCCACTATAAATCTCATCCTCTATTTGGTGCGAAAATGCACCAGAATATTAGTTCACGGATATCATCCATTACAAAGGGAAAATATTCAGGCTAGAAGCAAATTTTGAGGGAGACTGTGAGTTTTAGATATTGTCACTGAAAGGAAAAATAAACCTTTATATTTTTAAGCCTAATAGAGACTTTCTCGTTTATTATTCTTCAATATATTTTTGAAATGCACGACACAAAGGGTTTACCAACAGCTCACTTTATAAAACGGGGGTTGAAATTTTAAAGCAATTTTGTCAACAAATAAGCTCATCCCCTTATTAGTGTCAAGGACAAAAACGTTCTGATTGAATCAACAGTTATAGAACGACCTTCATTGCACTGGACGTTCTCTTAAAATTTGGTACCACCCCCTCGTAATACTTAACAAATAGAGAAGCCTTGACTGTGCTCTGTTCTGTTATAAAGCACGCAGGAAGCGGCTAGAGCACGAAAGAAGTGTAGGGAGAAACACGAGACGTAGTCGAGTGTTTCTTCCCACTTCTTGAGTGCTCTAGCCGCTTCCTAAGTGCTTTATAACAGAACAGAGCACAGTCAAGGCTTCTCTATTTGTTTTATAATAAAGAGTCCGTTAAATTACCCAAGCATTACTTTTAATTTTCAAAACAACCTTTATTTCCAAAGCGAACAACAATGTCGTCAGCATGCTCTATACTCTCATAAAGCACGCTACAATAAGCCAATCAGAATCCTTGTTAGAATGGTTAAAATAATCTGATTGGCTGTTCAAGACTAAAGCTGTCAAAAGTGTCAAACCATCAAAGTTCAAAAACCATCAAAGTTCACATTCCACGATAGTTTACAAACTAAAATAGTTCGGCAAGTCGAATTTAACACTTTTGCCTGAAGTTTTTAAGTCTCTAAGACAGAATCTTGAAGTGAAATGTTCAGTGAACTTCAGCCGAATTATGGCTCACAAAAACACGCGATTTTTTTCACATGAGAAGGTAGAAAACAAACTGTTCAAGGCGAATGTTTTTTGAATGAACGACAGCCGAATTAACCGGAACATGAAGATCGCTCGTGATGATAGCGCCGCAAAACTCGGCCGTAGTGACTGATGTGAATTGCCACTCAACGTATCGGAAAGAATATCAGAGCAAGCTCTTATTTTTTCACTCGAAGGGTGGCCGATGTAGTTTCTGAGGCTTGCTTTACTGTGATGACAGGAGATCGCCATGATGCGCAAGCCGCGATGAAATTCAGAATGATCATATTCGCTCAGACACCGTCATGATTAGTATGAATTTTAACAATTATGCCAGTTTGGTTATATTTTTCATCATTTCTGTTTGGTTCTGTTTTGTTTTTGAACACTGAACTTTATATACTATACGAGTGTTAGCTGTGTTTGATTTTTATTACCGTACGTAAGCTTGCAATCTAACTGAGCGTGAAAATCTTTAAAACTCGGAATGTTAATTTTGTTTTTCCTTTGAGGATTTTCGTATCTGCTCACGTTTTAATAACGTAAATTACGGCGCCTGGTATGTTTACAAACCTTTGTTTGATTCTTCTGTTGCTACTTGCCGGCTCGCTTCAGTTCTGAAATTTCACTTTCAATTATCGGAAAAAAGCTAAAAAGAAGTCCCGGAAAAGCTCGAACATAGTACAATTTGGCAGATGGCATGACAGCTTTAGCTCAGCTCTATGCTCTATACTCTCATAGAGCACGCTCTTTCAACCAATGACAGCGCGCGTTATATCCAAACTTTATTATAACAATAGATATTCATCACTTTGACTCGGTCGCGTTATGCCAATCGCACGCGGAAAATATCTCATGTCTCATTAATGAAGTTATGCTACGTTTATCTATTCATAAGATCGCTTCACGAACCTAGTATTTCTACTGTCACATCAGTACGTTTTGTTTTCAGATCTTCCTTTAAATGGTTCATCATACCCATTTTGTCGTTTAGCCTCTCCTTGTTTCTTCTTTCTTGAAGATCAAATTGCATCTTTTTGTCCTCATCCTGAAGGAAACTGATCTTCTCAAACAACTTAGAGTTGACTTCTGCAAAGAGAAAGAAAATAAATCATTCAAACTTCAAGAACAGAAGACACTCTTTCAAGTAGTAAAGAGTGAAATAAATTGTCACCAAACAATTCGTCCATGTTTGCTTCGGTATTAGCCACCGCCTTGAGGACAAAACTGTTAACAAGGAAGAAACGGTCTCTTCCATTTCAGCAATTTGGTCCTCAAGGCAAGCGTTCTTCGTTTATAATTCGGACTTATCGTCTGAAAAATGTCATCAAAACAGACAGTTTAAATTACTTCAGGAAGTACTAAAAACGAAAACAAAAAGTCACCTGACAATTCCTTCACTTTTGCTTCGGCATTAGTCATTGTTTCTTCCATAATGACAACTTTTTCCTCGAGGCATCTGTTTTTCCTCAACAGTTTCTTCTTAACGGCTGAAAATGGCAATAAAACAAATAAATCAAACTTAACGAACAGAAAACGCTTTTTCAACTGGTAAAAAGCGAATTCCTACATTTTTTTTCTTCGGCATCAGCCACCGCCATGAGGACCATATAGTTAACATGGAAAAAACGACTTCTTCCGTTTCAGCAATTTGCTTCTCAGGGCAAGTGTTCTTGGTTAACAATTCTGTTTGTCTGGGTTTTCTTTCTTTTTTTTTTTTTTTTTTTTTGATGGACGCAACAAAATAAATTACCAGCTACCTTTGTTAAAAATTGTGTTTTGCTTAATTTTGTGTTGCCAAATATTAACCCGCTATGTTACACATACCTAGAGAAACCTCCAGTCTTTCACTGATTTTGTCAACATCGTCTGCAGCTTTCTGCAGGCTCTTGTGATAATTTCTCGTATCAACCGTTAATTTTTTAAGGAGATCTTCATATTTGTTTAGCCGAGATGTAAGCTGTTGAATTTTTTGATCTTTCTCACCGATTGTCTCCTTTGATACAGAAAGAGTCGCTGAAATGAACACAAAATACGGGAATATTACGATGCCATTCAGTAAGCAAGACATTTAATTATTACTAGTAGTCAGGCACAGAATTTAAAAGCTCCTCAGAGAAAATACAAACGTCGCTCATGTTGAAATATCTCAGATTGTTTTCAGCCACATCCTTCGAGTTTTCATAAAATCGTATACTTGATTAATTTCGTATTGCCAAAAATAAACCACATCTCCCCCCAATGAAAGCCAAGTCCAACAGAGAAAGATTTGACGTCGAATGAAGATTTCTTCAGTATGTTCAATCACTTTTTATTTTCTCTTTCAGCTTAATGAAATCTTCTTTTGTTGACCACGCAGGGAAGAGTTGATCATTTATAATAATTCTTTATCTCGGTTTCTGGTGATTGTAAAGGCTTAGCTCATCAGAGATCAATTGCATTTCTATATTTCCATTTTATTGACTCCTTCGCTTCCTCTTCTTCTTTGCACATTCTCAAACAATCTTCCAAATGTAAACGTTCACAAAATAGACGCAAACAGCTTCATTCCTTGGACAAGGATTGTCAAAGGGGTGCTGGGTGTTCGCCATCGTTTTGATCATTTTATTTAAAACGTAAATAATTTAACTCAGAGATGGCTTTCAAGAATGATATTTTTAAAATATGATTTTGTTTAGGTAAAGTTTAAGTCAAGCAAATTGAATTCTGGGATGCAAACTTCATGGCTGCCAGCCAGGTTTCTCGATTGTCCTCATGATGTGATTAAATAATCATGTTACGACACCGTGACGACGCCATCTGTTTACCGCGCGTAACTATAACTGCTCAGACTGGAAAGATTTGCGATTTCGAATGAAACGATTATAGCTACGGGTGTAAACATGAGTACTATGTGGATACCATAAAAATCAGGTAGAGTTATAAACTTCTGGTAAAAACAGATTACTGGAGAAGAGGAAAAATTGTCTTCTTCGCCTGTAATGTGCTTGTAAAAGAAGTGAACGAGCATTCGGTTCATTGGATGTCCTTTCTAAAGCCAACGTGTGGGTCACCGATCTTCCCACAAACAATTTAGAACCGATTGAGGAATCAATTGGCTCGTAATTGTTTGTGGGAAGATCAGGGAGGGGTGGCACCGACTGTATCCAAGCCATTTTCTCATGTATCTACGTTGTGAATTATTACATATTATGCCGGGGAAGTATTAAATATCTTTTTACAGGTTGTTGTTTGCTCGTTTCTAACGTTTTTTTTTTTGCTTTTCTGTGCTTATCTACAAAAATTTTGATTTAACGCAACAATATTTAGTTCATAAGCACGTTTTATGATCAGTTCTATATTGAAAAAAAAAAAAAATGAATAAATAGTTTACCTTATGCATAAGACTTACCTTCACAGGCCTTTATCCCTTCAGAGAGATTTGAAATGACCGTCCGAGCTTTCTCCAGTTCACTCTGGGCATTAGCTGCCATCTTTTTGAAGAGATCTTTTTGTCTTGTATGACACTTTTCTCTCATACCGAGAGTGTACTTCAAGTCTTTAATTTCAGTCTGGAGAGACTCGTTTTCTTTTTCATACTGAATGCGTAGATCGTCCATTTTGTCACGTGATTCTTTCAGTTGATTTTCCAAGGCAGAGTTCCTTTTTAGGAGTTCTTTCTCTCTCTCTAATGTAGTTATAAAAGCTTAGCTCAGTGGTGAATAACCGCATTTTTTGTCTCAAATATCCTCTGAAAGTACGATTGTCTTAGATTGTCTAAAGCAAACCGAATTCAGGGAATGGTGCTCTGATATGCTTTAGAAAGTTAGATGGTCAGTATAAGCAACGAGCCAATAGTCAACTGACTAAGCTCTGACGTCTCACATGTCATACCAATCGGGGATCACAGCTGAATAGACAGACAGACAGACGGACAGAAAGACAGACAGACAGACAGACAGACAGACAAACAGACACTCAATAAGCATGGTCCTTTCTTCAGTCATCCGGTCGATAAGTCAAACCATATGTTGGTTGGTCAGTCAGTCAGTCAGTCAGTAAGTCGATCGGTCAGTCACTCGGTCAGTCATTCAGTAACTCAATCACTTGGTCAGTCAGTCAGGCAGTGACTCGGTCAGTCAGGCAGTTACTCAGTCAGTCACTTGGTCAGTCGGTCAGTCAGTGACTCGGTCAGTCTTATTTAATGACAGATCAGTTGTTTCAATATAACCAGCACATCATTCACGAATACCTTGATGTATTTCAGTCGGCAAGTGACTAAGCTTTCAAATAATCTATAGTTATACACCCTCACCACTTTATTTTCTTTTTTCGCGGATTTGACGACAAAAACAGACAAAGGCCTGCATATTGAATGATTATCCACTTTGTTGAGAGCAATCACCTTTAATGAGTTCTCAGTCAGTGGAGGCAAAAAGGTCGAAGGGGGGAGTTATCAAAAAACGGCGAGAGTTACGCTAAGAAATATGAGGAACAATCTCTGCTGTTTCCAGCGTTTTCTTCGCCCACTCACTATTGCGTTGGTCCGCACTTACCACCAGCCTGGATTAAAGTTGGAAAAAATAGATATCTTACCTAGGTATTGTTGTTCAAGGACTGCCACCTTCTCCTCCAATTCTTTCTCCTTCTTACCCTAGTTCAATAAGATTAAGTACATTTGACTTTTTACATACAAAACATTGTGTTTGGAAATTGGTAACACCGGGTAATAACAACTTTTAATCTTTCTCTTGTATTAAACGCTAAACCAAAGTAAGCAGCCATCCAGTAGACAGTTCTTCACATATCCCAGCTTAATGAAATCCCTAGTTTAGAGAAGCACTCCGAGTATTTTTTTGTGTCACTGTTTTTTTGTCTTCGGCAAAAACATTACATATGGAGCCAATGAGAACATATACATATGCCGACCATGAGAACTCCGCAAAGGCGCATAATACACAATAAATGAAATTTTAGTTTTCAAAGAACAAGGATGTACATAGTTTGGTGTGTTGCAAAATCAGCTATAATTTAGTCTGATTTGTTAAACGGTTAAATACTCTTTATAACAAAATGATCACCAAACTAGTCTTTAGAGCCTGTTTTGTTTACTTGTTATAGATGGGAAAAATTTTTTCAACTTTTTCCTTCAATAACGTTGTTCAAAAGAAAACTAAATCGGTGCGTCGTAGTTGAAGGGCATTTCCGCGCGCTTGATTCATCTCAAAATTGAGTACAAAAGTAAGAAAGAAAGAAAAAGGCAAAGTCCTAAACTTAAAAACTGAATGGCATATTGTCCCATCAGTCTCCTCATCTCTAAACAGTCTTCAAATAATGTATTAAAAGAAAAGAAGTGTAAGTTAGGCACCTACCTTTTTAGTCATCTTGCGCGCCCCGAATGATTCCTCAATCGGATCTAAGTTATTTGTTGGAAGATCTGTGAACCAAATATTGGCTTTAGAAAGGACATCCAATGAGCTGGTTGCGCATTCATTGTCTTCTTCTCCAGTGAACTGTTTGTACACGTAGTTTATCCACGAATTGCTCATGTTTTCCCCTCGAAGATATACACGTTTCACTCGAAATTGCAAATGATTTCTGTCTCAGAAGTTGTTATGGTTACGTGCGGTAAACAATTGTATCGTCACGATGTCGTAACATAACAATACTATCACTTAGTAAAGATATGCGAGAAGCCTGGATCGCAGCCAAGAATTTTGCGCGCAAGAATTTAATTTACTTCACTCAGAGTTCACCCACTTCATTATTTCTCGATCACATCAACTCTTTCTCTCCGAATATTTAACGCTCTTAAAAGGAAGTGAATGGTTGGAAACTTGAAATTCAGCTTTCTTCTCAAAAAACGACTCATTCACTCAAAACCACTGCAGATTTATTTCGTTCTATGCAAATTGTTATCTTGAGCCAAGAAACGATAGTTCAGCTGGTTTAGCCCGAAACTGAATCTTAAGCAAACAACCAAAGCCGCGATTTATTTTGAGGGCATTAGCCGGTCCGAAATACGAACAGTTGTCCGTGTTCTCTGGTACCACGGTATGAACAAACCAATTTGTCCCTTCATTTGTAATAATAGCTAAATGCTCTTACGTCTGTAATAAAATTTTCAACGAACTCTTTTATCGGGGTAGTTATACGTTTGATAATTGGCGAATGTCACTCAGTGCATATCCTCGGACATTCCCAGTTTTAGCGGGGCATATTCGATCACGAGATGTGCGCGCGAGCAAGAATATTTGATGGATTGTAACGGTCGCTAATCGAAAACTTTTCAAATCTGATTACGACTGAATTTACTCGCGCACACCAACAAAGCGAACTTTCTTTAGTTGGTTTGAGAAAAAACTGGCTTTTTGGCTGTTGGAGTTAAATTGCGCCTCTTAAGCAAAATTAATCATAAGGTTATATTTTTCGCTGTCATCTGCAGTTTGTCTAGAGTATTTGGATTCATTTTTGGAGAATTTAATTGATCTCTTTGCGAAGAAAGCTGAATTGAAGTTTCCAACATTTTATTTCGTTTTATAGCCTTAGTAATCTAGAGAGGAAAAGTAGATGAAATTGGATTCAAAATCTCTGGAAAGAAGCAGGAATTCAAACAATGAAATGGAGGTACAATGGTTTTATTTGGCATTACAATTTTTTACTTTTCGCTCGCTACACTTCGTTAAAACCACACTATAACATTTAAATTTGATAGTCCGTTGCACCAAATTCAATACATTTGCACAGAGCTCAAAAACGTCATAAACAGTGACCGTAAATCAGAGAGAAAAGCTGAAGAGTTGAAGGAATTAATATCCAAATTGAATCAATGTATTTGAAATATTGCCAAAAGAAAAAAAAAGAGAAACGTCTCGACTTTTTTTAGGGATAGGGTGTAAGATATCCGTCTCCTTGCTACGTAGAAAACTATTTTTTCTAAAATCAGTTGTAGTTGTTGGTAAGTGCCAACAAGTAAATCACAACAAATCAGAAATTGGTCCGACTTTTCCGATTTGAATCGCTTTATCGACGGGTAGATAAAATGGATGTGAATGTCTGTTTCCATCTCCTTGCTACTTAGAAAACTATTTTTTTCTAAAATCAGTTGAATTTGTTGGTTAGTGCCAACAAGTAAATCACAACAAATCAGAAATTTGTCCGGCTTTTCCGAATTGAATCGCTCTATCGATAGGTAGATAAAAATGGATGTGAATTTCTGTTTTAGTTAAGCTGCTTTCAAAATTTCATCAGAGCGTACTAGCAACAACTGGAGTAAAAAGTTTCCCACCACAAGCAAAAACATTTTAATCTTGATGATTAATCTGATTTCAGAGTTGAACCCAAACTTATTAAGCCATTCATAGATTGATATGAACGTTAAACCTTTTACCTCTAGTTGCAAGTTTATTGAGTTATAAAAGTCATGCCAGGAAGTTATATGCTCCTAGGAACTATGTTAAGCATTCTGAGACATGAAATCGATCCGCTTACATAATATCGCTGTCATCCATTCAGCTTGCTTTTTAGTCATCATCACATTGAGTTGGTGCATAAACTCTGATTTTTAAAATCAGTAGTTTCTCCTCACAACGGCCTTTTAACGGGCTAGCTCTTCTAGTTGTTGGTTCACTCACTGTTTATGGGAGGAATTCGTTATTGCCAGCTCTTCTAATTCTGCCGATTATCAAAGAAATCTCAAATACAAGCATGTTATATTCAAACAGATTTGTACGCTAATATGGTGAATGACTTCTATTCTAGTCATGCTATACTTATGTTTACATTTAATCTATTTTTCATCAAATGCATTATTAGTTTAAAAAGATCTAAATTTTCAATACAGTTTAACCTTCACGAAAGGCCTTCTCTCAACTGAAACAGCCACTCAACGGGCGAGATACATGCTCCAACCCTAAAAGTTCCCGGAAATACATAGGAAATACAAAGGGAATTACCCGATGGCGAAACTGATTTTGAGGACAAATTTAATTAGAGAGAATGCACGAGCGGCTAGTTCGGTTAGTCTTTAAATAAACAAAGATCAGTTTTTTTCACCGATTTTATTTGATCTTTTCTGGATGTCTCTTCCTGTTCGTTTGAATTTTCTTTCTTTTTATTGATGGGCTTAATAATAAGGAATTACAAGTTACCTCTGTTCAGAATCGTGTTTTGATTAATTTTGCGTTACCAAATATTAACCTACTATGTTACACATACCTAGAGAAACCTCCAGTCTTTCACTGATTTTGTCAACATCGTCTGCAGCTTTCTGCAGGCTCTTGTGAAAATGTCGTGTATCTATCGTCAGATTTTTTAATCAGATCTTTATACGTGTCTCTCTCAGAGAGACACATAAAGATCTTATTAAAAATCTGAGAAGAAGTAAGCTGTTTGATTTTTTATTCTTTGTCACTGATTGTCTCCTTTGATGCAGAAAGAGTCGCTGAAATGGGAAAAATAAGGGAATATTACAATGCCATGTAGTAAGTAAGGCATGCCATTAGTTATTAGTTGTGAGCAGCAGACTTAAGCTTAGAGATAGTATCTACGTAGCTCACGTTAGAAATATCTCAGATTGTTTTCAGCCGCATCGTTCGAAATTTCCCAAAAGTCGCTTGTTTGATTAATTTTGTATTGTCAAAGATAAATCACATCTCACCCTCTCGAAAGCCACTGAATTCTTACAGAGAAAGTTTTGAAGTCGGCTGAAGATTTCTTCGGTTTGCAATTAATTTTTATTTTCTCTTCCAGCCCAGTTGAAGATATTTAAACTCCGCCAGAAGTTCAAGAGAGTTCGACTTAAGTGGAACAAACTTTACCAGTAAGTGACTTGTAACTCGGTATCAATTGATCATACAGTGGGCCTTGACATTCCTTCAGTTGACCGCGCAAGGAAGAGTTGATCATTTATAATTCTTCATCTCGGTTTTTTGTGATGACAAAAGCTGAGCTCATTAGAGATTGATCGCATTTCTATATTTCTATGTTGTGTTCTATTTTTTCAAGGCCTTCGCTTCCTCTTCTTCTTTGCACATTCTCTAACAATCGCTCAAATGTCAACATTCACAAAATAGATGCTAAACAGCGTCATTTCCTGGACAAGGATTATGAGAGGAGCGCTAGGTGTTCGAGTCATTTTTTTAATTCTATTTGAAATGTAAACAATTTGATTAAGGGATGGCTTTCAAGAATGAACTTCGATAGACAAGATTTTTCTAAGGCTAACTCTAAGTAAAGTAAGTTGAATTCTAGCGCGTAAACTTCTTGGCCTCGACCAAAGTTTCTCCCGTCTTTTCACCAACTGAGCAAATAATTATGTTTCGCAAAGACTTGAAAGATTGTGTAATTTGCTTGTACCCGAAGTTTATAATTCCATCTGAGGTGGAGTTGTAAACTTCTTGTACAAGCACATTTTAGGTAATGACAATGAACGAGCATCCAGTTCGCCAATGCGTAGATTACCGATCTTCCCACAAACAGTAACGAGCCAAGTTAAGGAGTCAATTGGCTCGGAAGATCAGGTTTGGTTGTAACCGACTGTATCCCAGCCATTTTGTAATTTATTGTTTGTTGAAGGTTATAAATAATGACAATGAACAATTTCTCTTGCATCCAGTTCATGCAAGACACTATTTTTCTAAAAAAGATGAAAGTGACGTCAACCGCCCGTACATTTTATGCAAACTTATTTAATTTCAGTCTGGAGAGACTCGTTGTCGTTTTCTTGCTGCGGATGTGTAGATCGTTCATTTTGTCACAGGATCCTTTCAACTGATTTTTTAAGGCAGGGTTCTTTTTTAGGAGTTCTTTCTCCCACTCTAAAGTAATTATAAAGCAAGGCTGAGAAGCGGACAATCGCATTGTTGTTTATGAAATACCCTCTTAGAGAATGTTTGTTTCAAATTGTCTAAAACCAACCAAATTTAGGGAATGAAGCTCCGACAGGCTTTAGAAAGTTAGAGTGCCAGAAGTGAGCAATGAGCGAGTATTAAATTGACCCCATCATGTGGTCAGTCACGTACGTCAGTCAGTCAACCAGCCATTTTCCGTAATTCCGTATCTGTTCCGTCTCCGTCGGACGGACTGTGAAACAGCTAAATCCTTCAGTCAGTCAACCAACTGGTATGTCAGTCAGTCAGTTCGTTCGTCCATCCGTCAGGCAGTCGGTCATTCAGTCAACCAGCTAATCAGTCAGTCTGTCCGTCCGTCCGTTCTCCGTCAGTAAGGCAGTCAGTCACACATTCAGTAGGTCTGTCCGTTCGTCAGCTCGGGACTGCCCGCTTTGATCTCGCGCAAGATAAACACTGTGTGGAACAGCATGGAGCGGACTTACAAAGTCCGTAATTTTGGACGTTTTCAGCGATAGAGACGCAAAAAGCACTAGAAGACAGTCGAAACAAAGAAAACATAGACGACTCTAGAAGGTTTATTGTGCTACAAACACATTTGACATTTGGCTTTCTTTCCGGGGAGGGAGGGGGGGCCTCTCGAAATAAACAAGTCATACATATCAATCATAGTTGATTCTTTATAAAGTGAAAACTTTAGGCCATATAATAAATCCGTTATTGACCAAGCTTGTGCGGTCAAGATGACTGGATATTAGCGTCGCCGGAACCTTTTTGGCTACGGCGGTGTGCTACACGAATTTAAGTTTTAGGCAAGATGAAACATGGTTACTCCACAGGGTTCCCAGGTAATTTCTGACTGTCTCGTTTCCTGTTTAACTATTTTCACCTTAATATCAGTATCCATATTCTCCATACTTTTCTCCATACATTTCCCAAAGTGCTGACAAGGAAAACTTCTTTAGCAATGAACAGTTGCTTTAGTTTGTGGTCCTTTCCTTTATTCTGGAGACCTTAATGCGTAATTGTGAGGAGAAAGTAGATGCTGGTCACTTTTTTAGAGGTCAAAACCGCGTTAACGTGAAGTAGTGATCGAAATACGTTTCGTGTTCGTGTATTATGCAGCCGGCGAGGAAGATCGTGCCGAGGAAAGGAGCAAATACTCCAGCCATTTATGTTATTTATTAAGAGAACACAACATTTCAATGAACGAAAGTTGCAGAACACTTCCCGAGACTCAAATCCTAAACTAATGATGTTGTCATTAAGAGAACAAACCAAAGTGACATCAGTTCTCAGAATGAAACAAGAACTTTGTTGAAACTCTTCTTGGTATGAGAAAAATTGCAGTGAATAAGCACCCAGACCTCCGCAGAGATATAGACAGAGATATAATCGAATAGCAAGAGTTTCTTCATTCATTGTTTAGTTTGCACTAAACTCCAATCTTTCTGGATTATGAAAATACAAGTTAAAGGCAGATGTAGTGCATTAAGGTGAAGGTAAAATGGATGAAAATACTATATATAAAGAGGACAGTGTTTTCTTTCCCTAAAGGAACATAAAGGCAGTAGTCAAGAGTTACAGTGTTGAAAAAGTAGAAATGGCTAAATATGCATCACTGATTGTTTGAGTGGACTGAGAAGATCATTCAACTCTACTTTATAGACCATGGTTTGATCACCTTGCAGGATGAAACATTCCCACTTACTTTTGCCCGACTGCCGAAATTTCGCAAAGCAAATTTTAAGCTTTTCATTTACCCGCGCAATTTCTAGATCCCTGCAAGTTTTACTCGAGCAAGTCATTTTCAAGTCCGCATTTAACGCAGTCTAATTCATCCCGGGAGCCAAAACATTTCGCTTCCTTCTATCGATTCTGCCGTTGTTACTCACTCTTACGGAAAGAGCAATCCATGGGTAAAAAACAGCAAGAGAGTGATAAATTTCTTTACTATTCATCACTGTCTGAATCAACAGTAGAGTCGTCCATACGTCCATGAATACCATGTACTCCTATTAATGTGTTAGAGGAGGAGAGGGGAAGAGGAGAACCCAGTTCAGCAGGATAAACAGAAGGTCCCAGCCACTTCTTATCTTACACCGTCTCCAAGATAGGACGTTCTGACCCCTTCGGTATCAGTAAAGGGTAGTAAAGGCGACCCCAAAATTAACTCTGACCAGTGGAGTACATGTATGCTTTCTTGGCTCCCTACTTATCGCTAGTGATCAAAACACAACATTTCGACTAAAAACTGAAGCTTATCATTTTGAAAGAAGAGTACATCGCCTTGATGACACGAAGAAGTTCATCTTGTTCTCAACCCGGAAAAGTAAATGGTTGTTATACCCAGACCATCGGAATGTTGCTACTTAACACATATCAAACAGATCATGAAACATGAAAAGAATTTATTTGCATGAATGGCATGTAAGTGTATGCCCATATTTTCCATTAAATTATATAAATATTTACAATATATACTGATTGCAAATCCTCATATCACAACATTTTTTCAACTATTTACAATATTAACTGAGTTGCAATTGATAATTGCAAGGATGAGTCCTGAAAACCTGCACAAAAGATAAGAAAATAGATACATGAGCTGTGATCAGCAGCATATCTTAAAGGAAATGATTCATTTGTATCTGGAGGAGTGACACTTTAGTGAAAGAGGACAGAAGGTAATAAACCGTTTCAAAATCCACCAGATCACTCGAGACTATACACAAAACCAAAATAAATGAGACTTTTGTTATGTTATGTTATCTAACTGTGAATAAAAGGACTTAAGGAATCAAAAGCAGCAAATTAAAGTATTTTTAGGTATTTCCCTCAATCACTTGAGTTAGCCGAAATCGACCGTCGTAAATTACAATGTATGTTAGAAATCAACCACAGTATCTAGTAACTGCAGTCGAGGAGCCTGTCAAATAAGTGTTCGAGAGCCATTTAAAGTATACAGAAATGAGGGAAACCGTGAAATACAAATATGGGAAGACAGATGAATACCAGAGTAAAAAAAAGATGATGTACCTGAGAGGGACGAAGGTTGGTTCAAACACAGGCAGACAAACCTATAGCTTTGAGGGAGCGTGATGTAAAAATGCCCAAAATACTTTTCCAAAGAATCCTTGCTCTTCTGTATAAACAAAGAAAGGAATAAGTGTTGTAGAGGATCTCAGTCAACTGTACGGTACTGTGATACTTAAAACTACTTCCCTAAAACGCACGGAGTTGTAATGGTAACCTAAAAAAATGATATAAACGAACCATTATACTGTTCAGTGCAAAATAACAACGATAAAAAAATTGAAAAAAATTAATTTCTGTTAAGAATCAAACAATCCCAAATCTTAAAAATAACCAAAGATCTTTTACATGCGAAAAAGTGACGAACCTCAACGAAAGTCTCGTTCCACAGTAAGGGGACGCAACTCATCTAGAAAAAGTTTTACGCTCTGACACCGGTAAAAGATATAGTGTTTATGCCATAATTGGAAGTATACTCATTGAATTACGAAGAACAAATAAGTTATGCAGATTTTACCGAAGTACAGAAGTGCACTCGGCTCACATACACTAACGCCCTACAAGTTCACTTTTCCTTTACAGAGAGAATCTGAACTTTAAGAGAAAATCTGGGAACGAGATTAGGTTCGAACAAGGACTTCTGATTGTTACGCAACTAGGGTTTAATTTCGTTTTCATCTTCTTTACCAGATCACTGTTTCAGTATTCATACCTTTTGCCGTCTCTAAGGATGAGTTTTCTTTCTTAGCAGAGGATTTTTCATCATTTGTCTTACATGACGGATGGCTTTCTTCTTTTGATCGACAACCATCGGCTACAAAAATCGAAAGACATTAAGATGCTGACGTGCTGATGCTGTACTCTCCACTGAGTTTTGGAAGATTTGTGACCGAAAACTTTCCCACCAACATTGTGAAACAATTTGAACCAACGGGGATGACTTTTGGCAAGATTCTCTTTCTTTTGACTTTTCAAATGGGTCAGGTAAATCTAATTTGTCAGTATATCCATGCACACTTTTCTAAACCCACTAAAAAGGCGAGAAGACATAAAACATGACTAATCCGCGAGATAAAACTCTCTCAAAAGTTTCACACTACACCATTGAGTTACATTTTTAAAGGCAATATAGGAAGAAAGAAAAACGTAACTCTTTTTCAGGATTTTCAAAATTTTCAAACAACCTTCTAGTTATTCCACAGGGTATAATTTTTTTCTCGCCAAGTCACTGATATCACTGATATGGAACATACTAAATGAAAATTATAACAAGATATTTTCAAAGAATTATTACCTTTTTCTGCCTCAAAGGATGAGTTTCGTATCTTAGCAGAGGACATTTTCTTAACAGAGGACTCATCTTGCGACTTTTCATCATACTTAGAATGGTCTTCTTCTACTAATCGACAGGCTCCGTCTACAAAAATTGAAAGTCAATAAAACATTAAAAAACTTTGACGTGCTGATGCTTTCTTCTTCTCCGAGTTTCGGAAGATTTTCCAGGAATCACATGGTTTTTTTTAGGGGGGGGGGATCAGTCTTCACTAACAGAGTAAAAGTTAGGGTATTTAAAATTACATTGCATTTTGATACAACCAAAATCCTCCGCTCCCACCCCTTCAGGCGATGAATAATGACCAGTCTCTTACTCACTGTCATGGGACATACTAAAAAACGTATAAGTACATATTATCAAAACATTTTATACCTTTTTCCGCCTCGAAGGATGAGTTTCCTTTCATTGAAAAATATTTTTCATCTTTTTCTTCTAAATGGCTTTCATGCAGAGTTCGTTCAGGATCGTAATCAAAGCCACCGGCTGCAAAGAAAGAAAGGCATCCAAAAACCTCAAAACTCTGACAACTTTTGTCAGTAGTAAACTGGAAAATATATGAAAATAGCATTTTCATAGAAATGTCACTTACCCTTTTGGGAGAAAGGTAGAAAGTTTCCTTGGTTCCTAACCAGCCAGTCGTCATCCTTTTTAGCTCGGCCTACTTCAGATGTAGATAGTCGTGCAAATATGGGAGGGAGGGGTGATTGATGGTGCCTGATGGGGCCACCTTTGTCTGAAAGAGACGCCAATGAGATTAGTAGATTTTTACAAAACCCGTTTCCCATTTGCTTTGTTTCTTCGTTTATTTTTTGGTAATGTGTTTCACTGCTCTTACCTGCGGTAGGCATGGACAACGGATCAGCTGTTTTGCTGTCGCAACTGAATCCCTTGCTTTGATCACTTCTATGCCTTTTTCTCAGACAGGTGTCCTGCACTAAAGTTCCACTCGTTGAAACTCTGGCTGCAGATGATAACATTGACGGGCGAGGCTCGCTGTTCTCTTTGACTGAAATGACGAGAAATGAAATAATCCTGTAACATTTTTACTCGATAAATACTTGGCTAGTCTATGCTGACAACATTCTCATCCCACTCCCTCCTCCCCCCCTCCCCATAAGAGATAAGAGGCGTCAATGATATCTTACGTAATAACTAAAGTACAAGTTACTACAATTACAACAAAATGTTAAATTATCAACACCTTTTACTGTCTTCTTTACATTTGCTTCATCGCCTTTAGGCGTTTCTGTCTCTTTTATAAGCACAGTACTTTTTTGTTCTGGGAGAAAACAGTCCCCGCTTTTCACATTGAGCTCTGTAGGTTGCAGGTCGTCGTAGACACCGGCTAGGGAAAAAAAATTGAACGCATTAAAACTTGGATATATTTCCGACACAAACCCCTTCTTTAAGTTTTGACAGACATCGTATGCAACAACTTCCCTTCCAACATCGAATATGCCTATATGTTCATCGGAGTCTGTTCCACGCGTACCAGTTTATGAATTATAATATATAGATTTAGCCAAGCCTAAAAGCGAAGCTCGCATTTTTTTCCCGCACGTCTCAAGGGCACAACGCCTTGCCTCGGCCAGGCCTAAAAACCCGGGTCGTCCGACTCGGAGCCCAGTGCACTGACCACTGGACTACTGAACAAAGCCGCGGCGTTGGCGTGCCCGCATTACAGTTGACCACGCATGTTAAAATTAGTACCTTCTACGGTCGTACGGTCGTAAGGTTGTACGGTCGTACGGTCGTACATCCAAATTTTTTCAGCTTGATGGATTACTACTATTTTGTATAATTATGGGGCTACGCTCTGCGAGCTCCACTATAAATCTCATCCTCTATTTGGTGCGAAAATGCACCAGAATATTAGTTCACGGATATCATCCATTACAAAGGGCAAATATTCAGGCTAGAAGCGAATTTTGAGGAAGACTGTGAGTTTTAGATATTGTCACTGAAAGGAAAAATAAACCTTCATATTTTTAATGCTAATAGAGACTTTCTCGTTTATTATTCTTCAATATATTTTTGAAATGCACGACACAAAGGGTTTACCAACAGCTCACTTTATAAAACGGGGGTTGAAATTTTAAAGCAATTTTGTCAACAAATAAGCTCATCCCCTTATTAGTGTCAAGGACAAAAACGTTTTGATTGAATCAACAGTTATAGAACGACCTTCATTGCACTGGACGTTCTCTTAAAATTTGGTACCATCACCTCGTAATACCAATAGATATTCATCACTTTAACTCGGTCGCGTTAAAATCAATCGCACGCGGAAAATATCTCATGTCTCATTAATGAAGTTATGCTACGTTTATCTATTCATAAGATCGCTTCACGAACCTAGTATTTCTACTGTCACATCAGTACGTTTTGTTTTCAGATCTTCCTTTAAATGGTTCATCATACCCATTTTGTCGTTTAGCCTCTCCTTGTTTCTTCTTTCTTGAAGATCAAATTGCATCTTTTTGTCCTCATCCTGAAGGAAACTGATCTTCTCAACCAACTTAGAGTTGACTTCTGCAAAGAGAAAGAAAAGAAATTATTCAAACTTCAAGAACAGAAGACACTCTTTCAAGTAGTAAAGAGTGAAATAAATTGTCACCGAACAATTCGTCCATGTTTGCTTCGGTATTAGCCACCGCCTTGAGGACAAAACTGTTAACAAGGAAGAAACGGTCTCTTCCATTTCAGCAATTTGGTCCTCAAGGCAAGCGTTCTTCGTTAATAATTCGGACTTATCGGCTGAAAAATTTCATTATAACAGATAGTTTAAATTACTTCAGGAAGTACTAAAAACGAAAAAAAAAAAGGTCACCTGACAATTCCTTCACTTTTGCTTCGGCATTGGTCATTGTTCCTTCCATAGTGACAATTTTTTCCTCGAGGCATCTGTTTTTCCTTAACAGTTTCTTCTTAACGGCTGAAAATGGCAATAAAACAAATAAATCAAACTTAACGAACAGAAAACGCTTTTTCAACTGGTAAAAAGCGAATTCCTACATTTCTTTCATCGGCATCAGCCACCGCCATGAGGACCAAATAGTTAACATGGAAAAAACGACTTCTTCCATTTCAGCAATTTGGTTCTCAGGGCAAGTGTTCTTGGTTAACAATTCTGTTTGTCTGGGTTTTCTTTCTTTTTTTTTTTTTTTGATGGACGCAACAAAATAAATTACCAGCTACCTTTGTTAAAAATCGTGTTTTGCTTAATTTTGTGCTGCCAAATATTAACCCACTATGTTACACATACCTAGAGAAACCTCCAGTCTTTCACTGATTTTGTCAACATCGTCTGCAGCTTTCTGCAGGCTCTTGTGATAATTTCTCGTATCAACCGTTAATTTTTTAAGGAGATCTTCATATTTTTTTAGCTGAGATGTAAGCTGTTTAATTTTTTGATCTTTCACACTGATTGTCTCCTTTGATACAGAAAGAGTCGCTGAAATGAACAAAAAATACGGGAATATTACAACGCCACTTAGTAAGTAAGACATTTAATTATTACTAGTAGTCAGGCACAGAATTTAAAAGCTCCTCAGAGAAAATACAAACGTCGCTCACGTTGAAATATCTCAGATTGTTTTCAGCCACATCCTTCGAGTTTTCCTAAAATCGTATATTTGATTAATTTCGTATTGCCAAAAATAGACCACATCTCCCCCCAATGAAAGCCAAGTCCAACAGAGAAAGATTTGACGTCGAATGAAGATTTCTTCAGTATGTTCAATCACTTTTTATTTTCTTTTTCAGCTCAATGAAATCTTCTTTTGTTGACCACGCAAGAAAGAGTTGATCATTTATAATAATTCTTTATCTCAGTTCCTGGTGATTGTAAAGGCTTATCTCATCAGAGATCAATTGCATTTCTATATTTCCATTTTATTGACTCCTTCGCTTCCTCTTCTTCTTTGCACATTCTCTAACAATCTTCTAAATGTTAACGTTCACAAAATAGACGCAAACAGCTTCATTTCCTGGACAAGGATTGTCAAAGGAGTGCTGGGTGTTCGCCACCGTTTTGATCATATAAAATGTAAATAGTTTAACTCAGAGATGGCTTTCAAGAATGATGTTTTTAAAACACGATTTTGCCTAGGTTAAGTTTAAGTCAAGCAAACTGAATTCTTGGATGCAAACTTCATGGCTGCCAGCCAGGTTTCTCGGTTGTCCTCATGATGTGATTAAATAATCATGTGACGACACCGTGACGACGCCATCTGTTTACCGCGCGCAACTATAATAACTGCTCAGACTGGAAAGATTTGCGATTTCGAATGAAATGATTATAGCTACGGGTGTAAACATGAGTAGTTTTTGGATATCATAAAAGTCAGGTGGAGTTCTAAACTTTTGGTACAAACAGATTACTGGAGAAGAGGACAAGTTGTCTTCTTCGCCTGTAATGTGCTTGTACAAGAAGTGAACGAGCATTCAGTTCATTGGATGTCCTTTCTAAAGCCAACGTGTGGGTCACCGATCTTCCCATAAACAATTTAGAACCGACTGAGGAATCAGTTGGCTCCGAATTGTTTGTGGGAAGATCAGGGAGGGGTGGAACCGACTGTGTCCCAACCATTTTGTCCTATATCGTACGTTGTAAATTACTACATATTATGTGGAGGAAGTTTTAACCTTGTGTTTTTTTAAGTATTAAATATCTTTTTACGGGTTGTTGTTTAGTCATTTGTAACGTTTTTTTTTTGCTTATCTGTGCTTATCTACCAAACTTTTGATTGAACGCAACAATATTTAGTTCATAAGCACGTTTTATGATCAGTTTTGTACTGAGAAAAAATGAATGAATAGTTTACCTTATGCATAAGACTTACCTTCACAGGCCTTCATCCCTTCAGAGAGATTTGAAATGACCGCCCGAGCTTTGTCCAGTTCACTCTGGGCATTAGCTGCCATCTTTTTGAAAAGATCTTTTTGTCTTGTATGACACTTTTCTCTCCTAAGTAGAGTGTCCTTCAAGTCTTTAATTTCAGTCTGGAGAGACTCGTTTTCTTTTTCATACTGAATGCGTAGATCGTCCATTTTGTCACGTGATTCTTTCAGTTGATTTTCCAAGGCAGAGTTCCTTTTTAGGAGTTCTTTCTCTCTCTCTAATGTAGTTATAAAAGCTTAGCTTAGTGGTGAACAACCGCATTTTTTGTCTCAAATATCCTCTGAAAGTATGATTGTCTTAGATTCTCTAAAGCTAACCGAATTCAAGGAATGGTGCTCTGATATGCTTTAGAAAGTTAGATGGTCAGTATAAGCAATGAGCCAATAGTCAACTGACTAAGCTCTGACGTCTCACACGTCATACCAATCGGGGATCACGGCTGAATAGACAGACAGAAAGACAGACAGACAGACAGACAGACAGACAGACAGACAGACAGACAGACAAACAGACAGTCAATAAACGTGGTCCTTTCTTCAGTCATCCGGTCGATAAGTCAAACCATATATTGGTTGGTCAGTCAGTCAGTCAGTCAGACGATCGGTCAGTCACTCGGTCAGTCATTCAGTTACTCAGTCACTTGGTCAGTCAGTCGATCGGTCAGTCACTCGGTGAGTAATTCAGTTACTCAGTCAATCGATAGTTATACACCTTCATCACTTTATTTTATTGCGGATTTGACGACAAAAACCGACAAAGGCCTGCACATTGGATGATTATCCTCTTTGTTGAGAGCAATTACCTTTAATGAGTTCTCAGACAGTGGAGGCAAAAAGGCGTGTGGGGGGGGAGGAGTTGTCCAAAAACAGCGAGAGTTGCGCTAAAAAATATGAGGAACAATCTCTGCTGTTTCCAGCGTTTTCTTCGCCCACGCACTATTGCGTTGGTCTGCATCGACCACCAGCCTGGATTAAAGTTGGAAAAAAAAGATATCTTACCTTGGTATTGTTGTTCAAGGACTGCCATCTTTTCCTCCAATTCTTTATCCTTCTTACCCTAGTTCAATAAGATTAAGTACATTTGACGTTTTATATACAAAACATTGTAACATATAATATTATAACATAACATATCGAGCCAGGACGTTTTAAAGCACGCCGACCATGAGAACTCCACAAAGGCGCATAACACGCAATAAACAAAAGAACAAAGATTGCGTGTGTTGCAAAATCAGCTATAATTTAGTCTGATTTCTTAAATGGTTAAATACTCTTCATAACAAAATGATCGCCAAACTAACCTTTAGAGCCTTTTTTGTTTACTTGTTATAGATGGGAGAAATTTTTTCAACTTTTTCCTTCAATAACGTTGTTCAAAAGAAAACGAAATCGGTGCGTCGTAGTTGAAGAGCATTTCCGCGCGCTTGATTCATCTCAAGATTGAGTACAAAATAAAGAGAGAAAGAAAGAAAAAGGCAAAGTCCTAAACTTAAAAACTGATTGACATATTGTCCCATCAGTCTCCTCAACTCTAAACAGTCTTCAAATAATGTATTAAAAGAAAAGAAGTGTAAGTTAGGCACCTACCTTTTTAGTCATCTTGCGCGCCCCGAATGATTCCTCAATCGGACCTAAGTTATTTGTTGGAAGATCTGTGAACCAGATATTGGCTTTAGAAAGGACATCCAATGAGTTGGTTGCGCGTTCATTGTCTTCTTCCCCAGTGAACTGTTTATACACGTAGTTTATCCACGAAGTACTCATGTTTTCCCTCCAAGATATACACGTTTCACTCGAAATTGCAAATGATTTCTGTCTCAGAAGTTGTTATGGTTACGCGCGGTAAACAATCGTGTCGTCACGATGTCGTAACATAACAATACTATTACTTAGTAAAGATATGCGAGAAGCCTGGATCGCAGCCAAGAATTTTGCGCTCAATAATTTAATTTACTTCACTCAGAGTTACCCACTTCATTGTTTCCCGATCTCATCGACTTTTTCTCTCCGGATATCTAACGTTCTTAAAAGGAAGCGAATGATTGGAAACTTGAAATTCAGCTTTCTCCTAAAAAAACGACTCATTCACTCCAAACCACTGCAGATGTATTTCGTTCGATGCAAATGGTTGTCTTGAGCCGAGAAACGATAGTTCAGCTGGTTTAGCCCGAAACTGAATCCACAATTGCAAGTGAAAATATGCACGGCATGCTCTGGTACCACGGTATGAACAGACAAATTTGTCCCTTCATTTTTAAAAATAGCTAAATGCTCTTACGTCTGTAATAAAATTTTCAACGTACTCTTTTATCGTCGTAGTTATACCTTTGAAAATTGGCGAATGTCACTCAGAGCATATCCTCGGAAAATTCCGGTTTTAGAGGGGCATATTCGATCATGAGATGTGCGCGCGAGCAAGAATACTTGTTGGATTGTAACGGTCGCTAATCGAAAAATTTTCAAATCTGATTACGACTGAATTTACTCGCGCATACCAACAAAGCAAAATTTCTTTAGTTGAGTTGAGAAAAAAGCGACTTTTTGGCTGTTGTAGTGAAATTGCGCCACTTAAGCAAAATGAAATTATAAGGTAATATTTTAAGCTGTTATCTGAAGTTTGTCTAAAGAATTTGCATTCATTTTTGGAGAATTTAATTGATCTCTTTGCGAAAAAAGCTGTATTGAAGTTTCTAACATTTCATTTCGTTTTAGAGCCTTGGTAATCTGGAGAGGAAAAGCCGATGAAATTGGATTCAAAATCTCTCATAAGGAACTCAAACAATGAAATGGAGGTACAATGGTTTTATTTCGCATTACATTTTACTGTTAAAACCACACTATAACATTTAAATTTGATTTTCCGTTGCACCAAATTCAATACATTTGCACAGAGCTCAAAAATGTCACAAACAGTGACCGTAAATCAGAGAGAAAAGCTCAAGAGTTGAAGGCATTAATATCCTAATTGAATCAATTTATTTGAGATATTGTAACAAGAAAGAAAAAAGAGAAAAGTCTCGACTTTTTTTAGGGATAGGGTGTAAGATATCCGTCTCCTTGCTACGTAGAAAACTATTTTTTCTAAAATCAGTTGTAGTTGTTGGTAAGTGCCAACAAGTAAATCACAACAAATCAGAAATTGGTCCGACTTTTCCGAATTGAATCCTTCTATCGACAGGTAGATGAAAATGGATGTGAATGTCTGTTTTAGTTAAGCTGCTTTCAAAATTTCATCAGAGCGCACTAGCAACAATTGGAAGAAAAAGTTTCCCACCACAAGCAGACACATTTTAGTCTTGATGATTAATCTGATTTCAGAGTTGAGCCCAAACTGATTAAGCCATTCATAGATTGATATGAACGTTAAACTTTTTACCTCTAGTTGCAATTTTATTGAGTTACAAAAGTCATACTAGGAAGTTATATGCTCCTAGGAACTATGTTAAGCATACTGAGACATGAAATCGGTCCGCTTACATAGTATCGCTGTCATCCATTCAGCTTGCTTTTTGTTAGAGATTGATCGCATTTCTATATTTCTATGTTGTGTTCTATTTTTTCAAGGCCTCTGCCTCCTCTTCTTCTTTGCACATTCTCTAACAATCGCTCAAATGCCAACATTCACAAATAGATGCAAAACAGCGTCATTTCCTGGACAAGGATTGTGAGAGGAGCACTAGGTGTTCGACTCATTTTTTTTATTCTATTTGAAATGTAAACAATTTGATTCAAAGATGGCTTTCAAGAATGAACTTCGATAGACAAGATTTTTCTGAGGCTAACTCTATGTAAAGCAAGTTGAGTTCTAGCACGTAAACTTCTCGGCTTCGACCAAAGTTTCTCCCATCTTTTCACCAACTGAGAAAATAATTATGTTTCGCAAAGACTTGAAAGATTGTGTAATGTGCTTGTACCCGAAGTTTATAGCTCCATCTGAGGTGGAGTTATGAACTTCTTGTACAAGCATATTTCAGGTAATGACGGTAATGACAATGAACGAGCATCCAGTTCGCCAATGCGTGGATTACCGATCTTCCCACAAACAGTTTCGAGCCAAGTTAAGGAGTCAATTGGCTCGGAAGATCAGGTTTGGTTGTAACCGACTGTATCTCAGCCATTTTGTAATTTATTGTTTGTTGAAGGTAAATAAATTTGCTTAAAATGTACGGGCGGTTGACGTCAGTTTCATCTTTTTTAAAAGATCTGTTTGTCTTGCACGACAATTTCTCTGGTAACCGGAGTCTCCTTCAAGGAGACTCCGGTTATAAGAGATAGTGTCATGCAAGACACTATTTTTCTAAAAAAGATGAAACTGACGTCAACCGCCCGTACATTTTATGCAAACTTATTTAATTTCAGTCTGGAGAGACTCGTTGTCATTTTCTTGCCGTGGATGTGTAGATCGTTCATTTTGTCACGGGATTCTTTCAGCTGATTTTCTAAGGCAGGTTTCTTTTTTGGGAGTTCTTTCTCCCTCTCTAAAGTAATTATAAAAGCAAAGCTGAGTGGTGGACAGTCGCATCGTTGTTTATGAAATACCCTCTTAGAGAATGTTTGTTTTAAATTGTCTAAATCCAACCAAATTTAGGGAATGAAGCTTCGATAGGCTTTAGAAAGTTAGAGAGCCAAACGTGAGTAATGAGCGAGTATTAAATTGACCCCATCATGTGGTCTGTCAAGTACGTCAGTCAGTCAACCAGCTAGTCAGTCAATCTGTCCGTCAGTCAGTCAGTCAGTCCGTACGTCTGTCTCGTCCCCGTCGGTCAGACTGTGAAAGAGTTAGTCAGTGAGGCCGTCCGTCCGTTCTTGCATCCTTCAGTCAGTCAACCAACTGGTATGTCAGTCAGTAAGTCCGTCCGTCCGTCAGGCAGTCATTCAGTCAACCAGCTAAATCAGTCAGTCCGTCCGTCCGTCCGTCCTCCATCAGTAAGGCAGTCAGTCACACATTCAGTGGGTCTGTCCGTTCGTCAGCTCGGGGTTGCCCGCTTTGATCCCGCGCAAGATAAACACTGTGTGGAGCAGCATGGAGCGGACTTACAAAGTTCGTAATTTTTGGACGTTGTCAGCGACGGAGACGCAAAAAGCACTAGAAGACAGTCGAAACAAAGAAAACATAAACGACTCTAGAGGGTTTATTGTGCTACAAACACATTTGGCATTTGGCTTTCTTTCCGGGGAGGGAGGGAGGGGGGGGCCCTCGAAATAAACAAGTCATACTCATAGTTGATTCTTTATAAAGTGAAAACGTATAATAAATCCGTTATTGACCAAGCTTGTGCGGTCAAGATGACTGGATATTAGCGTCGCCGGAACCTTTCTGGCTACGCCGGTGTGCTGAACGAATTTAAGTTCTAGGCAAGATGAAACGTAGTTGCTCCACAGGGTTCCCAAGTAATTTCTGACTGTCTCGTTTCCTGTTTAACTATTTTCACCTTAATATCAATATCCATATTCTCCATACATTTCCCAAAGTGCTGACAAGGAGAACTTCTTTAGCAATGAACAGTTGCTCTAGTTTGTGGTCCTTTCCTTTGTTCTCGAGACCTTAATGCGTAATTGTAAGGAGAAATTAGATGCTGGTCACTTTTTTAGAGGTCAAAACCGCGTTAACGTGAAGTAGTGATCGGAATACGTTTCGTGTTCTTGTATTATGCAGCCGGCTAGGAAGATCGTGCTGAGGAAAGGAGCAAATACTCCAGCCATTTATGTTACTTATTAAGAGAACACAACACTTCGTTGAACGAGAGTTCTCAGAATGAAACAAGAACTTTGTTGAAACTCTTCTTGGTATGAGAAAAATTCCAGTGAATAAGCACCCAGACATTCGCAAAGACAGAGATATAATCGAATAGCAAGAGTTTCTTCGTTCATTGTTTAGTTTGCACTAAACTCCAATCTTTTTGGATTATGAAAATACCAATAAAAGGCAGATGTAGTGCATTAAGATGAGGGTAAAATGGATGAAAATACTATGTATAAAGAGGACAGATTTTTCTTTCCCTAAAGGAACATAAAGGCAGTACTCAAGAGTTACAATGTTGATGCGGCATCACTGATTGTTTGAGTGGACTGAGAAGATCATTCAACTCTACTTTATAGATCGTGGTTTGATCACCTTGCAGGATGCCGACTGCCGAAATTTCAAGTATTTCATTTCCCTGCGCAATTTCTAGATCTTTGCAAGTTTAACTCGAGCACGTCATTTTCAAGTCCACATTTAACGCAGTCTAATTCATTCCGGCAGCCAAAACGTTTCGCTTCCTTCTATCGATGCTGCCGTTATTACGCACTCTTACAGAGAGAGCAATCCATGGGTAAAAAACAGCAAGAGAGCGATTTATTACTATTCATCACTGTCTGAATCAACAGTAGTGTTGGCTTTCCTCCTTCGCTTAGCGTTGCGAGGTTTCACTGCTTGTTCTTCTTCCTGCAAATGAAAGAGGGAAGGTCACACTAATTTACAAGTATCTCTAATAAGTTCTTTTTAGTCCTGTGCGTCCAATTAACATTTTCAGAGATGGTCAACTCAAAATTGAATTTATATTTTTATTGAAAATTTCACGAGTTGGTGGATGTGATTACCGTCTTCAACGGCGCCATATATAATGTTCATCACAAGATGAGCGAGCAGCGTTCAATTTTCAAACAATTGGCCGTCAGATTTCCGATCTCAGACCACAAAGTTTTTGTTAATTTCACGGAGACGGCTAAGAAATTCACAAAGTTAACTATTTTGATTCTACCCGCTAGACCTTTTAAGTTCTCTAATAAAGACGAGGAAAGTAATCATCATCATCAGTGTGCGAGATTCATTGGCTAACCTCTTCACTTTCAGAGGAAGATGATGCTGCCCTGTTAGCAGCTAGAATGGATGCCCGTGTAGTCCTTTTCCTGCTGTCTTTATCTTCACACATTGAAAATAACTGCTTAAACCTGTAACAAACCAACAAAGACAACTTCCAGTTATCCGCTCGGAAAATGTCAAAAAACAGCGACCACAAAAGTACCCTAGAGTTCACTGGCTCTCTCCTAGGGCCTGTGTGAAAGTTAGCAGTGTTTTCACCAAGTATTCAGAATATAACGAACACAGTCAAATATAAAATTGTGAACATACTTATTTTTTCTTGCTTCGCTTGCAGTTTGCTTGACTTGATCTAAAGCAGATCTCAGGCCGTCGTGTTTGAAAACTGCCCACAGAATATCAAAAACAAAATTCAACAAGATCAAATCAAGGAGAAGTAAGGACATAGAAAAGGAAAATTAGGGCGTTAGCTTGGATATGTAGATTCCCTCAAAAGATATTTTCAAGTTGTAGATGTATAAGAAAGTCCCTTTCCCCAGAGATCCGCTCCGTGAATTATGGCCTACGTAATACCTTCTCCCCAATTCCCGCAGTTTTTTTCATGGACAGAACACCTCTCCACTCTGTCAACCAAACTATCTCTTTCTCTAAGTACATCAGGTCAGGATTACCCGTTATGCTGATATTACAGAAAACAACTCTATCTATCGATCACTTCTCTGACATTGACGTATTGCAAGACCTAGAAGACCAGATACTTCCCTCACTTTCCCATCATTTCCCTTTGGTAAAAGTACACTAATTTGTATTTAACCAAATGCCCACCTAACCAGTAAAGAAAGCTCAGTGACAAAACCTCAAAAAAAGAAGCTCCACGACCATTCTATTCCAACAACCAATCTTTTCGGAACAGAACTTCATTAATTACATGTTATTAGAAAAAATGTTCAAACACTAAAATTAAGTGAATGTGCTGTGGGAAAATTTTTGATGGAAACGATAGTTGTCTCTTGGACATGACTAATAATCGGTTATGTTTCGCGATACAAACTGTTTGAGCAGTGCTGTGAGACGATTGTTGTGCCGAATCATTAAAAAAAACGCACGAAACTTACAGCTCAAATCTTCTTGCTCTTGGCATATCTTGTGAAGCCAGTCCAAATGGCTCAGTACAAGCTCCAAATTTGTACCTAGCTGACTTTTAGCACCTCTGGAAAGAAACATGGCAAAAATGTAAGTGACGAGAAACTCTCAGATGCAGGTCCCTTCAAATACATACACGAGTTACCCCATCATTGCACAGAAGCATTAAATATCTACATTCCTCTTCTAGCAGTATACAGGAAGTTTGTCACCATGGACCCAGTTAAATACCCAAGCCTGTCGCAAGTATCCTACAGCTCAGAGGTAGAGCATCCCAAGTACTAATCGGAAGGTCGTAGGTTCGACTCCTATTAGGAGCACTCTGGTTTCTTTTCCTCCATCTATTCCTGCGTCATTCACTGAGTAACATCTTCTTTCACTTAAAAGTTACCTGCTTCAATATTAGCTTGGTAAAAAGCGCAAATTATAGGTGGACTTTTCTATTAAGTGTTGCATACTCAAAACCAAAAAATCAGTAGCATAAATACACTGCATTACTTTCTTTTCTTGCTTGCTGAGGCTTGTTTACAAAGCTGTTGGCCAATCAGTTGTGCAAGTTCTCTTGGGTATTCCTGTGCCCAGTATCTAAGCAGCGAAACGCTAAACTGGTTTCCAGGCCTTTTTTCGGAACATTCCATCGATAAGACTGGAATAACAAGGTCCGCAGAAGGACTGGAACAAAAATTCAATTGGTCATTAAGAGGAGGAAGGGATTGGAGCTAGAGAAACTAAGTACTGATTGGCTCTTATTGCAACTCGTTCAACGTCAACATGTTTAAGAACCCTCGTACTCAGAGATCAGAGTTCAGTTAAACCAAGAATCTTTGGAAATCTAGCTAAAAAGTAAAGTATTCCAAACTGATTGAGAGCAAACCAATTACAACATCCCATTGCATTGACCGCAAACAAAAAGGAGTCTATGAGAGCTCGAAGTAAGCGCAAGTCTTGATCGGTAGAAGTTATGAGCCTGAGATGTCGAAAGGGTGACGTGTGTTTTTTGGACCAATCACAGGGCAAGGAAAAGTAAAACCAATGCGATCCTAGAATGCTTTCCACACCAAAATTAAAATTGCTTTCGACGGAGAAAGCAACAAGGTTTCAATTTGAAGCCAAGCAGTTTTGACTTGAAAAGGGGAAGTAATCCGAAAATACTTAAGATTAGATTTATCCTTCACCCCTCCTCACCTGTGAATGCCTTTTGAAACTCAAAACCCAGCCAATCCAGAGGTTGTTTCTCTCGTATTTCCCGCTCTTAACTGTTGAATTGTTTCTCAATGACTCCATGTGATATTCACCGTTTAACTACATCGTTTAACCGCACCCATAATTAAAAATTTATGATTGCAGTCAAATTTAAAACCCCCTATAAAATAATAAGCTGTTTCGACTGATGCAGGACTTTTAAGGCCAAACCTAAATCTTTTTAAAAGTATACTGATTTAAACAATCCTTCGACTGTCGGATCGAAGTGAAATTTTGACCATGAATTGGGTACAGATTAACATGTACTATCAGCAGAAACATACACCGATGCTCTGGTTGTAAGCTGTAAAAAAGGCCCCAGTTGTTCCAAGGTTGGATGACGCTATTCGCTGGATAAATCTCTATCCGCTGGATAGTGTGGTACATTTTGTACTCACTTATCCGCTGGATAACGATTTATACGTTGGATAATGTTGTCGGACCTTAATACAACTGGGCCAAGGCTGATAGTGAGGAGACTTACGCAACACTTTTCATGAGAATAAGTAAGTTTGACAAAGCCTCCGCATGCTGATCCTTTTTAAGTGAAGGAAGAATATTGACAAATGACTCCAGCAACACATCCTCAGCTTGGATAAGGTGCCACACACACTGCTGTTCAAATGACTCCCATTCTAGAGTACTCTCTGTACACAAGAGAAGTAAATAAGATGTTCAATATGATCAGTTGTTTCCAGAGTCTGTTGGGTTTCCTCACCATATTTCTTCAGAAACTCTTGGTTGACTGATGCCATCTATTGCTCTAACGAAGAGCTTACGCTCGAAACGTAAGCTTAAAAACTGTTAACGGCGGCCATTTTACATTATCTACACAGTTGATAAAACCAAATTCTCCCAGAGTAATATTACTTCCCTGAGGCAATCAATGCTAGATTGAAGAAAACTATTTTTACGTTTTCGTGGCCAATAAACAAATAGATAAAGAAAGAAAAATCAGTGATAACTCGTATCTGATTGGTGATGGGATGGCGCAATTGGACCAATTACAGAGAAAAATAAAGTCACACCAATGAAATCTGATATTACTTGAAAATTAGGAAAGGCTTGGATAACTGTTCATAAGAACCACCCTCAAATCCTCCTATGCTTTTGATTGCTGATCATTTGCAGTGAAGTGATGTAAATGTAAATGTTAAAAGTTATTAAAACACTTGATGATTAAATCTACAATTCGATTAATACTTATGAAATGCATCGGACAAAGATAACTGCGGGAGTTTGGATAACCATAAGACCTATAAACTTGAGGCAAAGTACTAATTCCCTAAAAAGGAAGGAATGCCATTTATTTAATTACCTAGCAAGGTGTCAAGTTTGCTATCCTCTCCAAATACTGTCAATTCCCCCAAAGTTATCTCACTCATCAGCTGGTTTAACTGTAAAACGATAAAGACAGATATAGGGATGGGTAAGGAGTTATAACGTTTTCAACAAATCAGACAGCAACAGAAGTGACAACTGCTACGAAAGTGAGCCTATTATGTGCTCCACATGAAACGGTTACTAGCGCCTCATGGAAACCCAAAAAGAAAAGAAACGAATTTGACTCTAAAGTAGGCAGAAAGAAGACGGGTAGACACACAGAACGAGCCAGGATAGAGAAGGCATTGAATCTTTTTACAGTGTTGCAGCCGTCATTTGTAATGTCAAGCCACACACTTAATATGAACAGTTGCGTGAAAAACCAAAGAACGGTTATAAACGAAAGCAAAACTAGCAGTAACCAGCGTAAAGTACTTTACATCTAAGGACACATTTTTTATAATTATATGGTGTTTTTTAGCTGAGGAAATACCGATTATTACTCCACTGCACCACGAAATAAACTGTTTTGCCCTTTTTCTCTATTCTTACCTGTCTTGGCTCCATGGTTCCAACAAGCATGTGAAGAACTTCAGAGTTTCCTACAACGTATTCTGGAAACTAGAAAGTTACGAAATCAACAGGTTACAAACCTCTTGGGATACTTTGCAGATACTTGAGAAAGAAGTTCCATCTAAGTTTGACCAATAATGATGAACACGTTAACAACTTATGCCAGTACCGATCATCTGATTAGTACCAGCAAACGGATATGGCACATACCTTTTTGTAAATAGAGCATATGATATAGCGGAAGGCCTTGATATCATAATCCTGGCAAACCTGTGTGCATAAAGAAATAATAACAACTTTATAATGAAGCTTAGAAAAGCAGTTAAACGTAACAGCAATGACTAGATACAGTTGTAACCGCCAGACCTTCAAATCATCTCTTAAGCATCCTTGAAGTGTCTTCTCTCCTCGGAACGTGTTCGCAAAGTCCTCGTATATTGTGAGCCGCTCGTCATCTGTAACACTATCACAGCGAAAATAGATTAGAGCAGTTTGTCGAAAGTATTTGGGGACTGCACCAGCTCTGTGACTATTGTTGAAATTTGTGCCGTCCACTTCGCCGTCCAGTTTGATTGTTTTTCTTTTCATTACTCAGTGGCACCTTGTGCTATTTTCTTTCGTTGGGATGACTTTTGTGATTACTTTGGTATTGTATTAGGACAACCAATAGAAAACACTTCCCATCAACTGACAGAAAGCAGGTTATCGGAGTTAAAGAATAAACATTGTTGATGACATGGCCTAGTTTCCTTCCCAGCCATTCCTTAGGATGTCACGCAATTTTTTTGTGACCACTCAAGTTACAGCTGTTTTTATTTCTTTGAAAGTGACTGATTCACCTAGACCTAACTTTCATTAACTTTCAGAGCCTTAGGAAAAATAACATAATGTTGTATTTCATCGATTTAACAGAAAATCAGATACTTGAAATAGATACCGTCTATTTTAAGTATCTATTAAAATTAATGAAACAACAAGCAGAAAACAAACAGAAACCAAGCAGAAACCAAGGATAAAGAATATGGAACAAGCAGTTTCCTAACCTTGCTTTTAGGAAGAAGAGAAAACGATAGCCAAACTTTTGATCCACTGTGTGTAGAGCCCCTAGCAATGTCAGGTGTCTCTCTCTACCAACATCGTGGGTGGGAAGAACACAGATACTCCTAAAGTATAAAATGAACATTGGTAATGTATTACAAGATGGGCAGGAATGAACTGCAAGACATTTGGTACTCACCGACACAGCACATAGATTGGTCCATCTAGACAGTCCTCTGGATTCCTGAAAATAATGGCAAAGTTTTGTGGTTTTGTGCGCAAGTAAAAAAACCATGAACGATTTGATCTGATTTTGACATGCTGACTGAAACAAGGACATTTAGTGAGTGGTAAAATTTCTCGCTGATGGCTTGTGTTATTAAACAATATTAATTCGAATACAACAAAAAAAAAGACTCTGACAATGCGCTTCAGGAAATTCACGATTAATAGGGGTACTAGTTTTCTCATTATACCAAAACTTCATTCCCAATCATTGCGTTACGTTTTATATTTGAAAACCGACAATTAGAAATCATTGGATGAGGTTGAGTATGATATCATGAATTGTCAGTGCCAAGGTCTGAGTTATCTGCCAAAGCCGAAGGCTGAGCCAGATAACTAGGACACGAGGTAACATGATAACATGCGAAAACTGAATTCAGTAATTGTTTTATTACACATTGTTTAAGCAATCTGCAAAAGAAGATACTTCTCTCTAAGTTTGCAAAAGTTTGAGAACATTACACGGACGAGGGGCTTCGAAACTAGGCAGACTTTGTATTTTACCTGCTAACCCAATATCTGCTGCAACTTCACACGCTTTGGTACATTGACTATATGCTCTCGACCAATCAGAGTTTAAATAGTAAGTCTAATATATAATAATAATGTTTACCTGTCCTTTGAGATACAAGGAGTCATTAATTCATCTATCAGGCAAAAGTTGAGACAAACTGCTAAAGACTTTGCTGTTTCATCTTCAAATTCATCCTGAAAAAGGCAAGTGACGATCAAAAGACAAGTAACTAACTCAGAATCAATGAATAATGTCAAAGAAACCAGAGGTTGAAAGTAAAGTCTAATTAGAGCAATTTTCAATTGAGCATAGATTGTAATCCGGTTTTGCTTCGGTTTTACTTTACTTAGCTCTGTGAAAATCAGATGCGAAACTAAAACCACTCACGACTTGGTCACCCACGTTTTCTCGCGCTTTGATTTAATTTAATTCATTCGCCTAAAAAAATGTACAAATACATTTAAAAAAACAAGTTCGTGACAGGGGACAGTAACAGGACAAAGTCCCAACTGACAACTGCCCCCACAAGGCAGTATAGTTGTTTTTACGTTGAGTTCTCCTTGTCTCTTAGAGGTATTTTCCTTTCTTCATCAAACCAAAGTTATCCGTTTGATAACTTTGGTTAGTGTTACACTTAATCGAAAAGCGCTCCAATAAGAAAACTAGATCTAAGATACAATTTATACAATTTGGCAGTGTAACGGTAAATTGTCTTAGGGTGGATAGTAGTACTCAATACCATTTAAAAACATGATAATAGTTATAATTTACTCATTTGCTGACCGAAAAATAGATGCCTTCTAAATACTCAAAAGAGTTTTTCGACGCATGAGACACAATGTGGCAGTTTATGCATACTCCACCACCAATCTTGACGAAGTTCTTTGACGAAAGTCTTTGGAATTGATCATTATTACTAGATGCTATCAGCATCGTGTACTTCTTTTGATGCAGCAGGATCCTGGAACGATGCTTTTATACAATTTTAAAAAGACGGAAATCTTAATTTAAAGAATGAAGTGGCTCACCAGGGATTCAATACATTTAAGAATATCTTCCATTTTGTTGGATCGCACTGCCGGGTCGCTGCAGAAAGAAATGAAACATTAATTGGTTAAATTGCAATTATTTCAGCATTTATCGAAGATTCATAGCTAGATCTTGAATTAAATGCTATGATCAAATATCTCCCTGTCCATAATTATTGCCTCAGGGTACACACAAAAAGGGCGATACTAACCTTTGTTGAGAGAATTTAATAACCAGCTCTTTCAGATCATCTCCCAAATTCTCAAGATCTTCAAGCTCAGTGATATCTTCATTGCTATCTCTTTCTTCATTCTCATCTAAAGCTTCCTTTTCAATTGGTTTAAACTCGTAGTCCTTCTCTTTACTGTTGTCTGATTTGTTGGCTGTCATGTCACTGTCCTCGTCCTCATCAGGGTCAGAGAACACAGCTTCTTCGTCAGGTGGCTCCAGCTCTTCATCAACCCCACTGTCCGCCAATTCAGTGTCCTTTGAGCTGCTACTTGTGTCTGCCTCCATCATTCTGGATCCCAGTGAACTGAGCATATCACTTGATGAAGCTGAGGAGCTCTCTACTTTGCTAAACGCTGATGTTGATGATTCTTCAAGTTTTGAACCTGTAAATTAGTAACAAGCCAAGGAAAGGTAAACACAAAATGGATGAACAGAAAACAATTCTTGATCACAAATCCAAATCAATCAGAGACAGAGATTCCATTGTTTGAACCTTATTTGAGAATCATACCCCGACAGATGTGGTGTTAATGTGGCTCAAAATTGTCTCATAATTCTTAAACACCAATTCTATAATGTACCAACATTATACTTGATTGCTTTTCTCCTTGAAAATAATTATCAAATATTTCTAAACAAGTTGTTATGATTTCTTTCACATGTAATGTTATTACAGCAAAGTAAAGCTTCTGCAAACTTTAAATTTACTTTGTGTGCTTGAGACTCAAAAACGAGTTAGGTGGCTCTTGTTTCCAGTAAGTTCATGCACTATCACTTTGACAACACAATTAACCAACTTCAGTTGCAAGGAAACTATTAGCATCACAGAAAAGCTCATTTATTTAAGACCATGTTAAGAGCATCCTTCCAACCAGAAAAGGTAACATAACATCATTTTAACCTGTAAAAGACACCCATGACTTTTGCTTTTTGTGGTAATAATTTAAAAGTAGGGTCACAGACCATTTTTTTAAAGAACAGCTGGTTTCTCAAGATACAACTACACCATAACATCATCATTCCTATTCTCCATAATGCTAGATGATGATCATTTGTTTTATTTTCATGACCTTCATGTGCAATTCAGGGGTGATATTGCTAAGAGAAATTACATGCTGGTCACTCTTAGGGGTCCAAGGGTTAAAATTTTCCTATCTTGAGATTACACAACCACTGAAAACAGGGAAGTAACCTATGTTGGCTCTGAACCTCATAATTTTGCTATGCTAAGCTGTTATGCAGTGATGATATACCTAAATTTTCCCTAAAAAAATGCTCAGCCAATAATTTAAAATTGATATCACATTTTTATTACCTACGTGAACAGTTCTGAAGCAGGGTGTCATTACTGACATCACTACACTCTCTAGCAATGGAATCTGTTAAGAGCCAATTTAATCAGATTTTCTAGATTTTGACTTTGAAAGCAAATCTTATGAAGGTAAGATCAAACTTCCATGTAGCTCTTCACTTGGATACTTTCATTCAAGTTTCAAAATGATTAATCATTTCTAGGTCAGTACACACAGTGCTGAGTTGATTTTCACAGAGAGATGCAAGTCAATGAAAGAGTACCTGAGTCACAGAACTCAGCCAAGGTGTTTCTTATCAAACTTCTAAGGTCTCTGTCCATCTTAGGGTTGTCAAACAAAGGAGACAAGGACCTAGATGGAAAGAAATAGTCATCAGAAACTCAATCACTGCATGGGGCTTACCCCTCTAACATTAGCTGAAGATAATTAATTGTTGTTTTCAAAAATGAAGGTTAACAATATAAACACAAAGGCCTCCATTTGGCAGGAAAAGATCAATGATATATGTCCATGGATATCATCTGTTTCAAAAAGTGAACAGTTTTCCAAAAGCAAAGTTTGATGAAAAATGTGAGCCTTGAGCTTGCTTGATAAGCAAGTTAAAATAACTTACACAGTAGGAAATTGACAAACAGATATATAGACACAGACAGACATACATATACAGTCAGAAAGATAGCATACATGTGGTAGAGCAGGTGGGGGAGAGGGGAAGGGACTACAGCCCTCTCCAGCTAAAAATTTGGGAGGTCTCAGCCCCCCTCACACCTCATTGCTGACAATATTGCTCCCACAGCATAAAATTATGTGTAGTTTGTCAAAATAGTCAGTATTACCATCTTATGGTGTTGCTTTAAACACCCTTGCTTCCAGCAACCTCAAAATGTACCATAAACCAATAAAATGGTTCACATGATTAGTGCTTTTACATGTATAAATAGGGTAAGTTTGGTTTATCATATCTTTCTAACACTTTCTTCTTCTGAGGAATCACCAAAAGGGTATGCACTTGGCTTAGTATTTTGGAAAAGCCCCGACCGTCCCCCCAGCCATGCTTCAAATTGCTCTGCTACCTCTGGAGAGATAGGCATATTAAAGACTGACTACACTCAAATAAGAAATGCAAACATGACATCCAAATATACTTACATTACAACTTTTTTACTGAGAATATGCCGAAATGCTTTGATAACTCCCTGTTTAACTTGAACATCAGGTAAAGTGCTGTAATTTTGAATAATCTGGTGAAAAGAGACCAACCATTTTAAGCAATCTTGCCAAACAGAAATAACCACAGTATATTGTTTTTTTTCAGGTACAAGTTTTTAATAAGTTAAAAACATACTTTGCATTGCATTAAGGTACAAGTTTAACACATGGATTATCAGTGGGTAATCAATAAATAACCTCCTTCCAGCACGCAATTACAAAAAAGTTTCCAAAACAATTAGTAAAATTGTGACAGTAATAAAACAGCAAAAAAAATTGATTTTACCCGACAGAGAAAGTCCATCAAGGTACTTGTGATTGCTGGGTGACTTCGTATAGAATGGTGCATCAACAAAATAGCAGGTTCTGGAGATCAAAAAGATTAATTTGGCTGTAAAAACTGCTTTAAGGTTAAGAAAGGAACACACAAATTGTGGCTTGAACAACAGATCTTGAGGAAAAAAGCAATTGCCTGTCTGCCTTAAAAGAAATATCACCTAAGCAATTGATTTCACTATAGATGTCACTGCAAAACAGACATGAAGAAAAATTCTCTAGGTTTGTAGTTTTAATATAATTTTATCATTAATTTTACACAATATGGAGATCAAAGCTCAAAAATGTAAAGTAAAAGATTTGCTTTACCAATATTCATAATGTTATCTTTATCTGGTTGATAAAAGAGCCAGTCAAAGAACAAGGCAAGTTTAGCATTTGCTGTAGAAACTGCAGTCTGGAACAAAAAACACAGCATAAAATAATCAGAGAGGAGGTAAAAGAGGAAACAGGTAGAAGTAGAATGGAGTGTCATTCTCTATCTGTGGAACCATAAATAATGAATACACTGAAACTAAATTAATATAATAGCAGTTCCTGGCATGATGTCTGTCAGAGTAAATAAAGAATTAAAATAAAATTGAAAATACTGCAATGCAACCTGTAAAGACCAGTCTAGGATTGCTGTATTGGTTGATGATAGCAAGGCCTCCCTGATGTAATACACACATCAAAATAATAGACAATAACCTGACAAGATGTCAAAAGCCAGCCAATAATGGCCCATCGTGGTATAATATCAGAACACAGCACTTCATTACAAGGATGCACCACACCAATAATGTAGCGAATCAGATCTCCCCGCAGGCTCTGGCTTTCAGGGGTGGACAGATACTGAAATCGAATGCAATATCAATATTAATTTTTAATCAATATTGTTATCATCACCTCAAATGAATACAGACAAATAATTATTAACCCTTAAACTCTCATGATCTGATTGTTAATTTTACACATTCCTTGTGAATTAGTTTTAAAAATTTGGTGCTGCATCAAGACATAACTTCTACCTGATAAGTTTGAGTATTCTTGTAATCTGTTTGCTGATTAATGTTTGAATATTATAGGGAGAAGTTACATGTTTACATGCACATGTACATGCACTTTTCAGAGCTCTTCAAGGTGAACATTGTACCATAATGAAAATGAATATGAACAGAACAATCAGTCTGACCTGCTTTTGAAACCAGTCCTGATATCTTTTCTGCTGACCAAACTTAACCTGTCAGTAACGAAGGATAAATCTCAATTATAATACACTGCAAGTAGAGTGACATTTACATTGCTCTTAGAAAGTATGTTTCATAAAAACTATCAATTTTGTACATGTAGCTCTAAGGCGGGTCCACAGACTGCAATATTGGAACCTCACATTTGTAATAGACACCTGGAAACCTTTGTAAGTGCTTTCTCATTTTCATATTTAATTTAGTATCATAGGCACCTGATAATGAGAGAAAGCCATAAACATGGGTTTCTGATTGCTGTGCTCAAAGGACTGATCAATTTATTTGAAAATCAAGGCAACAAAAACAAAATGCACATTGCTCTTGTACAGATCTCATTTAATAGTTATGTTACATGGAAACTTAATGATGTGTTGTTGGTCAGTGATAGTTAAATATTTAACAAATAGATTCCAAGTTGCCATGCATCTGTTCAGTAATAGATCACAGATGATGTCAAAATGTGGTAAGAACAAAAAAGTGGCACACGAGGCACAGCCAAGTGTGTCACTGATGTTCTTACCACATTTTGACGTCCTCTGTGATCTATTACTGAACAGATGCACGGCAACTTGGAATCTATTTGTTTTATATAATAAAGAATTTAAAAAAGCTTTATTGATGACATCGTCTATATGTCTGTCCTCCAATAGATCATAAGTGAGAACCAATCAGAATGCATACATAACTGAGCTTATTATATAAAGTACACTAGTATCAGGCAGCTGATAGATTTGGACTCTTGTACCTTAGACGTTAAAAACAAAATCTTGTTCTCCATCTCAGGATGCAGTCTACATGCTAGGAACTTTCGAGAAGTTCTTGTGTGAAGCAACTGAGCAATACCTTTGAAAAATGTGATACATCAATGAGATCCCATCAACATTGTTCACTTAAATGCAAAGTCTTCCAGGCTCACATGTTGCAACTAGATAAATTTATACTGCATGTATGTCTCTACTAATCAGTTATATGTACCAGTAGTTCAACATGATCAGAATGTTTTCAAATATTTTCACAGTCAGGTCCAAGAATGTCACACATGACGAAAGCTATCTGTTGTATTTCAGACCATTACACTTAAACAGAGAAGAACATTTAAAAAACAAAAGCATAAATACCTGTAAACTGTGGACACAGCGACTGAGGTTTGTGTACAATATCCTTCCACAGTGCATTGAACTCTGGTATTCTTAGACACAAGACAAAGAAGTACTTGTTTATAATCTTGGCCCCTTGTCTTGTCATCACACAGCCAACAGTTTTGTTGTGACTCATATACATGTAAAAAGTTCCAGAATTGGCTTTTGATAAAGAGGATTCTTGGCAGAATTTACAGAGTTTAATTCATTGGGTAGTTGTTTTAACTTTTGATTCCAAAATAGGCCAAAGACTATGTCTCATTATTAGCAGAGCTCGCAGAGCGTAGCCCCATAATTATACAAAATAGTAGTAACCCATCAAGATGAAAAAATTTGGATGTACGACCGTATGACCATACGACCGTGTGGCCATATGACCGTGCGACCGTACGACTGTACAACCGTACGACTGTACGACCGTAAGACCATACAAGGTGCTACTTTCAACATGCATGATCAACTGTACTGCAGGCACACCAACGCCATGGCTTTGTCCATAAGTCCAGTGGTCAGCACACTGGGCTCGGAGTCGGACAACCCAGGTTCTAGTCCTGGCCCGGGCAAGGCGTTGTGCCCGTGAGACGTGTAGGAAAAAAAAAAATGTGAGCTCACTTTTAGGCTTGGCTAAATCTATATATTAATAAATACCACCTCTTGTGAATCCATGAGAATAGGAAAGCACTACGTAACAGATTGATTTTGACAAACCTAGCCACATTTTGAAGCAGTCGCACAAGGTCTCGTCCAATAGGAATGCAGTCTGCAAACTGTCAAGAACATTCGAATGACAATGATAAGACACATGCCTACTTTTATATTCAGCTGGTAGTGTACAATGAAGTTAATATTATACTGGTAAAATGAGACTGCTGCACATCACAACTGTGGGTGCATGGTGATGTAACTCCATACTTTTTAACTTGATCACTTATTAATCATAACTGATTATCGATGGGAATGTGGCAGTAAGATGTGATTTAAGTTTGATCTTTCATTGACCATACCCTGTAGTGTTGTACCGTTAAGAATGTGTTCATAATAGGAATAGATCAGCACAACTGCATGACCCTATGTTAACTATGATTATTAAAGTTGTGAAATGTATTTAAGTCGATGAATATTTATTAAAGTGCATTGTAAATTAAATTGTGACTGTATAACCGGAATATTTATAGACTTTGCATTGGCGACAAGGATTTTAAGGATTTCAAGGATGTCAAGGATTTTTGGTATTAAGCAATTTTGTTGAGAATTTCTTAAGGTTTTTCAAGGACTTCCCTGGGAACTTTGTAAGGCATTTCATCAATGGCTTTAATAAGGATTTATTCCAGTGATGCCAGGAGGTGGTGGATCAGGGGAACAAAACACGACAAACAGTGGCAGTTCAGGAAATTCTATGGTGACCAAAGATGTCAGGGAATAAGAAGCATTCAATCTGAGAGGAGAACCACACAATTAAATTCGATGGTAAAATAGATGGAGGCAAGCCTTTAATTTGTATGTAACAGAAAAAGGGGTTAAGAGTGAGCTCTAGTATTACATGTTGCTAATTCAAGAGATCTACAACACATTGGCCAGTGAGAATGACAAGAATGTTTTTGAGGCAACACTCAAGGTGCTTGAAGATTATTTTGTCCCCACATTCCTTTCAAGCAACATTTGCTTCAACAAACTTTGCAGGCAAGTGGTGAAACTGAGGACCAATTTGTCTGTAGATTGCATCTGCACACAGTTGCTTGCAAATTTGGCACCAACAAAGGTGATCAAATTTGTGATCAATTCACTGACAAATGTTTCTCAAGCCATCTGCACCAAGAATTCTTACAAAAACAAGGAATAGTTTCTTAACATGACCTGTTTCGGACTGCAAGATCCCAAGAAATGAATGATCGACAGTTGAGACAGTTTAGCTCTGACCAAGTGGATTATCAGGTCAATGAAGTGACTGCAAAAATTGCAGGAAAAGAAAGACATGCTTCAGTTGTGGGCAGGAAGGAAATTTCAGGCAAGATTTAAATTGTCCTGCACGGGGTCAGACACACAGAAAGTGTGGTGGAACAAGTCATTTCAGAGTTAAATGTACTCAACATTATCTTATCTACAGATGAGGTTCATGAGAAGGACTGGTCGAGCAAGTTGAAAGGAAAGGCTTGCGCAAACGAGAAGAGAGGAGCTATTTTAAAGTCTTTTTAAGTTGGTGATGCAGTGCTCTTGAGGGCAGAGAAGAAGAACAAACTGCCAGGTAATTTCTGCCATAGTCCTGTAAAAGTTGTTCAAAGGATGGGAAGTGAGATCATGGTCTGGAATGAACAAGAGTGACGCTCAGATGCAATCAAGCTTTTGTCAAGGAATTCCACACCCAGGAAGGTTCTGACAACACAATAAAAAATGGATTGAAAGGAAACACTTGTGCAGATGCAGGAGAAGAACAAGGGCTAGGCACATCAGATGCAGAAGTAAACAAGTAAAATAAACAAGTAGATGTTGGCTGTAAGATGAAGAGATTTGGCCACAGCAGCAGGTGCAAAATTCGATATATCAGATTCAGAGACCAGCAAGGTTTAATGACTTTGTTTTGAACTAGGGACTATTGCAAATAGGAATTTAGTTTCTAAGAGACTGATTTACAATTCAAAGTTGTGAGGGATGCATGCTATTCATGCTATTCTTAGAGTGCATGCTTGTTTTTGTAAATACCAGTATTTGGATTTTGGTAGGTGAAGGACTCTTTCATTTAATTTGTAAAGTGTGTGCTTATTTGTAAGTATTTAGAGTTTTGTTAAATTAAGATGAGATTAAGTTTTCTTTGAAGAAAAGGAGGGAAAGTAGTGTGGTATTGTTAAGAATGCTTTCATCATGGAAATACATTGGCACAACTGCATGACTGTATGTTCACTATGCATACTAACGTTGTGAAATTTATTTAAGTGTTGGTAAGTTGTGACCATATAACCAGAATATTTATAGACTTTTTATACCCTTTCTTTCAACAAGGAGGAACAGAATTCAATTTCCATTTGTCGTAAGTTCTTGAATGGCGCTGCTTCATGATCCTCTAATAATCTAAGGTAAGTATACACAGCAGTGGCCAAGAGTATAGGGTTTTTCTCCAGCCAAGCTCTGATAAAAAATAACACAAAATTATCATTAATAGAAATCTGTTATGTTAACCTGTATATTGTATAAAAGAAAGTAGATTCTTGAGCATAGTTATTAGGAGAGATACACGACTTGCAATTTTCACAGATATCAAATGGGAAATAAAAATTACTCTAAATTTAAAAACAAAAAAAAATGGTTTTCAACAATTTTTTGTGCATAAGCACACTGGAGGAAGATTCTCTCTGCATCGTGGCATTCCAAGTGATGCCTAGACGATTAAGTTATTGACCTTCCATGAGGTCAAGAAGCAAGGATCTTTTTTCCCTGTTTTTAGACCAATATCCACCCATCTTACTCCATTGCAAAAAGGCTTCCTTCAACAATAGCTTTCAAAATAGATTCACAAAATTTATTGCAGTCTTCTTTGTTTTGACTGTCCTCAAGACATGTTTAAGCATTTGCAAGATGTGAAAATAGCAAATAGTGTCTTAAAAAGTATTTTTGGGAAGGATCAAAGCTGTAAATCAAAACAAAGAAAGACGAGCAAGATGAGCTCATCTTTGCCCGTCAAAACACGGGATTTACTTCCTCTTGAAGTGAAATTAAATTATGGTACTACTAAATTTCCAGTCCTTTCATTCCTTCAGACATTTCAGATTCATTCAATTTGTACCCAGTCAGTTTACATGCAGCTGTTTCATACCCATACTGCTAAAGTATGTTTCCACGTTACCTATGTTTAAAGTAAGGTTGGTTTTTTAAGAATATTTTGCTAAATGAATTATGAGGAGATTTCATGTTTATATTAATGAGGTATTTTGTGTGTCTGAGTTACCTTTGATTAAAGTCAGTTTGAATGTGATTGTAAGTTTATTTTCCTCATTTTGTTTGGTCTTCTTGTGTTTCTTCCCATTATCAAAGACGATACAGGTTTCTTTTTCAAATAGAACTTAAATCTATATTTAATAAGGTTTGTTTCTGTGGCATCCATTTTTAATATATGACCACCAAAAAGGAAGTGTCTGGGATGGAGTTTGTAAGGGTAGTGAGACATAAAACAGAAGTGAAGTATATTTCCAGCAGATTAAATAGGTATATTTCTTTTCAATCCTTAATGAACAAGTTGATCAGCTGTCTGGAACCATTCACTAGAGCATTCTTGACACTGAAGTAATTACACACTAGACTTACCTGTTGGTGTTCAACAATCCTAATACATTTTCTGCGAGCCAGACATTCGAGGGTGAATTATCACCTCCAGAAATTTGCCTAAGGAGAGCTTGACAGAGTCCTTCCACACCAGGAACAGCGCTCTTAATGAGTTCATTAGAAAGCCACAATACCTTTGGACAATTAAAGCAGTGTGTAAAATTCATGACAATACACAGTACAATTGTTTCATCTTGCAGATTAAAGACTAATGATTCTTGTATACCCTTTAAGATCTCATTTCCAAATTAAAGAGATCAGTTATGACTGGTAAAGCATAGCATTGAATCCATAAACTTCCATATATCAAATTTTTTTGGAATTCTTCATTACTGGGGGAAGTGATACCTCCATTCCCAAAGCAACACCAGCACCATAACCTTGTCTTGTATGTTTGTATACATGTGATTAGATGTAACAAAGCCAGTGTGTGTTATCCAAGACTTTTTCTCTTTGTTGTTGTCAGTCATTAGAAAAGTTTTGGACAACCCAATTTACAGAATTTTTGTAAAGAAAAGCAACTTCCTGGGCTACAGACAAGGGCTGAAGCAAATGGAGAACGTAATCAAGCACCATATCCTGAGATTCACCTAATAATGAGGGCTGCATGGCCCATCCTGCCAGAGCTTTTCCTACATGTAGTGTATGTCACTGCTTGCCTGCCCTTCTACCCCACCCCTGCCCCCGAAAGGAATGCCAGATACAGGGTCATCCCAGCCAACAATCAGTCTAGTTTCCTGTAAGTCTGCTGGTACCCATTTGTAATCCCTGAGTGGAGAGAAGCACTGTAAGAGGAAAGTTTCTTGTTCAATAGAGCAACACTTTAACCAGGTCTGCCACATGGTATTTTAAATCAGAAGTCAGGTACACTAAAAATTGGGCAACAGCATCTCCCGTGAATCTGATAATCTCAAAATGTAACCCTCTTCATGAAAACAAAGGATACTCGTGAAATTCATGTAAGCCATTGAGTCATGATAATTCAGCAATTGTCAGATTGACATATACATGTGAAGTGTAATTAAAATCTTTTACCTGTGTTCTAACAGCATCAAGTAGCTTATTCAGCTTCTCTGTGACAATTCCAATCAATCTTGTCATGATCAAACTCAATCCATCTCTTGTAATACATGTCAGATCTCTGTAAGCCTTTCAGATATAATAGTAACTGAATTCAACACACTTGTTTGATAAAAAAAATATGGAATAATGCAATGTCAGGATGAAAGCTGTTCATTTTAAAAGCATTATCAATAACTCTTGCTGGATCCTTTGTACTTAGAAATAGTCAGAAGTTAGGTTTGAGCCTTTTCATATTGGATGCTGCCACTCAGGTAGCATTCATTATTAAAAGTTTAGAGGTCAGCTTTATACCAGAATTTAGCTGTGTCACTGGTGAGAATAATAAACAACAAAAGAGGAAATAAAGACTATTTATGGCAGAAATGTGATGTCAAAAATTGTACAACAATCAAAAACTTTTCACCAAAAAGGAAGTGACTAACAACCAACACTAATGGGGAATAGCTGTTTTGCGATATTTTTAAACAGTGAGATAAAAGAGCTCAAAAAGATTATTTTAACTTATTTACTCCTGCAACAGTTACAATATCTTCAGGTCTAAATTATAAATCATGGAGATGCAAGGATATTCAGAGTTTGAGTAACCAATCAGAACAGGCCTTCTATGCTACCATTGTTGTAGTATATACATATATGGTAGATTGCAACATATTACAAACAACATATTTATTAAATATACCAAGACAATTTCAATGTGGCAAGCACTTGGGAGTCATAGAATTTATGAAGTCTAACCTTTGGTGCAGCAGTTTGTTCCACTAATATAATATAAAGCAGACCAAGAGATGCTTCCTCATGCTGCTGTAGACCTTTGGACACCTGAAAAATTCACCCAAACCAGTTTTTCCTTGGTAGAAAAATCAAGGAGAGCTTTCTCATTTCTACCATATACCTTGGTTACTCTGTGGCTTTTTGACATTTTTCATGAAAAATTGTGGACAACATATGGGAAATAAAACAGTTAAACAGACTATAAAAACAGAACATCAATAATACCATTAATATTGTAACTCCCAAAAGTGATCTACATGTAACTTCTCCTCACAATTCCAATATGATATCTTCCAAACAGGTTATAAGAACAGACAACCTCATTGGTGAGAAGTGAAAGGAAAGAAAACACAAGGAAATATGAGGGAGTTGGAGAGGAGAATTAATCTTTGCGTTTCGGGAGTTAAAGGGTTAAGAGTCATGAAAAAATTTTTAAAAAACAGACCTACATGTAGCCAAATCAAAAACGTTCCAGGCAGCATCTAAGACTATGTTATAGAAAAAATATTTAGTAAAATCATCACTGATTACTAACCATTTGATTTAGAGCATCGTGAGCTTCATTTTCAGACAGGTTGGAAACAACAGAAGTGAGAAGGCCGTGACACTTCTCTAATCTCTAAAAATCAAACAACAACAACTTTTATAGACCCATTAAATTAATCAAAATGAAATTCTCGTACACAGCAAATATGATCTAGCCAGCATACCTCCTCCAATTCATCTTTCTGTAAAAGAACATTTGATGTAAATAGTCTTGACTTGTAGATTTTGTTGCTAGCTGCCTCCATTATCGCACAACGAGAGTATATAAAATGCGGGATAGAGCTAAATAATCTCCGCACAATTCCCAGCCTCGCTTCCTCAAGGTGCAGTCAGTGCAGCCATCTTTAAACAGTCAGGAGAACTGGGTACTAGCTTGACTTGGAATTTGTCTTTAGTTCTCAGGCTACGGGCAGTCATGTATTTTTGGCGGGAAAAAATGCTGAGTATCCTCGCCGCTTACGAGCGCAAGTTGGTCGACAAAAACTTAAGAACTTTTCTATGAATTTCTCGGCCGTCTTTCAATATTTACAGGGTATCTAACAGATGTCATCTCATGACAGCAAGAGCCGTATATCTCCTGGCAATCCTCCGATAAACAACCTCGCTCAGCAGCTTAGCAAATTAAGAAGAGAAAATTCAAGCTCGGCCCCTAACAGGACTTCGACGTCTGCAATACTTACATCAAGACAGAAACAAAAAACTCAAACTCAAGGGTAAGAAAAACAATTTGTCACCAAGATCTCCTCTCTGTCGAATTTGACTGATGAAAAATTTTTTTTGCAGCAAATTATTCAATTTCATCTCAAAAAAGAGCCAAAAGGAAAAGGTAGAGGTACCGCATAATTAGTGAATGTTGCATACTAATGCCGACTTTTGCATGTATCAACATACATGTGATTGTTGAAATAAATATCAAATCACGAGAAAACTCTTCTACAGTTTTCTCGTGAATTTGAAATTTGTTTTAGTTATGCTGTTATCTCGAATTTATGGAAGCACTTTACATGTACCTGTAATTGCAATATATAATCTTAACGAAGTTCATTTTAGTGATCAAACCACTAATTTTTAATGTTAATTAAGTGACAGCAAGTTTTCAATTATAAGACCTTGATGTCCAAAACATTTTCAATGATTCTGTTGCAGAAATGTGTGTTGCTTAAGGCCGGGACATACAAAATCTAATTATGTCTTGACCAGAGCAGAAAACCTTGTTGCTTTAATTGTATTTTTTTTTTAAAAATTCCACCATTTTACTCAGTGTTGCTTTAATGTTCTGTGTAAGTGTTTAAAAATTATTGAAATGCGCAGACATTTTTCAACTCTGTCTTTACTATCCAAGAATCATTTGTTAAGAATCAATAGGAATTCAGAAATCAGAAAATAAATATGGCATGTGGTTAATTAAGCTTCATAATGCACATTGCTCACATAGATAAATTAAAATTAACTCATTTTTTATCTCGAAGGCTAATGCATCTTTTCCAAGTGGATCAAGGATAACAGGAATTCATAGCAGGTACTACTGTAGGTATTTTGACATACCTCAGGTGCTCTAAGTTTCTGTGCCCTTTCTCCTTCCCCTTTCCTTGAATAAAAAATCTAACTTTGTTATTCACTTTCAAGGCTGTCCATAAATTACAAAGTAGAGGGTAAATAAGAAATGTTGGGTGGTCAGGTCATTGTGGATATAATCATTTGTCATCAGATTATAGGCAACATTGGGAACCAAACAATCAAAATTTACAACCTAAGCCTTGAAGTTCACACAAACCTTTGACCAGAATTCTGAGAGTGGAATTTATTCACATATCTGAGCCTTCTGCTGATAAATTATACATTCTTATGGACTCAAAAGTGGAAAAATTTAATTAATGGCATTTGATTGGTTTTACAATCTTTCTTCAGTAATTGTGATAAAATAAGATAAATCTAGCTGTCTAAATATAGCACATTGCCAGGGGTAGGGGGCTTTGGCTGGCTACATGCTACATAACAGTTGGTTAACAGTCACTCTCTCAATACATTTTCAATAATGCTCCCCATCTTTGATAGGTCTACCTGCCTGAAGGTCCCGGGAGCTCTGTAGAGGGTTCACAGTGTAAGATGATAATGAAATTAACACCAAAGTCACAAATGGAAGCTAGGTGGCTGAGGGGCCTGGCAGCTGCAACCACAGCTGCACCCCAAGGTGCTAGAATGCCTGACTGGCCTCCCTAACCCACAACCCAGCCATGACCTCCATAAGTTAAGCCCCTACAAGCACCCATCACACTAGAGCTAAATGGCTTAGTGAAAATAAAATGAAATATTATTGAATTAATAAGTAAAAATAAATAAAAGAAGTATAAACCTTCTGAATAAGGAGGTTTATATCTATTTAAACTACAGTTGGGAATGGTAGGTAGGTTACACAGAGAACCACTACCTTATGACTAATGCAAATACTACTCAACACAACCAACACTGTATGAAAGGGAGGTTAAGATGCTAAAAGAATGCCAGCAAAACACTTCAGACCAGATTTGCCTCTAGTCCTTTGCTATGTTTAATGCAAATTAACTATATTTTCAATTTGGTTAGCCTGTGTTAGTTGGATGGTTGTGCACTACCTCCCTTTTCTAAAGACCAATGGAAACAAATTGCACCATCATATTTTATATATTCATGATTTCTGATTTTCATCAAACTTGAGCTAAAGGTTGACTTTAGCTTTAGTATTTGTTCTGATGCATCAAACATGTCACAATTACATGCAGTACTTCTTTAATTACTTGTAGTATATATCTGCTAAAATAAACACAGTCAGTTACTTGTATTATTTTTAGAGACTACTACTTAGCAAAGTAACATGATAAACACAGTAACCATGAAGCACTTTTTGTATTTTATACATTTTTTGTTTCTCTAATTAACTGAATAGGGAGTCTCTTGGAGAAAATGGCACTGAAGGACTAGGATCACGCCAGATTGCTCGTGTAACACCATTTTTATCCACAAGGTAAACTCTCAGCCCTCACAATAGCTTCAGATTAGTCTTACCTACCAAATTATAAGAGTTTGTGTAGTACTATTTCTGAACCCATTTTAGCAAGTTATTCATTTCTAGGTTTACTGTATAAGAGAAGGATGGTTCTTCTCTAATATAGTAAACCTAGAAATAGATAACTGGCTAAAATGGGTTCTTTTCAACATAGTAAGAGGTCAGACAACAGGTGATGCATTGTGGAAGTAGGGTGAGGTATTTTTATTGAGAATTTGACTGTATTATTTTATTCCTAAGAGCTGTCATAAATATTCCCATACAAACTTTAATTTCACCGTGACTCTTATTTTGCAAGATGATCATCTCACAGCTGGAGCCTGAGCAAGTCAGCTAATATGTCATTACTAACAAATGGTGTCAGTACATTGATGTTAATGAATTATGTTATTTTTATTATTAATTAAAATGACAATGAATGTACTCAAAACTAATTTAGAATAAGTTTATATTAGACATTCCAACTTTGGATGTGAACAGCTGTTTACAATGTACTTTACTCTTGTATGTCTTTCACACTTCTTCCTTAAGATGTCTTGGTGACTTACTCTCTCTCTCACCATTAAGGTTTTTTGGAACCTGTTATCCAAAACATCATCTGTAAATAATCTTTACCAAAAAATCATCTTTACCTGTTAATTGTGTCTTAAAACAAGTGGGAGTGGCACATCAACTTCAAGATCAGCTGGAGAGGCAGGGAGGTCTGTACCACCTTTTAAAAAGGAACTGGTTTTCAAAAGACCAAAGCACTATGATGCTAAAGATAAAGATGATGAAAATGACTTTCAAGTCACAGCAGGTATACTTTTGTTGCTGTGTATTGTATTTGTATATTGTTTTATGATATATACTTTTTTCCATGCTAGAATTGTTTCTATACTATTGCCATGTATCCTCACTCTATCCTTCTATAGCATCAGTTTTACCACATCTGAATTCATATAGATGAAGTTTTCAATGCTCAATAAAGCTAATAGACTATTCAATTCAATAGTTTATTTAACCACTTAACATGTATGGCATAACAGCAGGAGCCATTTGCCACTGGTCTCTTAAAAGCCAATTCTTAGAAAATGTTGTATTCTTAATTACCACACTGACTATTATGAATAAGTTTCCATACAAAATTTTGATGCAAATGATATCAACAAAATTAAATTTCTTTTTGTATCCATTTCACTTTTCCATACAGAATTTCCTGTTACAAAGAAGTGCAAACTGGATAATAATTTTGTGTCCAAGGTAAGGTAAACTAACTTGCAGTCTATGAATAGTTGAATCCCAGTACCTCAAACTCTCAGTATCTCAGACCTTATGCCAAGTAAGAGAAACTAAAATTGGTTTCCCCTTAATTAATCCAGTAATATAACTCTCAGTCACTCAAACCCTGAGTGACTTGCAGATCCTGCTAACTTGAAGTGATTTGTTTCTTTCAGCTCATTTTTAATGTGATGTGAATAATCATGATTCTCAATGACTCAAACCCCTTAGTTTGTTAATGTAAAATATATCTTTTCAAATCTGTTTTTCTTTTTCTGACTCTTTGATTGCAATAAACTTGTTTAGTGTCATACTTTGAAAAGTCATTAAACATGTTGAAACACCTTGAAGTTCCCTTATTCCAAAATTTTAGATAATTCAACCTGATAACTTGAGCCTCTAACCTGTGAAGCCTCACTTACATGTGTCTAAATATTTCTGTTTTGATCCAGAGTATGGGTAAGTCAGCAATGAATAAAGATAAGCTCAAGTGACTGCAACTAACTCAGTGTTTTTAGTAGTTATTTATCACATCTATTAGTTAATCAATTCTTTTTGTTGTTTTTTTGACCAGAATGGTAAAAATCATGTAGAAAAGAAGAGCAATCATGACCATGAAAAGAAACACTGTAGTAGGAAGAACAGTACCAACAGCAGTACTGGGCCAGTCATAGATCTAACAAGTACTGAAGAACAGAGTGAAAGTGTTGATGAACAATATAGGTGGAAAAATAGAGAAGATGCAGATATTGGTGACTGCAGTGATGTGGCAGATTTACTCTTCAGCACAGACTTTCAGCCAAAGTCTTACAATGCTTCAGATATTTCCCTTAAGGTACTTTTATTATTTATTTATTTTTTCTTTTTTTGAAACAGAGAAAATGATGAAATATTTATTCTCTTTCAGAATTCTGTAGAGGAGCCAAGTCATTTGCCCTCAGATGGAAAACCTTTCACACAATCTATAGGCCCTATGAATGGATTTACACCTTTACAGAGTGTCTCCCCAGGACACTGTCCACCACCTCAGAATGGTCTCTCAGTAACAAACACTCTCTCAGCGCCAGAGGATGTTCTTCCAATGAACAGTCCACCTCTTCCACAGTACTTCTCACAAATGGGCAGTCCACCACCCCCAGAGTATTTCTCAACAATGGACAGTCCACCTTCACAAGAAAACCTCCACCCAATGGACAGTCCACCACCCCCAGAGTATTTCCTACCAATGGATAGTCCCCATCTCTCAGAGGATGGTCCTTCAGTAAACAGTCCACCACCTACAGAGTATTTCCCTGAAATGCAAAGTCTACCTCCCCAAGAGGACTTCCCTCTAATGGACAGTCCAACAGCCACAGAGTTCTTCCCACCAAGGGATAGTCCCCAACTCCCAGAGGATGGTTCTTCAGTAAACAGTCCACCACCTAAAGAGTATCTCCCTGAAATGCAAAGTCAGCCTCCCCAAGAGGATTTTCCTTTAATGGACAGTCCACCACCCCCAGAGGTCTTCCCACCAAAGGGTAGTCCCCCACCCTCAGAGGATGTTCTCCCTGTATGCATTTCTCCTTCTCAAGAGGTCTGCCAAGCAGTAAACAGTCCACCAACCCCAGAGTATTTTTCACCCCCACAATTACCTAACATACCATCAACAGCAGAGACTAAACTTGAGAATGGGATGCCTTGTGGGGATAAGGAAAATCATTCTTATGGGTAAATAAAGATAACTACACAATAATTATTATGCTAGTGATATGCTAATTTACTTTATTAATGTCATTCACAGAGTGAAATTCATAAAGGGAATAAATTAATATAGAACAATGATACAGTTGTAGTCAAACATTACAAAACTTTTAAGTATTGGAAATATGAAAGTATTGCTTAAGGGTTTTGAGCAGCAGCAAATTTTGAAATTTGCTAAAGAGTTGCATTTTCCTGCTCTTTGGAGCAGGACTAAGATACTTCAATTGTCCAAAAGTTATATATGTTATTCACCAGCCAAGGTTGGTCTGTATCGGGAAAAACTGTGCCCGAGGTCTTGGTACACAAGACAGAGGGCACAGTTTTTCCCAATACGGACTGACCTTGGCTGGTGAATAACATTTTTATTTTTTTTGCGAAAAGAACCTGAAGGATAAAGGGCTGTAATTAGGGTAAGATTCTCCATAAACGGAACAATTTGTGAGCGAGTAGACAGTAGAGAAAACAGGGGCAATGCAAATGAAAGAGAGAAGTTTCATCAAAACATATTTATTTGTGTAATGATATTAAAAAGTGATTTAAAAGGCTTCCAAGAAAACTTTGAAACATTTTTTCGGATACCACCTGCTGTGAGCAGGCCAGATGGGAGGAATACTGCCCACTCTCAGAACCAATCAGATTGCAGGATTTGTAGAATACCGCCTGCTCACGAACTGAGAAAAAATAAATTGCCATACTGCTCAGCAAACTTGGCTTACTCTGAAAAAGACATCTTGTTCCTGGATTTGATTTCAGTTGAAAACCTTCAGTACCATGATCAGGTAATTTTGATTTGCATTCTCTAAGTCTTATCTTTGTGTGTGTGTGTTTTTTTTTCCTGATATAGCATTTTAAGTAAATCACTTACAGCAGTAGCAGTCATTTGATTCAAGACTGCCAGAACAGTTCTTTATGTCCTATATTCTTGCTAACAAAATCTCTTGGTACTCTTTCTTCTCTTCCAGAAGCAATAAAATTTCTCATGTACTGCAGCAATCAGTTTCTCAACAAGTAAGTTATTACAAACACTTTAAAACTCGCAACTTTACTTTAACAGGTTCATTGGTAACTAGTTTATAAGATGACAGTTGAAATCCTTATTTTGTCTTCCCTTAATCACTGGGAAATGAACCTGTAGTCAAACTTCTGTTAAGTAGATATAGACACAAAATTGAGGGTTACTGCCGAATATATGTTGTTACTAAACAATAAGGGGGATTGGCAACTGTTCTGCCTCCTGCTAGAGAGAGATGCGTTATTAGGGCATGCTTAGTGAGAAACTAACTTGAAAATACTGTGAGTGAAATGCATCCATCTTCATTGCCTTGGAAACAAAAGACCATAAAACATTCACCTAATTTCATGATTGGCTAGAAAGGGCACCTGTATTTGGTATGGAAGTATCATATCCTTGATAGATGTTGACAATACATGTTGTTAGAAGTCTGTTAAAACAATGTGAGTTATTAAACCACATTTGCATTTATATATTTTTTATAAATGTTTGTTATCCTGGATTGCTTTCAGACACCATTGATAAAGGTCCAACTTCACTTGGAAGAAGTGCATGGCATGCATTATCAGACACTAGAAAATATATGCTCCCTGTTAGATAAAGCTGATCCAGCCATCGTCAGCAGCTTACCCAAAAGTATTAAAGAGGCTCAGAACTTAAGGTTGCTCATCTACTTAACAGTTAAATTATCAATTTACCTATAGACAGCTATCTGGGCAAGTTCTTTCTTAAAGATACAGCAAGAAGCAAGAGGAATTTTAGACTGAAGGGCCATTTTCTTGATTGGTTCATACATGGTGTAAAGTTCATCAATGTGCAGCTGTTACAGCTGATACATTGTCCTAATGTCTGTTCAGAAGAAAGATATAGTTGGATCTTAAAGATGTCCACTTGGTTTAATCCAGTTTCAGGTTTAAGGACTTGAAGGCATGACTTCAAGATAACTAATGACCTGACTACTACATCATGTTGCTATGCTCTCCCAATTTCACACTATGCATACTTGCATTTTAAAAGGGAGAAATACTTAGCATAGTTGTAGATGGCTTGGTTATTACCTTTGAACTGACCTTTTTTAGTCTTGTTCAATTTAGGTAAAAAGTGTACTTTTTCTCACAGGAAAAGGCTAAGATCAAAAATTTTACAGCTTGAGAACATTTTGCAACAGGGAGGAGGAAGCAAAGACTGCACCTTCAAGATTTGTAAGTACAAAAGATAAACAGTTTGCTATTGATTCTACAACTCTTATTAAGGTTTTTTTGGAAAAAACCTGCTCTGCATCAAGTTTTTGTACTCCAGTTTTGTCACCGCAGACACTGACAAGGAAGGAAGGTGAAATATTTAAATTGCTGACTAAAGATTTGTAGACTGATATGATGGAACCTAGAGATGAATGTATTTCCTGTTTGTATGATTCATAATGAATTGGTCTTGATTTGATTTACTATTTCTCTTACATGCAGGTTTAAGGCAATCACCACACAGTAATAGTACTACCTTGTCTGATACATCCATTATACCATGTAAAGAAAGTTTCTATGAGGGAAGCAGGAGTATTTCTTGTTCATTGAGCTCAAGGTTGAATAAAGAGAAGAACATTCCAACAACCTTTAAAAAGTCAAGCAAACTATCTTGTGAAAATGATTCTCTACCAGAGAGCAGAAATGATTACTCTGTGAAAACTCAAACTTCAGTCTCTATGAGTTCTGCAAGTGTAATAGATGATATGAAAAAAGATTCCTTACTGTTAACAGAACTGTTGGATAACAGTGATGATGAATGGGCAAATACTGGTATTCGTGATGATTAAATTATCTGATGTTATGAGTTTTTTCTACTACATTTTGTCTCTCCATTGAGGGACAAATCCTTTGAATTCCATTGCAATAGAAACATTAACTAATAGCACTGAGTATGATAATGAGTGCTTCTTTCACTTTTGCAGTCGAGTTAAAACGAAGAGATTTACCATATCACAGAGAAATGTGGAAAATATTGAAAAATGTTTATAACATTCGTTCATTAAGAACAAATCAGCTAGAAGCCATTAATGCTGCCATGACGCAACATGATTGTTTTATTCTGATGCCAACTGGTGGGGGAAAAAGCTTGTGCTTCCAGCTGACTGCACTTATGGGTGCTGGAGCAAGTTTTGTTATTTCACCTCTCAGATCCCTTATTCAAGATCAAGTACAAAGACTTCAGTCAATGAAGGTAAAATGCATATGATAACAGTACCATACTTTTCGTGACAATACTTTAATACCTCAGTGTAAAAATTAACCAAACGCAGTCAGCGTTTAACCGTTCCGCGCCATTTTCTTTCATTGTTTCCTCGTTTTCCGACGTACGATTTTAAAAGTCCCGCATATATCGCAACTTTCTTGGCGATGTACCTGGCTGTATCAGTGTTCACCCACTCCACCCCTGGAGCAATGTTGGTTTCTTTACCTAAACTTGCGGTTGAATTTCAACCGAGGTCAGAGGAAAAATGGTGGCTTCTGTATTGGATGAGAACTTCTAAAATTTAGAGGACTTTGTAGACAAATCCTTATTTAATTCAGTTTTAAAGTACTTTCACACTGATTGTTTTATTTACAGGAATAAGACTGATCTCTAACACAGGCATTTTCTTGTGTGCTGTACATCAACTCTACAATTCGTGCAATAATTCAGCTAGCACGTCAGCCTTTAAGTCAACAATCCATGTACCCATTCAACGAGCGAGTTCGAAACTTGCCGTCTTTCTTTAAGATTTTCTTGCTCGTCAAAAGATGTTCCTTTTATGGAATAAGTTCTCTTTAGCCATGTCCCTTTCTGTCGCCCCCTCACTTGGAGCCATATGACAGCTCTAATGATTTCATATTGTTTAGTTTAGAGCCAGATCTCAGTTGTTGCCCCTACCCACAAAGTAATGAATCTCTCATATGTCTTACAGTAGTAATTTTTTCACAGCTGCCTGCTGTTCACTTGCTGGGTGATGCAGGAAGTGCTTCAACTAGACACCTGAACTCTGTATATCAGGATTTGTCTCTCAGAAATCCAACTATCAAGCTTGTGTATGTTACCCCAGAGAAACTCTCAGCCAGTGAGAAACTTGATTCTGTTATGAAGAGTCTGTATAATCGTGGACTGCTCGATAGGTGAGTTAAAAAGGGAACATTCTTTCCCCGCTGCTTACACTACGGTAGTGTCGGTTAATTATCGCCATTCAGCGCCCAAAGCTGCCACCGTTCTGGTCACCATGGCGACTAGAAAAACTTTGGCGAATAAATTTGCACCCTAAGTCGCCAAGTTTGCAACCTGTTTTCGATGGTAATGTCGCAAGAGTTAACGTTTAATAACTTTTTGTTGTTGTTGCCTAAAGCCAAAATGATATTAACTCTTTCAAGGTATAAAACACGTTGACTGTCGTTTTCTATAAAAATGTGCCACACTCTCGTTGGTTTCCCGAGTATTTGGCCTTGATATGTCGCGTAAATCTTCAACTGAAAACGAATGCCAGCCATACCGCTTTTTATAAAGGCAATCGGTGTGGTTTGTTGTTTTGTCCATCATATGATATTTTACAAATTTCTGGTAAACAAAATTTTATTCTGGTGAACATTTTTCAATTTTAGGCCATCAAAGGGCTACTTTGAGAAACAGTTAGCTTGGAGCCCTGCCATTATAGAAGAGGGGGTGTGAGAAGCATACGCACAATTAGCGTGCTTGTTTTTTTGTATTAGAACATAACTGATTCCATCTCCATTTCTTCAAATCAATGATAGACTCTATTCCGCTAACATATAATGACTGTTGATAGGATTGTGATAGACGAGGCCCATTGTGTGAGTCAGTGGGGACATGATTTTCGCCCAGACTACAAGAAGCTGTCAGTGTTAAGAAGCAAGTTCCCTAGAGTTCCCTTTATGGCTCTCACTGCTACTGCTACACCACGCGTTCAAAAGGACATATTGCATCAGCTGAAGATGACAAAACCAAAATGGTACGTTCAATGGAGCTTTGCATGCAATGCTTTTTAGTCAGAAAGGTAATACATTTTACACAGATTCGGCGGGGTTTATGTTCTCGTTACCATCCAACTCAGATCAGGTGATGATTAACTCGGGAGGTTACAGTGGTTTTTTTCGTTCCTACTCCCATTGCTCAGCTGCCTTTGACAGACTGTACAATGATGACTTCTCAATTGTAAGGAAACTCAGGAAGTTGCCACCTAAAAAATTATGTTAACCTTTTAACTTGGAAAAATGTTTTTTCCAAGAAGGATTTCGTATGCTACTTAACAGATAATCATCTTTTCACCCAAAAAGACAGAAAAGTGACCTTGCCGAAGCTTAAACCCAGACCTCCCAATCTAGGATGTAATACGCCGACTTTTAAGCTTGCGCGTCTTCTCTTCTCTCGTGTATAAATTTACCTTGGCTAAGACTAGACGTAAAGGAACGAATATCACTTGCATGTTCTAAAATGATTTTAACCCTTCAACCCCCAAAACTGACCATCACCTACATGACTGATTTCTCCTTACAGTATCACCCTTGAATCACACATTAAGGTCATGAGAATAAAGGAAATGATCACCAACTAAACAACCTCTTGATTGTTAGACAAATTCTCCTGGTGAGCACCTTAAGAATGTATAGAGAATAATACGGAGAATATGCATACTGATGTTAGGGTATGAAGGGTGAACAAAAGATGAAGTTCAATCATTTCTTAGTGGATAATTTAGCGAGGTTGTGCGTGATAAAATTACTGTTCACTGTATGGTGCTAAACGTTAGAAGTCAAAAAAGACTGCATGACATGAAGAAGATCCTGACAAGACGAACTTGATTGTTGTATATAGGGTTTCGAAAATTTCTGTTAAAATCTTGTTATTAACAGTAAGCAGGTGAAAAGGTCTCCTAAAGAATTCTTAGTAAGTCTCTTGCCTTAAATAACAGGTTTACCCAAACTTTCAATCGTCCTAACTTGCGTTTCATCGTGAAACCGAAAAAGAAAGTCATGGAAGAAATACTGCAGTACATAAAGACAAAGCAACCTGTCTCTTCTGGAATTGTCTACTGTCTTTCCAGGTTGGTATTTTAAAAAATGTAGTCGACGATCCACCATTGATCAGTATCAGTAACCTGAATTGAACCCTTCATTTCTTGTTATGAGAAAGCGCTACCTTGTTGACATGACTAATAACAAACAAACGTATTGGTAACCGAGCTTCTAACCCTGGCCAATCGGAATCTTTTAGAGCTAGCTTGTCATCATTTTACTGCATCTAAAATCAAAACGACTTCAAATCAAAATGAACACGAACCTAGTGTGTAGCTCAGCTACCACGGGTTGGCTGTGGCTCAGTAGTTGGCCATTCGAACTCGCAATCGGTGACAGATTCAACCATCGCTAGGAACTCTCGTATTTCCTTTTTCAGAGCATGTAACTTCGACTAGAAAAATAGTTCTTTTAACCGGTTTACAGAAACCATCGCTCTTATCTGAAGAATGTCGTTGTAAATGTGCCCTTCAATATCTTTTTTTCCTTTGCTAAGAAATGACTGTGAGCGTGTGGCAGACTCTTTAAATGAAGCTGGCATCAAAGCAATAGCGTATCATGCAGGACTTTCAGATGACCAGAGAACACAGTGTCAGGAGGCTTGGATCAATAACAGATACAAGGTTAGTTACAATGTGCCGTAGTGAAGATTGTCGCCTTAAAACTTAGTAGTAGAAATGTGGTAAAGTTCATTATTTGAATCTCATAAAACTGATTTATTGAAGTTCTCTAGGTTTAAGGCTATGGCAACGTATCCGTTTTTCTCTGTACACAAACGCAAACTCTTTCTGTCATTTCGAGTCCCATGGGCAATTTAAAATAGGATTTCGTGTCGTAATTTGTGAAAGGAATGGAGACTTCACAACTGAAGTTACGTGTTAATGTCGTCGAAATGCGAATACTAAAATACATTTGAACCCCCTACAAGATATGGTATGGTTAACTTTTTTCATTACTGTAGTGTAGCATTGCGCTCTTACCCTATATGCATATTATTGAACTTTGTCGTGGTTAGAAATTATTGAAAAAAAAATCACTTACTCTCGTTTAGGTGGTGTGTGCAACGATTGCGTTTGGTATGGGAATTGACAAGGCTTCTGTGAGATATGTGATTCACCATTCAATGCCTAAGTCACTTGAGGGTTACTATCAAGAGTGTGGACGGGCAGGGCGAGATGGTCAACTGGCTGAATGTATCTTGTTCTATTTATATGGTGATACCAACAGGATAAAGAGGTACTTATTTGTTTCAATAAGATTCTGATATCAACTCCTCCAATTGATGGAGTTGAAATTATGACGTGAAAAACAGCGTGCAAGTGACTGCAAAAGTTGCTCAGAATGGTAGGCATTGAAGTCTTCATTCACCGTTAGTTAAGCTATTGACAGCCTGTCAATTCACTTGAGGTGATTTGGTGACGAAAAAGTCAACCTGCATTTTATCTGTGAGGGTATTAAGATGTAAATTTGAAAGCAAAATGACTAAAGTAGACCTCTGTTTTGTGTGTTATTAATGTTGTCTGCAAGCACATCCCTCCTACAGACCTCTGAAGTTCCTATTTGTAGTTAGGTTCACACCTACCGTGTGATATGTAAAATTTGAACAACCATTTGGAGTCCAGTCAGTGCATACATCGTCTACTGCGCATTGTGTTTGAGTGTCACAAAACAAACTCAAAGCGTAAGTAACTACGATAGCCAATCAGAACAAAGGTAGGTATCTCAAAGAGCCAGTGAGAAGTTCACGTAAAAACACAAACTGCGTAAAGTGCAGGAAAACCTAAGTGACCAAGTCGTAACTGGCTGTAGTTTTGCATCTGATTGGTGAAGAGAACGACGCGAGTTTTTTGGGCAAAAGACACCCAACGTAATTATTAGTTTCTCTTGACACACAGGTCAGTTTATAGATTGGCAGTAACGAATTGAACACAGTTTAGGTTGTTATTTACTCTTTCTGTTGTCCGTGGTCTCTTAGGATGATCCAGAACAACAGCGACAGGACAGCTGACAGCAAACAGGTGGACATGGACAATCTTTTTCGTGTGGTGCAGTACTGTGAGAACGTCTCCGAGTGTAGGAGAGTTCAGTTGTTACATTACTTTGGCGAAATGAGTTTTGAGCCGTCCCAGTGCCGTGCTCAGCCAGAAAGCATGTGTGACACCTGTGCTACTTCTGCAACGTTTGAGAATAAGGAAATTACGTCTGATGCGAAGGCATTTGTCGAAAATGTCAACTCCATTGTCCATGGCGGAAACAGGAACTGGAGGAAACCTGTTAAGAACTTTACGTTAAACCATTTTATCGACATATTTAAGGCAAGTTCGAAATGGCAGTCTGGTTGTGTTTTCTGAACGTAAAGAAAAGGGGTACTACTTTCCTTGGCGAGGCTTCAAAATTTTGTTGACTCTCTCTCCGCGTTACAATCTGAAATATATTTCTCTGTTTTCTTGTAAGTCAAAAACTAAAGGGGAACTAAGGGTCTAAATGTTGCAAAGATAAACAGCCGTTAAGATATTTCTTTCTTGAAATATCGTCAGACTTGTGAAGTCAAACATGCGTCCATTATTAAAGAGGTTTACCTTCTTTTTTACTTTTCCTTGGTATGATATGTATTTAACATGCAATTGATGGAAAGTTGTCCCATTTCTTTTTTTAACAGTGTTTTCGAATTGCCACTTGGCGTAATTGTGTTGTCCGTTTTAATCCTATTGCAACGCCTATTGGAGAGAGAAAAAAGTTGTCACTTTCTCTCAAAACTGTTATCCGAATCGCGAGACACAACACCTGGTGGATATGTAGTTGTGATGTCTGTTCGTCCTAATTTTTGTTAAAGCAATCTATTTCAACAGTTCAACAATCCACTACCTTTTTCACGCAAGTCTATATACATGAACTTTCTCGTCACCTTGCAGGGTTCAGGTGGTTCCCGTGTGACGTCTGAAGGTCACGACAGATGTTCCCTGTATGGTCTGGGAAAATCCTACCATAGAAATGATGCAGAAAGACTAGGCCATCTATTGATCTTACAACGTGTGCTTGCGGAACATATCATGATTGGTAACCATGACAATGTCCTCAGCTATGTCAAGTTAGGACCCAAGGCTTTAGATTTCCTTCAGGGTCGCGTAAAGGTAATGTTTGTAGTTTTTGGCATGATATTTAGAATTGTATGATAAGCTGAATTATCCACGTATTCTGAGTGGTTCTTACTTATGATCTATTTGAGGACACAAACACAGATTATACAAAACAAATACGTTTCCGTGTTGCTATGCGACTTTTCAGTAAACACCGAGAAACACCGATGACGGCAAAGTGAAGTAAGAACATCAGTGACACACTCGGTTGCGCCCCTTGGGCCACTTTTTTGTTCTTACTAGATTTTGACATCATCTGTGATCTATTACTGAGCACAGGCACGGCAGCATGGAATTTCTATGTTTATTACATTGTTATGATTGGTGGAATCTTTACTCATTTTCGCGGATTCCTACCTCCTCCCTCCTCCTTCCACATCTTTCCGATTCCACTAAATAGAATCCGTAGCAGGATAAAAAGCGTTCACCTACAAAATTCCACAAGCTGCGCAGGAACGTAAGTTTATCACTCCTTTGACAGCGAAATCGTAAAATTACTAACTCATTTTTTACGATTTCACGCCAGGTAACAATTTAAGTCAATTAGATTTTGACATCATCTGTGATCTATTACTGAGCACAGGCACGGCAGCATGGAATTTCTATGTTTATTACATTGTTATGATTGGTGGAATCTCTACTCATTTTCGCGGATTCCTCCCTCCTCCTTCCACACCTTTCCGATTCCACTAAATAGAATCCGTAGCAGGATAAAAAGCGTTCACCTACAAAATTCCACAAGCTGCGCAGGAACGAAAGTTTATCACTCCTTTGACAGCGAAATCGTAAAATTACTAACTCATTTTTTACGATTTCACGCCAGGTAACAATTTAAGTCAATTAGATTTTGACATCATCTGTGATCTATTACTGAGCACAGGCACGGCAGCATGGAATTTCTATGTTTATTACATTGTTATAATTGGTGGAATCTCTACTCATTTTCGCGGATTCCTCCCTCCTCCTTCCACACCTTTCCGATTCCACCAAATAGAATCCGTAGCAGGATAAAAGGCGTTCACCTACAAAATTCCACAAGCTGCGCAGGAATGAAAGTTTATCACTCCTTTGACAGCGAAATCGTAAAATTACTAACTCATTTTTTACGATTTCACGCCAAGTAACAATTTAAGTCAATTAGGGAGACGGTGAGGAGACTGAATCACTAACAAGGTCACTTGACTATTCAGTCCCCTTGCCAGTTACTCTGTCCAAATGTGTCCTGTTTTTTAATTGTTTTGCGTTAGAAATAACACCAAAAAAGTTTGTTCTTAAAATTGTTTTCCTTTTTTGGGGGATCAGCTACCTCCCTTGCCCGTTAGAGAAAAGGAGAAGACTGTCAGTAAATCTAAACGGAAGGAATTAATGGATCAAACGTCAGGCAGTAACTACACCAGCTCAGATTACACGACTGATACAGGAGACACTTATGATGAGAGCGCCAACCACTCACATTACTGGAAGCAGGATGAGAAGGCTCCTGTCGGTCGGAAGAGGAAACGAAAACCGGCCGGCTCGACAGCAAGGTAATAATCAATAGTATGGTCAACTCATCGATTGACTCTCCTGACATTTATTTTCGACAGCTCACATAAGCGTGGTATACCCCTTCGAATAAATCAAGTCAAAGCTTAAATACAAACACGGAGAAATTAAATATCATTATTTTTCTTAAGTTACTTCCAGAAATACTTAGGTAGGACCTCGTAAAAAACAGCATTTAAAACAGATGAGTTTGTCTCTTTTTTGTATATTTCCCTGGGAAGTTTCCAGTTGTCCTCTTTCATCTTCAAATATCTTGAACGTGGTCTATTCTTAACATAGTCCCACAATCAATTATTTCGTTATGTGATAGGAGAATTATAAATCTCAGTTTTTAAAAAGCCATTTAGTAACCTTAGTATGGAAAAGTGGTTTTAACAGCAAGACACTGTCACAAGTCGTGTATGATAAGAAATTTGCGACTTTTCAGAAAAGTTGATCAATCGAGTCTTATTTCGGTCTTTGCTGTTATCAGGTCCAACTCAACGTCAGGACCAAGCAAAGGTACCTTCTCCTCCGCACAGCAGGGAAAGAACAACTTGAAAAAGTTTCGCCGAAACAATTCTGAAACAAGCTTTAATCGTAAAGGGACTGCTCCCGGGAATCAGAGGAGTGGCCTTGCTCTTATGGCACCTCCTCAGCCAGCAAAGCGGTTTACAAAGTGACATAAAACAGATGGGTTGGAAGAGGAATGTATTCATGAGGTATTTAAACAAACCTCACTCGGGGCGGTGGCAGTTATGCTACACAAATGCGATGCCAATGATTCATTTGGACATTATGTTGTGTGGCGAGATGTCCTGAAGACTTTGCACAATGCACGCTACACCTAGTTATAGGGTCAATGGCAATATAACTTGGAAGTTCTTCGATAGATTGTTTCATTTCTCTCACTCTTCCAGAATAAAAAGAAAAAGGCGCATATCACTGAGATCTTGAAATTCATTGAGTAATACAGTGGCACCCCTGAACACCGGGTAACTTAGAACCAAATAACTATGATTGCACGAGATTGAGCAAAGTAGCGTGACAGAAGCGAGCACGTCAATGATTTTCCACGCCTGAGGCAAATTATTGATTAGCGGGACAATGACGCTATCGAAATTGCTGATTCTAGTAGTATGCAGGACGCGTGTCATAAGAACTTCGTAATCTGAGACCGCGCTCACCGTAGAGTCTCCGTGGCTCAGTGTTAGAGCATCGGAGCGCGTAAACCGAAGGTCTGAGGTTCAATTCCCCATGGGAACTCGGAATGTTTTCTTCGTCCCACGCTCGTGACAAGACGCAAAACATCTTTCTTTACCTTCTCCAATGACAAATAGAATACGTTGGGCATGCACACAGGAAGTATGAGTTTTGTTGGGTTCAGCTAACGGCGAATCTGGATGATTTTTGCACTCAAAACCTAACAAATGCATCCATTGCTCGATATACGTACTGCTAAAAGCAGTTCCAATTTTAGAACAGACGAAAATTTGTGCGACAAAACCACTTACAGTTGCGATAAACTAAAGAGGTTTCAAAATGCACGCTACCCGTTCTATTGCTGGTTATAAGGTCAATGGCAATGTAACTTGGAAGCTCTTCGATGGATTGTTCCATTGATTTTCGGTAAGTTTAGCAAAAGGAAGTTGCAGTTTAACTTGATAATAACTTAACAGCTGAAATACAACCGCTCACGTCTGGTTGTAAACGGACAACTATATGCGTGAATGTATGGGAGGGAATTTCGTACCCTAAGAATGGAATAATTTAAAGGTTTTCGAATTGCCAGAGCTCTAGGCGAGTGGAATTTGAACATTTCTTAAAACATTTCACGAAAGAGCTTGTAGGGTATGATGAATTGATAGATCGTGATGTTGTAGTTATTTGCTGGTGGACTCTTGGCCAGTGACAAGGAAGATAACCTTTACGTTAAAATAATACACCTTAGCCTTGCTATATTTTCCATTCGACCTCAAGCTCCATTGTATGACGCATATCAATTTCTTTTATAACATAGCTAGTAAATTTGTCTAATCAAATTCAATTGCACGAGCGTGCTTCATATTCCTATTTTGCACGCTCATGACGTCAAGAAGCTAGAGTTCTCGGCTACGCCTCGAGCAACTCTTACGCATCTTTCGTGCTCTCTAAACTTCCAGCGTGCTTCATATCTCGATGAACGCACGCTGACGTATGAACCAATTGTTAATTGTAAAGCTGGAGTCATGGCTACAACGATACGAGAGAATGCTAAGATACAGTTGCGTAGGGCTACTTGGAGAAGTTGAGAAAGTTAGGAGAAAAAATAAGACGACGTTAGGCACAAAGGAAAGAATTGACAAATATGCACACACACACACACGTCAGTAGTTACTCTGCTCTGTATTCCTTTATTCTGGTCTCCAGCATTAACAAACAGAACAATTTAAAAGTTGTTACCTTGTTTGCTGTTAATTAAGATAGCTTCCGCAGTCAGACTGAGAATCAGACTTAAAGCTGATAAGGTACTATGTTATGCAATTTCCAAAATTTTGTTCTCTCACTCAAACTGACGTTTCTTGGAGCCTGTAGCTTTTTTCCCCATCGATACCGTGTATTACAGAGAAAAACATTTTGTATGGGTATAAGGAAATATGTATTTTTGGACTATACTGTATTTGCATAGAGCGCTTTTCATTTGAGCATCGTGAAGTCAAACACTAAGAAATCAAATAGTGGTCAAAAAGTAAATCAAACAAAGTTATTAAAGTTATCAAAAGAAGTTAATTAAATGCAAACTTCCTGACGTGCAAAACACGCGAATGACCGACCAAGTCGCGATTGATTTTAGTTTTGCATCCAGTTGGTTGGGAAAGTGGTGCTAATTCAAAAGCAATCACAGAGCGAATAGAGGCAGAGCTGGTGCAATCCCACATTACTTTAACATTCCTCGAAAATCATTCTTAGGTGATAATAACACTCCCACAGCACAAGTGAAAGATTTCAATAAAACTGACGTTCCCGTTTGACCACGACGTTTCTCTATCCCATTTAACAACTGCCAGAAAAAGATGTTTCTGTGCGTGATAAACTACACGTGAATTTCCACAACGGCTTGAATTTTGAGACTTCAAAATGTTTAATTCCCTGTCGGAAATTCCAAAGTGCTACCTTCGTCTGGGGAAGAAGTCTTCCATGAGAGACTCGACTATGGAGAACAAGGATGGTTGTGGGTTTGAGGCATTGCCATCCGACAAGTATGGAAACGATTCTGCAAATAGATTGAATTATAAAAAAGAGCGTTAAGGAAATTCACCCACAGATAAACAGTGGATAGCATCAGAGGTGCGCTCTGATTGGCTGTTCTAACTCCGTTGCAGGAATAAATGAGTTAATCATCCCTGTGTCATATCATCTCACTGTTTTAGTAAATACCGAAACAACTATTTACCCCAGTGTTGGCTAGCGGTGGAGATTTACATCGGCACATACTTCTACGCCACTAAGCTTTAAAAAATTATTTAAGACCGGAATTATCAAGGTAAAGGTGATGAGTTTTGAATGTAACCCCAAAGCTGATCTTGTAGTTCACAGCTTACTGAAGAACAATTAAGGCCTCCTGCACTGATAGAGGCAATAATCCCTTGTTTGCACACAAGTGCTTACCACTATTTACGTTAACTGTATCTTCCTCTGTCTCTTCATTCCCAGAACTGTCTTTTCTCCTTCTAATAGTGTGCAATTCATCACCAATTCTTCGCGTTATTGTCACCTGCAGAAAATCAAGCAAACCTTGTAAACTACTATACCAAGAGTAGGGTTTGGCAGATGTAAGACTTTTACAGGATAATTAGGTATGCTTCAGAAATCAATTTCTTTTTCTGTGCCAATTGAGAAATATACATATTAATTTACTTCTATTTACCTTCTTGACTGAGCAGTTCCTAATTATTCGATCAAAGTTGTAAACGAAGGGAAAAGGGTGGTTGAATGACAGGTAGATGGCTAGGTTGCTAAGCAGTACTAAAAATGGCCGCATATGAAGTGAAATTTTTGGCACATCTTTCAAAAGTTAGGCTACTCTTTTAGAATCTCAAAATGTGTTTGGTGTCTTAATTTCATAATTTGTTTTTATTAAAACCAAGGCTTTGGTCTGCAGGAATAATGAATCACATCCTAAGGAGAACAAAGATTACCAGTAGTAAAATAAAGCAAAATGGGAGGAAAGAGTAAAACATAAACACAGTTAGCAAAGTGTATAAATTTCACCTCTTCTTTCCCACTAGAATCTCTTCTTGTGGTTTTTGTTTCAGAAATCTGTCAATAAGAAAAAGAAGATAAATACTTTGTTTTAATGTAGCCACTTGTCCTACATCTGAGACAAGAGAGTATGAAATGATTAAAAACAGTTCAAAAACACAGAATTCTTAACTTTTCACACCCAAGATCTCCTTAGTAGTTCACCTCACTGTCTGTCATAACATTTCTTATGAAGTTAGTTAAGAGAATTTGGTATTGGATCAACTAATAATCCCCTGATTGATGTTTTTTCTATTCCCATAACTTGTTTGAGTTAAAAGGTTACTTGTAATTAAATTTTACACAGAGTGGCTGTGGTGCAATCACCAAGGCAATTTAAAATAATCTCACAAGATATATCTGGAAACATAGTTTTAGAAGTGACATTCAAGATTTAAGCAAGACCTGTGTAAAACAATCACAAACAGAAAGTCAAAAATTCCCTGTGGATCATTTCTGCATGAAAAAAAAAACAACAAAAACAACCACAACCAGGTAGAAAAGCATTGTGTCTAAAATTTCTTAGTGTTTTCCCAAGGATTTTCTGAGGGATTCTAAAGTAGTTAGTAAGGGTATTTTCTCTCCATACATTTCGACAGGTTAGAAACCTTAATCTGTTGGCAATTAAATTACAATTGTCATTTTATTAGTCTCCTCTTAATCACTTGTCACAAGGTAGGATACAGTTGAATTCCAAGAAACAACATGGATGCTGCCCATGAATTCACAGCGTAGAAATTGCTTCAAAAATTTCATTGAACTGTGGTATAGCCTAATAGAGTGTCACACCCTCTCTGGACTGTCCCTGGTGAAAAACCTCACAGGATCTTTGAGGATCTTCAAGGATTGACAAAGACCTGCCAAAGATCCTTAAGGACAAGGATCTTTAAAAGATCTTTAAAGGATCTGTAAAAGATCCTCAAAGATCTTTGTAAGCAAAAACGTTTGTTAAGATCCTCAAGGATTTGATAAAGATCCTCAAAGGATATTACAAAGATCCTCATAAGGATCCTCGCAAAGTTCTTTTCAAGGATCCTTCAAGATCCTCAAGGATTTATCAAGGATCTTTCAAAGACCCTCAAAAGATCCTTTCAAGGATCCTTTCAAGATCTTTGTAAGGATCCTTAAGGATTTAATCAGGATTTTGCAAGGATCCTAGTCAAGATCTTTGCAGGATCTTTTTGAGGATCTTTCAAGATCCTCAAGGATTTAATGAGGATCTTTTAAAGACCTTCCAAAGATCCTTTCAAGGATCCTATTAAGATCTTTGCAAGGATCCTTAAGGATTTGATCAGGATCTTACAAGGATCCTACTCAAGATCTTTGCAAGATCTTTTCAAGGATCCTTCAAGATCCTCAAGGATTTAATGAGGATCTTTTAAAGACCTACAAAAGATCCTTTCAAGGATCCTGTAAAGATCTTTGCCAGGATCTTTAAGAATTTGATCAGGATCTTACAAGGATCCTTTAGTCAAGATCTTTGCAGGATCTTTTCAAGGATCCTTCAGGATCCTCAAGGATTTAATGAGGATCTTTTAAAGACCTTCAAAAGAACCTTTCAGGGATCCTGCTAAGATCTTTGCTAAGATCCTTAAGAATTTGATCAGGAGTTACAAGGATCCTAGTCAAGATCTTTGCACGATCTGTTCTACAATCCTTCAAGATCCTCAAGGAATTGAAAAGGATCTTCCAAATATCTTTAAAAGATTCATTTCATGATTTTTTATGTGGATAATGTGATTTGATGTGGATAATTTAAACACAACAAGGAATTTTCGCAGAAAAGTATTGTGCAATAAGTGTAATGAAGGTTACCGCATAGCAACGCCATGCTTGAGGCTTTAAGGAAACTTTGTTACAACTTACATGACAGTAAATAGGGTTTTGCATTATGGGATATGAATTTATACGCGCCTAGATTTTTAACGGTCGCATAAAAACATAAGAAGCTCGTTGTTACGGCAAATATCATCGACAATGGTCGGAACTAAGGGGAAAATGTACACAGAAATAAAAGTAAAGGAAAGGCGTTTTCTGGAGTTCAGAAACAAGCGAAAAGAGAGACAGAAACAACCGCAATCGTCAATCAAACTCCAAGCAGGTCTCGCGATTGCTCTGACTCTGAGGCTGAATGAAAAGAATTCATTGGTACTTCTGGAAAGAAAATGAAGATGCCATCCTCGTCTAATGATTCTTGCTCTGAGCTCTTGGAGAGTGAGGATGCAAATGATGTGTTACAGGGACAAGGATACAGGCTTATCGATCTAGAGAGATTCTCCTCGACGCTCACTGAAGGACATGTTTCTGAAGAAGGTGTGAATTTACTTGGTTCTGTGTAACCAACTTAAAAAGCTCTTTTAGAGGTTGTCATATGAATTCCCGAAAACACTTATTTTGTACCTCAGGATGTATTAGTTCAATTAATCTGAAGTTTTCAGGGCTGTATCCTCTTACTGAGTTGAGTTGGATAAGCTGACAGTTTCTCCATAAGCTGAATTTTAAGTTAGATATTGTGGAATAACTCACCTAATAATCTCGGTGAATTTTGAACGGGCACTGTGCCCATAATATAAACGACTCCAAACGTTCCTTAGCTCATCCAAAAGAACGAGCCTAGTACTTTGTTTTGACACTAAAAACACTTGATTTCATGCAATCTTTGTGCAGTTATCTTTTCTCAAGTATACCTAGGTTTTTCACACCATGTGGTAGACAAATTGATCTGATGTCAAATAACAAATTAGTTTAGGGCAACTTATTAGTTATATTCAGTATGTGTGATTCCTAAGCTTTCCTTTGGTATATAGGTTAATATGGTTCAGAAATATAGTCATTGAAGTACTCCTGTTTGCCTTTTTTTCATGTTTACCCCCTCTGTAAGAGTAGTCTTAGTCTGGTCATAGTCTAGTCCTAGACAAGTTTAACACATATATTTTGGTCTTTTTATCTTTGAGCTGGACTGTTGCCAGATTTTTTGGAAAATGAAAATCTTAGTACTAACCTAAAATCTGAACAGAAATAGTGTAGAAGTAGTCCTACTAGAAAAGGATGGGTAATTCTCGTTTAGCAATAAAAAAAGTTTTATCTTCATTTTTTTATGTTTGGTTCAATTTTTCTTTTTAACTTAGTATGAGGATTTAAGTATGCTTATTTTCTTGTCAAAATTTCGAAGGTTCTATAACATTCTTGCTAAGATCTTCAATGATCTTCCATTTCCTTGCCAGGATCTTCAAGGATCACTGACATTCTTGTCAAGATCTTTAAGGATCTTCAAATCTCTTGCAAAGATCTTAAATTTGGCCATCAAAATCTTCAAGGATCTTTCTTTTTTTGCCAGGATCTTCAAAGATCTTTCAATTTCTTGCCAAGATCTTTAAGGATCTTTTATTTTCTTTCCAAGATTTTAAGGATCTTCAAAATTTTCAACAAGATCCTTGAAGATCTTGGCAAGAAAATGAGAGATCCTCAAAGATCTTAACAAGAATTTGGAAGATCCTCAAAGAATTTTTAAAGATCTTTAAAGGATCTTCAAAGTTCATGTAAAGATCTTTAAAGGATCTTCAAAGTTCATGTAAAGATCTTTGAAGATCCAGACAAGATCTTCAAGGATCTTGACAGGAAAATGAAAGATCCTTAAAGATCTTGGCAAGAAAGTCAAAGATCCTCGAAGATCTTGGCAAGAAAATAAAAGATCCTTGAAGATCTTGGCAAGAAAATTAAAGATCCTTGAAGATCTTGGCAAGAAAATCAAAGATCCTTGAAGATCTTGGCAAGAAAATCAAAGATCCTTGAAGATCTTGGCAAGAAAATGAAGGATCCTTGAAGATCTTAACAAGAATTTTGAAGATCCTCATGAAGATCCTCATGAAGATCCTCATGAAGATCTTGTAAGATCCTTAAAGATCCTTGAAAGATTTTCACCAGGGGTCAGACACATTAATCTCAACAATTTATAATACAAAAATAACATAGGATGTTGACAAACAGAAGAAAATATGATGAAAGTAAATAATGTCAGACCTGAAAAGAATACACAAAAGACAAGTTATATTCTACTTACACCATTTGAATCCATAATAGTTACACTTGAAAAAGAAGATGATGATGATGATGATGATGATGGTGGTGAGATATGCCTTCCTCCTTGGTTATTCTCCCTAGGAGCAAGGATGTCATCCAAGCTGTGGGTTCCCATTTCAACTTGCCTATCCAGGTCTTAAAAGAAGTAAAGGAGAAAAAGGGTTAAAGATGAACTCCAACCAAGTGACCCACCCAGGCCGAGCTTATCCTGGTTCTACTAGGGAACAAGCAACTGGGAGTATCACTTATTTCACAACTATGGGATACCAGGGATGCTCAATTTAAATTAAAAAGTCACTCCTCTCTGAGAAGCCTCCCTCTTGAATATACCTACACCCCCAATCTAAAACCCTTTGAATTTTAATACCCCCCCCCTCCAGTTGAGAAAGTTTACAATATACAAGTACAATATTCTGCCAATTTGAGTTTCTACACACCTACGTCAGCTCTTTGATCAGGATGTCTCAATCCACCAAATGGTAATTTCCAGAAATCACCAAACTGAAAAAAATAAAATAGGTGTTGGAAATGCCCAAGCAAATCTGAAACATTATGATAACCATTCTTCTTCTCTTTCAACTGGCAGTTCTGACTGTCAAACTCGAGACTGACAGAACAAAGTTAATTACATTCTTAAAAGAAATCTACTAACACCATTCAGTAATGTGTTGTATGATCCAGTCCCCTTCCCCCTCTAAATGCCCTTTGGATTAGAAAATATCACCTAACAATTGAAAATGAACTTTGCAAATTTTTTATCTAAAGTAAACTGACTGACATTGTTTCTGTGTGTAGCTTGCCTAACAGCAGTATGATGGCTAACTTATATTTGCGCCCAACTTTATCATCACTAATTATTAAATAGTAAGAGTTTCATTGCTCCCCCCCCCCTTCCTTGACAAAGCAAAAGGACAATTTGATAACACTAGTGTGTTGTTATCTGACTTACCATAAATGAAGAAGGAGGAGAGGGAGGACCATCCAACTGACTGTCTCTAAGCTAAATCAAAGTAAAACATAATAATATTATACAGAGGTGTAAGAGATGAGACAATGAAAATTATTGACAGCCCTTTCTAAAAGTAAAAGGGGTACATTCTTACAGAAACTGTGGTGTGCAACAAAGAAAGGGGTTGTTATATAATTTGGTTTTATCAACGGAGTTGGTAATATAAATTGGCTACTGCGAAGATTTTCTAACGCCGACATTCTGACATTCCATTTTGCCCTGACAAAGGGCTATAGCTTGAAATGTCAGCTTCAGAAACTCTCTATGGTGGCTAATTTATATTATCAATTCAGCTGATAAAACCAAATTATTTTTTTCTTCAATTATTAAGTTTTTTGAAAAGTACTCTACAGGAGTTAAGAATTCCTCTTACTAATAGTAACTCTGACTAACACAACTGAATCAGTTCAAAATTAACAATTGTAGTTGAGTGTGAATTACCTGATCAGGGAGGTCATCATTGCCATGAGGTGTATCAGGGCCTTTAAGCATTCTATCCCTTAGGGATTTGGGGCGTTGAGAAAAATTTTCCTGTGGCCTTTCTGACGGTGAACCTGGTGGTAAGGCTGTTATGGACAAAACAAGGTTTACACTTACTGGTTGCTAGGGTTACAAAAACTGGATGGTGAAATTTCCTTCAAAACACTACACAAATAAAATTACAACTTACAGGAAACTGCCACAATTCTCATCAATGAAAGTGAAATATCTATTAATAGGTTCCACTACTGTGAAAGCTATTTAATGCAGAATCCAATAAAAATTATAAGCTATTTTGGTGTTTTCTCCTCAGAGGTGAATGAAGCCTGTAAACAGCAAAAAGACAGAGTGCCATTCTATCAAATTAACTGGGTGTCAGGCTTAATATCTGATGAAATGTAACTGCATGCAGAGTGTTAATCAAAAAAACATTCAGTCTGTTAAAATGTATCGACATTTTCCTGTATTCCTATCAATTTTTTTATTAGATCTGTCAAGTTCTAGCATTAAAAAATTTAAAGATACATGTATGTTGCATTCTACCTTCACCAAGAGGAAAATATTTGATTGAAAAATTGCCAATACACTTCATCAGCTCCTCTATGCTGAATTAACATTCAGGCTAAAATATTAATTTCACAGCACTCAGTCAACTGTACATGTACACACACTTATTAATTCATTTCAAGACAAAGCACCTTATCATAATTGTATTTCAATTTTTCTTCTTCTAAAGGTTTAGATGCATTTCAACTGGTCAACCAATTACACAACGAAATCCTTGTAAGGTTGCTTTCAGGGAAAGCGCAACTTAATTTAAGGCAAAATCAAAAGTGGCGAAAGACTGCTAAACAAACCTTGGGGTGGTGGATTAAAATCACCAAGAAATCGTTCAAAAATGTTCTGAAACATCTGATCAAACTCCTGTAGGAAATCACCCTCACTGGAATGAAAAAAGTGTTCAAGATCTCCCTGCTCTGGATTATGTCCACCATATATTCTCCATTCTTCGTGATAATCTGGAGGTTCTACCTCCAAATGAAGCACTGATCCCCTTCCATAAAGGTTATCAAAATCCTGTTGAATTTCTCTGGATTAGGAACAGTCAAAAATAGAAATTTATTTCAAGTTGATACATTTAGTCTAATTCTTGCATTGCATTTGTAGTTCATTATAATTTATCTGATGACTAATCCACAGACATTCAGGCTACGGTTTTTAACAGTAAAAACAAAAAACGATAAAACAGAAAACTATGATTCTGGCCAAGTACGTCTCCGAGAAAAAGTTGAGTTAAAAGTCCACACGTTTTTATTTCTTGAAAGTGAAACCACCATACGGGAGAGAGTAATACGATGCACGCATTTCTCATTAATTTTATGGGCTTCTACCCACCTTGGTAATTCGTTTGTGTCGAGTCGCTCTTTTGGAGGCCCAAATAACAATCTGAAAATTTCAGTTACACTCGGCATTTCCTTCAAATGCACATAGCTGATCCACAGGAATATTTCAACGTGTTTGTTTGTTGATCAAACCTCGTAAAAATCCAAATTAATTTCGTCATCGCAATGTTAGTACATCATGTAAGTACACCTATGTTGTCCAGTGACTCTACATGAAACGTTGACCGATCAAAATTCGTTCCCAGTGTCCCCACACAGTTTAGCAATAAATCGGAAGATGTTGTGAAGCTAAAGAGTACTGAGTTCTCGGAAATAATCTACTTTATGAAAATCAGAATGTAAATCTTGAATGTAGATCATTGTGTACGATCTCAGGGGCCCTCATTCAAAACCATCATGGCGACTGCACGTAGCCCCACATCCTCCAAAGGAACAACGCCAGTTTCTCCTTTGTCGCCACGTCATGGAAACTCTAAGACAAGTTAGTTTACGATCCTAATTATCGACCTTCAGATGTTTAAATTGTTAATTTTGCGCTGCTGTATAGAGATGCTGACTCATTTATTTTATTGAACAGTTTCTTGGGATGCTGAAGTGGACAGTGATGCACTCTTTTCCAATCATACAGTTGAAGAGATTCGAGCAGTTGAACATAAAACAAGGTCAGTCCTCGAAAACATCATGGAAAACACTACAAGTACTTGTCAGAAGCATGTTATATGCTTCTGTACTAGTTGAACTAATTTGTTCAATTTGTAAGTGTTTTCTAAATCTATTAGAGTCTCTGTACAATGCTCCAATTCTTGCAATAATCAAAATCTTGATGATAATAACGATAATAATAATTCATTTTTCTTAAAAAGAAAAGAACGATTATTATAATGATAGTATCAGTGATAATCAGTTTGAAAATGATGACTATAGTTATTGTTATCTTTATATGGATTAACCGTTATTTTTATTAATCAATTATTAATTCAATGATGCTAGGTATCAAAGAATACTTGTGAACATTTTTATTGTGCTTGTACTTGTACTAGAAAGCCAATTGAAAATAACACAACTGTGTTATTAGTAGAATGATAAATCTTTTCTTTAATGGTTATAAATGAAATACTCTCAGTTATGTTTGCTTTACAGCTCACCAAATATCTCTAACATTCAAATCATATGTTTGAGTATGAAATAAGATATCTATTTTTTTTTTCAGGGGTGACATTGAACAAAAGAAGGAAGATCTGCGTCTCATGGTTGGGTAAGTTACAATAGGAAGTAATAGAACTACAATAGGATGTAAAAAAAACTGAAGAACTTAACTCTTTAACTACTAACATTCTCTCCTCCAGCTTAATTACACAATTCCTTGTAAATAACTTAGGAGAATTTGGTGTTAGATCAAGATAACAGCTTCTACCAGATAAGTTTGGGTATTCTTATTTGTTATTTGTTGGATAATGTATAGATATAATAGGGAGAGGTTCCATGTCAAATGCCTCTGGAAGTAAAGGGATAAACTCAAGCGAAAGCTAAATTAACATTTACAAAATTCTATGTTATTCAGTCAATAGAAAATGGGGTTTCTGGCGTATTTTGAAGTCAAAGAACAGTTTTTACCCATTTTGAAATCAAGGTTGATCTCAAAAGGCAACTTAAATTTTTTACAGGTGAAAAATATTCACACCCTTTTCACAATGTCTCACTTGTGAGTTCTGAAGAGAGTGTGAATATCATCATCTTGAACAAATTCCTTTTGTCACACCATCATTGTAACATTGTGTACAGCCTAGCCCATCAACAAATTCACTAGTAGCACCTCAGGTGCTCTCTAAATCATTGGGAATATAATCTTTTTTATGAAAAGCTCATCAAAGCCCTCTTTTTTCATTTTTTAGTGAAAGATATCGTGATCTCATTGATGCTGCTGATACAGTCACTGATATGAAGACATGTGCTGGCCAGGTGAGCACTGTTTGTGGTGATTTTGAGGGGGAATTTGAATAAGCCAAACTTCAAAAGTTGATATGCCGGGTGGTGGGTGGGGGGGATGTTGAAGCTTCAGATTGATGGATGCATAACACTTAAAGAAATACAGTGAATTGCTGAATTTTGGGTAGTGTGGTTCTGTGATGAGGGAATTGAACTTACATTGAAGAAAAAGTCAACAGGATGCCCCTTAACAGTCAGGATACTTGAAATTCACTTGTCTGGGACTTAAGAAAATGGTCCCAAGGTAAACAATAATCTGTAATCCTGATGGCAAATACTCTAGAGTACCAGATGATCCTTCTTATGGTGACATTTTAAACATATTTTTGATTTTTCATATTGTTGTTTGTTCATGAGAAATTATTCTAAGTTCTCTTTAGTTGGTTTGTAGTATGTCTCACCCAAGCTTACCTACACATTGCTTTTCATTTTTAATTACACCAAATCTACATTGTTTTATTTTTTGTTCACCATTTTGCCTGCACCAGCCATCTATAATGTTCACATCAGGGATGTAACCTCTGTTCTCTTCGTAGATCATGAACTTTGTTCAGGATATTCAAAAACAATGCAAGGACCTTCATGTATCTCACAAATGCTATGGGGTGGGCGGTTCCCAGGCCTCTAGTACCACTGACAGAATGTAAGTGTTTACAGTACAGTCAAACAGGCTTTCTATTGACAAACATCTCATGATCCAAGAATAAATAGTAACATATGATCCAAAGCCTGAGCAACTCTGTAAGTAAATGGTTTAGTAAAAAATTTTTTCATGTTTTATCATATCCATTCATCATTACTACTTAGACTTAAACAAGAAGTCCTTTGCAAACAGCAGTGAAAAACAAATTGTCATTGACTCTTTCCAAACTTAAATCTTAACTTCATTGTGAAATTTTAGTTAGTTTATTGTTGACTATTGTAATGCAATTGTTATAGTGTTACATATATTAGTAGAACATTCAAATGGACCTAAGGCTGGCACCCAAGGGATATTGATACCTACTTATATTCATATTTGAGTTGCTAGATTATTGTTGAAGTGTTGGTATGTTGTACAATGTGGATTTGGAAGTAAAGCTTGTACACTGTTACCATTTGGTTTCACTTGTTATTACAATAATGAAAACTCAGCATGCGTCATCACTATCCTGCCAGTGTGAACATACACGTATCTTTGATACAACACTTAAAATGGCTCAGTGATGGTTGTAGTAACCGAAGTTCTTTTTAAGAATAATTTTGTAACTAAAAATTTGAAGAAACTTGTTCAAACAACTTTGAGTAACTTGAATTTAAGGGCCAGGATTTAACGTTGGTTATTGGTGACTTTATATGTACATGTAAATACAATTCCTTGCAAGTGGGTTCTATAGAAAAACTTGTCAATATATACTCCTGAACCATTAGACATTTTCTGATGATTATCTATGAAACAAAATATACAGAATTTTAGCAGTCCTGACAGTACACTGCACAGCTCCAGCGTGCTACTTTACTGGTTGAGAACAATAAGATTGCAATCATTTTCACAGCTATATTTGCTGTATAATGTACATCTACATCATTTGTACTTTGAAAAGCACATCACTGTACAACAATGAATGCTTGCCTGTTCAGAGATGGTGCACAGAAAAGTTCTGTGACAAACAGAGGGCATGGACTTGTAGTAAGTCCTTGTGGGGTTGTTGTCATTACAGCTTAGAGAAGTATAGGGTATATACTATGTATTATAAGTATGAATATTTATGTAAATGAATTAGGTAAGTTATAGAGATGAAGAGCACATGTATATAATGCATGTACTGAATACAACATGCTTTCAGGAAACTTACCAGTATCTGATTTCAATTGCATTTCTCTTTTTCCAGTCCTTCACAATCTAAAAGTGGTTTCTATGGAATTGCTTCTCAAATGAAGCTTTTGGTGGACACTCCAGAGAAGGTCCTGCTTGGTTTGAAGTTTTTTTTTAATGGTGTCATTATGAAATAAAATAACTTTCAAGCAATACATGAATTTCATTTCATTCAAATTCATTCATCTCAGGCCAATCTGTGCATGTAGTTGCTCTGTTTACTTACATCAGTCTCTAAGCCTAATTTGCTGTTGTCTTAAAACTTTCCAAACAGGTTTGGAGTGCATTGGAAAGAAAACAGTACCTAAAAGCAGCTCAGTTGTATCTTTTCTCTCGTCACATTGTAAGCCTGCTACACATTGATACTGGAGACACATCTGCACCTAAATTATTGGTGGGTATTTTTTTCCCATTGTTACGGTGCCACTGTACATTTCTTGTACACACAATGAAAGGGAACATTCCTACACAATGATGGATATAATAATTCCCCTCAACAATACTCTGATTGATACATTTTGCTCAAAATGTTGTACTTTTAACACCCAAGATGTACTATGTAAACATTCCACTCTGCACACTACACTGTCTGCCACATATTTCCTATAATTTTTGGTATGACATTAAATGTTATCTCTTAGTTGAAAAATTCTTCATGTTATTGCCTTTTTGATTGGAAAATGCTTGGGGAGTAGGGATAGAGTGGTGGCCCTGATCCCCATACCTGGTGTCATGTGTAGGTTTAGTTTGTTGTTCGTCCTTGTCCTTGCTTCCAGTCTACTATGCATTGATAAGGGTTGTGAAAAATTCCTTCCTGGTCACTCCTGGAGGTGGAAGAGTTTGCTTAAGTTCAAAAACTTTATCTACTAATCAGAAAAAGGGGTTTAATTTGGTTTTTGTTTTTCAATGTATCCTCCTTAGTCTTCATTCCCAATCTTGCCAAAACAATGGGCAGCAATCAGTCACTTCAAGGACTCCATACTTCAGGTATCATCAAGAGTTTCTTTTTTTATTTTTCTTCAAAATTATTTTTTTTAGTTTTTTTTTTTTAAATCATAGTGAGTGCATGTTGAAGTAAAACATAAATTTTAGGTCATAATTTCAAACTAGTTTCAATTGTTTTGTGCTTTGTTCAAGGAACAACAACACCATATTCCTTAAACAAAGAAAATGTAACCTCAAACAGGTTAAACCTGAACATGTATTTGGTGAAATGAGTTGAAAAAGAAAGTTTTTCCTACCAATGAAATTGTTGTAAGCATTTGTTCTCTGAGTATTTATTTTAACATTGACCCATTTTAATTAAAGGGAAGCCATGGTCTGTTAAAGGATGCTGCTCAAACTGAAGAGGTGAGACGTCGTTTATGGATCATTTTTGGACCAATTATCATACCCACTCCATTATTTACAATTCATATATTGCTGTCCCTCAGATGCTTGCAGAGTCATTGTGTGCAATCCTTCTGTTAGAGGAGAGCTCACCTCGCCAAGTCCTGAGTGAGTTTATCTTGGCAAGGAAAGCAACATTACAGGAAATCTTTCATCCATATCAACATGGTAAATACCGTTTTTCTGTAATACAGTCACACCTCATTTGGCTGACATTCTTATTAGTGGTTAGCTCCCCTTGCAGCCATAGTGACAAAATCCCGTTCAGCTCGTTATCTGCAAAGTGCATGTACATGTATGTACTCAGTTTCCTAGTTGTGAGCACTGTATTCCTATTGGGCAGAAAAGTCACTCCTCAGATTTGTGCATATACCAGGATTATATAAAATGTGCAATGAACTAAATTATGTGTCTTTTGATTGGTTTTTATCCATGATCTATTGGAGGACGGACATATTGATGATGTCACTATCAACAACATTTTCCTTTTTTTGTTTTATAAAACTAAAAGGTTTCATTCTGCCATGGGTCTTTTTAGTAATGGATCACAGAAGACAACCAAATGTGATAAGAATGTCTGTAGCACACTCACTGTGTGTGCTACTTTTTTGTTCTTACTGCAGTACTGCGTATTTCAACATCTTTTATGATCTCATATTGAACAGACACATGGCAAAATTGAATTTATTAGTTGAGTGCATTACAAATTTTATCATCCTAGATGCCTTATAACATAAATCATATCATAATGAGCCTGTTCCAGGCTCTCAGAGCAGACAGAGGTGGTTGACTGTGTAAGAGACACAAGGATACCAAAAAGTTCTTCAGGAACTTCTCTTGATTTCACCTTGTAACAACAGTCTCTTTCTTCTCAGCCACCAGTATCAAGTCCCAAGTTTGTGAAGTTGTTCAGGTGATTCAAAGAAGTCTTTATCAAATACACACCCTGTTCTGCTGTGATGATGAAGATGAACAAATGGAATTAAAAGGTCAGTTATTTCAAACAATTGGCTTTACACATCATGGTCACAAAATAATGTTTGATGTGAGAGACAATTTGTGTGAATTTTTGTTCAGTGCCTTGAAAGTAGATAGTTAAAAATGTTGATTTGTAAATGATTGACTCAGAACAAATCATACATTTTTTTTCCAGATAATCCAGCACTTGTTTTCAAAACCCTTGCAAATGTAATGAAAAGGGACTCTTCTCCAAACAGTGATGAGGAAGGTTAGTTGATGAGGAACTGTTATGTTATTTAAGGGAAACAGGGCAAATTGCTCTTTATACCAGTCATTGTACCTTCTGTTTCATGTTTTATTGTTTTTAAAGCTTTGGAGGCACTATTTGGTCCAGACTTTGACCTAGTAACCAGTGCAAGATTCCTTCCTAAGAGTGTTTTAGGTATGTTTAATAATATCTACAGAAAATCTAATGACCTGGATAGCAACTATTAACAAGTAGGTATTTGATGCCCACTCAATCTCCAGCCATATTGGAAGTCTATCCAGCTTATGTGTGTTGTGTAGACCATACTTTGGAGCTAATTTATATTCACAATGATTCCGAATGCAGAAATGTATTTATTTGTTATTTCTTTAACACTTCCAGATGTATTATGCATGCAGCAAAGAAATTTAAACCCTTTTTTATTCATTTAACCAATAAAGCACACATTTTGAATTTTTGCTTTGGTTAATTTTTTTATTTTCTTTTCCTATCTTGTTTAATGATTCTATACAAATAACAGAAGACATGCAACTGAAGTTTGTTTTTTTTTTAAATATAACACTCTATTGAAGAGAACATACTGAATATGGATACATCGTTACAGGTCATGAATTGCAAAATCAAGACCATGCTGGGAGCCTAGTATCAGTAACGGTAACCCACCTTCCCCCTCCCCCCCCAACCCCACCCTCTACTGCATTTTCTGGCATCTCCTGTATGCTGTGAATTTGAGTACATTGCCCAGCTGTAAACTGGCTTCACTTTTTTTCTTCATCTGTAGGATACAGACCACATGTGAGAGTGTTTCCATCCTTAATATCCAAAAAGAATATTCAACAAAACTGTGCCGAGTGGATTTCAATGTGAGTTTATTCCATTTCTAATACACTTGTACAACTGAATTATGCAAAAGGTAAAGATACACTCAAATATTATACTTGTAACTAACAAATTCTAAAACCCTAAAAGGCAATGACTGAACTCAGATTCGCAAAAAAATACTGCAAAAGACTGATACAAACCAAAATCGAGGCAAGTGACTTTTTAGTGAACATCCATAAGCATATTTAAGAGTGCACACCGCATCATTCAACTAATTTATTCCTGTTTTCCTCCCTACCATGTTCCCACCAATAGCGTAGCTCCATTTTCTGCCGATGTAAACACACACACAACCCACAATTTCTCAATTCGTTCTAAAGAAGAGCTAACGCTTGAAACGTCAGCTTTAGAAACTCCAGTTTATATCAATCAATTTACATTATCAAATCAGTCGATAAAACGAAATTATCTTGCAATACTTTCCAACGACACAGCACCGTAGTTTCTTCAGAAACTTACCCTCCTTTATTCATAATTCATGATTGGTTTTTTAGTCTTGCATCTGATTGTATCTGATCTTCAACCGTTTCGTTTACATTATCAATTCAGTTGATATAACCAAATCATCCACTCACGACTTAGTTGGTTGTTTTCCCGCGCTTTCGGACATCTGGTTTTTCTTTGCGCTCTCATAGGTTCCTTGTGATATTTTGCTTTCTTCTGATTGGCCGTTAATATTGCTTTGGTTTTGGTTTTACGACACTCAATAGAAAAGTGCTCTGAGTATTTTTAAAAAGGAATTTGTTGACACAACTCTTCAAAGAAAAAACTTGTGCCTTTTTACACCCCATAACGACCCCGTCTCTCCTAGTGGTAGTTCTAGGGAGATTCGATAGTACCTGTTTTCCAGCTGTTAATGTTCTTCTTTCATACAAAATGTATTCTAATAGGCAAGTGATCTAATTCGCAGGTGTGTTCTTGGTTTCTTGTTTGCATGAACTAACCGGCAACTTCTTCATGTTAGGTGTATCAAGGATGTAACAGCTGCAGTAAGTAATCTGCTGAAATACGTGGGCAGTCTCAAAGGCTTGGCCTCTATACGAGATGCAGTGTGGGACCTGCTCAATCAGGTACTGTGGATATTCGGATCATTATAGCAGTTAAGTGAATAATACAAAACCAGAGTTGTACATGTAGTTGTGGCGACCAGAAACTTTCACATTTTATGGGAGACTGCTCTTTCTCAAATTGAGTTGTGATGCCGTTCATACTTGATCCACCTCTGTGTAAAAGAAAATTACACGAATGAGGGTGGAGGTAATTTGTGCCTCATTTTAGCTTCTCCGTTAGTCTGCAGTTTCAGGTTTTGGTGTCACTTCTAGTGAAATTATGGACTATGTTGTCCTCGCGTTACCCGACGATTATTGATCACTGTAATCTCGCATAGTTTGTTCGATTCTCAAATGAATGGTTAATGGCTGAAAAAATTCTTTTCACTGGAATCATTGAGCGTACATTACTAAAGTTTCAATCACGATTCGACGCTGTGTCAGTTTGAGGTGAAGTTAAGAGCGCCGCATGGACGTAAACTAACTTGTATAGAGAGAGGGAATTCCATAGTCCTCATACAGAGTGAAAGATAAGTTTGTAACTGGTTGTTGTACAAGCGTCCCAATAGGTTTCTCTCTGTTGAAATTCCTTTCCAGACCAGTGCTGCCTCAGGAGACTGCACCCTTGACTGGTCAGCTGTTTGTAACAGCATATTAGGACGTGATTTATCCATATGGAATGAGTTTCTTCAAAGTCCTTTCCTCTCTAGAGCTCAGGTATGAAGTACGTGTATTGTCTTCCCAATAGTAATAAACGCCAAAATGAAAAAGTTTTCTAGGGGACCTGTGCGCATATGAATGTCAGAAAAAATTAAAAGAGAAGAAAGATTCGAGGAAAAATTAAATAAGTAGAAGTGAACTGGAAGGAACTATTCCTTGATCTCTCTCTCTCTCTTCACACGAACATTTGTTTCCACAGAGACAGATGTGAAGTTCTGAAGGAAGCTTTTTTTAGCGTCCCATCTTCTGTTTTCCAATGAATAGACTAAATTGGATTTGAAATATTTTGCGTACCACTGGAATATACTGGCTACTCTCCTTAATCTTTTCTATTCGGTCTTGATCTAAATATTTTCTGAATGATTTTCGTTACATTGTAGGATATTTTGCGAAGTCTATTCGATGCCACGATGTCATCATGTAAGAACATGATTACCAACACACTAGATGAGATCTCTGATCATAACACTAACACCGACCTCAATGTACTCTGGGAAAGAGACATAGCGATGTATGTTTGGCAGGAGTGTTCAAATGATGTCCCTAGAACAGTTTGGCGGGGATCACAGACAAACAATGCACCAAATAACGAGCAAGAAAGCGGTCTTGCCCTGAAAGCACGAGTTTGCACTCCTGCTGTACAGAGGTAACATACTGCGGGCTTTGTATCACGCGATTGTTGGCCAGGGTGACCGGACAAGTCATTGTTTAAATTAGTAACTTGAAATTTTATTAAACCGTTGTTGACATGTTTAAAATACTTAAACAAGGTATACAATTTTCGTAATTTAGCATCTTGAACAGACTTAAGCGGTAATGGGACAAGCGCTTGACCATCAACATCTAGTCGCAGGAACGGTATTTTGGAATTGAATAATCGGTCTTCAAAATAGGGAAATGAACGGAAGTTCGATTCAATCGGGACAAAATGAGCTGGTTCGGCAGTGTATGGCTTGGTCCCTCTTTAGATTATCCAAATATTTACAGAATAGAGGATTTTCTCCGTCCATTGTTCTTTTATGTTATGGTTACCACCGTATGACGAGTAATTCTTTTGCAGATTATGTAAAGCAGTTGACGAGAAGTTAGCTGCAATTCTTGAAGACGCTCAACACTTCATGTTTGATGTGCAAAAAGTCTCAGGTCCAGACCTGACCAAGAGAACGCCAGTTAGGAAAGCGTTCGAGTTGTCTTTGCTTAACAAAAACAAGACAACATCTGAGGAAACAGAACCATTCGATCGCTTTGGCACCGCAGGTGAAATCCAATCTTTCCTGCGAGAAACTTGCTTTTCTGCCTTTAGCCAGTAAGTAAGATATTAATAAAAGGTTCTTAAGAAGACAGTTTGCTTCTGGAGCATATCAGTTTAGGTAATAAGGGAACCAGGCATGGGGGAAGCTCGAAAAATTTACTTATACTATATCTTTGGAGAAAAACATACAGCAGCTGCTCTTGTGAGTGAAAACGTAGAAGCGGTTGGCGCGCGCGCGTCAAAGCGGAGTCCAATACCTCCACTAACTACACCCAACTTTGTGTATCACGAGTGCGCACAATTGCACGCTTGCCCATGACAGAGAATGGAAGGTCTAAGTAATTAGTAATCTAACTGAATGCCTTAAGTAATTTATTGATATCAGAGCTCCTTGGGAACATTAATTTTATGTGATTATTATAATCTATGAAATGGAAACTGGTACAGGCAAGAGTCATCACTTTTCTCAGTTATGTACTGAAATGAACATGTCGATGTCGTTTTTTTTTGTCAGTGTTTGTTTTGAAGCTTTTATTAATTAGAAAGAAAGTAAAAAGTCCATTTTGTTTTGGTTAGTTGTTGTAGTTCGGTATGGCGTACCTTATTGTTCATTTTTCTTTGAATCCTTTTTTATTTCATACATACTGAGATTTGCACTGTGAAGTACTATCGTTCTTGTCTCTGATTGGACGAACGATGTATTTTCACAGTCGTTCGCGTCTGATCTATGTCAGTCATTGAGAAAACATCTCAGTATGTATAAAAACATCTTACCATGGAAAGTGCTTGAACGATTTTTATTCACTCGTTTCGATGCATCGAGAAACTCACTCGTTCGCTGCACTCACTTTTTTGTTTTTTGTTTTTTATTATTCATCGCAACTCGTGAATAAAAATCGTTCGTGTGCACTTTCCATCGGATAATCTCAAAATCACTTCACTGATAATAGCATAGTCCGAATCAACAAGAAACTATCAGTTATGTGAATAATTCTGCGAAGGTATTCGAGGGATGTTCTTGCTTCTCTTCAATAGTATAACACTCTCGTGCGTCTTGAGTGCCTAGATTTTTATTTGTTCTTTTTATTCTTTAGGTTATTGCAATATATTGACGACATCGTAACCAATCTTACAAGCAAATTGAAATTAGAACCAGAGGGAGTATTTACGACGAGATCCCAATCATTGTTCGACACAGTGTGTATTGACAGGTAATAATACGTTGCTGTTCACTACCTGTGGTGCTGCATCGGTGGGGGGTGGGGAGGGAGGGGGGTTGGGGAGGGAGGTATAACGAGATAATTTGGTTTTATTAACTGAGTTCATAATGTAAATTGGCCACCATGAAGAGTTTCTAAAACTGACGTCTCGCTCTGACGAAGGGCCAACGCTCGAAACATCAGCTTTTGACATAATCACCATAGTTGATAAAAATTAATTATATTTTTAACTTGATTATTTTAGTGCGCCTTTCAAAAACAGGCGCATTCTGAAGCTGTGACTTAAATTTGAACGTGTGATTTTGTTTTCTGTTGTCAATCATCTGAACCCAGAATAAAAGACAAAGTGGGTTGAAATCGCGATTTAGGAACATCATCTTTTGAACCCAGAGGTCTGGAGTGAAACGCGTTTCCGTAATGCATCTACTTATCAAAGGCTCATACGTTATCGAGAAGTACATTTGGTATAATTTCTAGCCTTGTGTTAATTTTTGTTGTAGATACCTAAAAATAAAAGTAAAAGTCGACTGAAAGAACTCTATAAGATCTCGATATCTCGATTTTGCTTGAAAGCTTCCAAAGCATACCGAGCGATTCACAACAGAATACCCGCCAGAGCTGCGACGGGTGCTGGATCTTATTGATAGCACCGACATGATGTAGTGATGTTTTTCTCTGTGTTTTGTTTCTGTTTGTGTTTTGATTTTTGTGTGTGTGTGTGTCACCAAGGTAAATATTCTCTCAGTTGAAATCAGGTTTTTTGTCTGCAGAGTTCTATTCCTTGGTCGACTGTGTCACTCTTTTACCGAACAGTGCAGTAATATCAAGCTGGTCATGGAGGGACAAGCAACAGAGACAAAAGGTCGAGCAACGCCAAGGTTAGTGTTGATTTACCTGGTTATTAATTCGGTTCTTCCAGAGTTATCAGGCTTAAATCTTTACGTTTGGGTAGCAACTGCTCCCAGGTTGCTAAGACAGACAAGTTGTGAAAAAGAAACGGAACAGAAGTTTTATATAAAACGCTGAATTGTCATACAAAATGCACAGCTACTGTGTTTTAGCTTGTTTATCCTCCAAAGCTCCCAGGCATACAGACCCAGTCCTCCTCCCTCAACCACACTCCAGTCGATTTGAACTTGTTATAAACGTAGCTTTGAGAAAGTTGCCACTTTACGGAAACCTTCACTTTGGAAATTACGACAAAGCCAGGAAAATGAACAATTCTTTCGAAATTTCTAATATTTGTGTGTTGAGATCATTAGATAGTATCTGTTGGAAAAGAGCATCGTTATTTTGTACCAAAGTTCAATTACTCCATTATTGCCGAGCTGTTGAGGTCTAGACTCCTCGAAAGAAGAGCGGGTTTTTGTAAATGATGTGAAAGCTGTATCATCGGGCTATATCAGTGCTAATAATGCTATATTCAATGTTAAACCTGCATTCAAAACTAAAGGAATTACGTATGAATAAAGGGGTATGAATAAAGGGGGTGAATCTCAAATGAAACTATCAATGGTGTTGCGTCGAACAAGAAGTTACCATGTTCGCACCAATAGTGCAGTGCATCTTTCTATATACAAACCACACACAACCCAAAATTCCTTTATTCGCTCTGACGAAGGGTTAACGATCGAAACATCACCTTTAGAAACTCTTTACGGCGGCCATTTGCATTTAGTTTATCAACTCAGTTGATAAATCCAAATTATAAAGGAATGACGTGTTTGCATCTGTTTCAGAAGATGTTAAGCTTCTCATAAGTATTTACAACTGATATATATTATTTCAAGCTTTACCATTTTAACGTAGTACTTTCCTTCTCGCCCTCCCTCCCCTCCAAACGAGTAGATTAAAGAAGAAATCTTAAAAAAGTACTTATGACATTATTTCAACAGGAAGTCTTCCAGCTCATCAAAGAAAAAGGTTAGTGTAAATGTTGACAATGGCTTTCGAGACGACTGGCCGTCTACGACTTGACCGTGCATCATACAGACCGTACATCATACAGTTTACATACATGGCGAAGAAAAAGTGGTGAAATGAATAGATCATAACATCTTACTTGATAACTGTTTCGATTCTTTAAATTACTGTAATGTATTGTTTTGGATGCCGTGGACAACCGCTATAGTGTTGGTTACCCGGAAGGAAGAACAATCCAATATTGGGGAGGGGCAAGGGAGTGGATGTTTCAGCGACTTGTCACTAGCTACAGCATTGTATTCATCGTGACTGCTATAAGGCACAGCTACTATAACAAAGGTTTCTGTTGTTCCGCTTTGAATCCTTAATCAGGAAGAACCAGGCCAAGGCGGTAAGATGGTTGAATTGGCCAGTTTTCTTAGACGGAGATATCTCACAACATACAGGTAAAGAAAGTTGTTGAATTCGCAAGTTTTGTTTCGAAACTGTAACTATTTTGTCGCTGGAAACAAAGCATACTTGTGGCATTTGATTTTAAAGAGTAAATGACTACATAGAAACTGAAAAGTTTGTCCATATAATTATAATAACGATGATCGCTCTTAAAAACGTCACCTTAATTGGAAGATTTGAGGTACATGTTTTTGACAAGGACTTTTTGCCTCTTTTTTTTTTACGTACAAAAATAAAAAGCTCACTAGACGTATTTTATAGTTTGAAATGCATCTTGCCAATGTCCATCTTTGTGTTAAGTGATAAATCGAGCCATAGAAAACTCCTGTCTTGGTACCAGCTAGAGATTTTCATAAAACAACTCTCATTACTAAATTGTTATTTACTGATTCCATCTTAATATCAGTATGCATATTCTCCGTACTGTTCTCTACACATTTCCTGAGGCGCTGACGAGGAAAATTCGTTTAACAAGAGCTTCTTTAGCTGGAGATCATTTCCTCTAATCTCGTGACCTTAAAGTATGATTCAGATGTGATATTGTATGGAGAAAGTAAGTGCTGGTCAGCCTCAGAGTTCAAATGGTTAACAAAGTGTCCGTTTATTTGTTCTTCAGGTTGTGGAAAGATTGGATATCAGTACTCTTTTTGTCTTCTTTGGAAGCGACGTTGATTCAAGGCGACAAAAGCTCATTTTTGTTGACCATAACTGTAAGTTACTCGTTGTAATGGCAAGCTGAGCCATTTGATTGTAAACAATTTCAGTATTTCCAACTTGTCTTGAAAATTTTGTGGTGCCTTTGCAAGACACGTTACTTGAGTGGCGATCTAGAGTTTTCTCGCAGTTTATTTGGTCTAAAGAAGGGGTAGGATTGGTTGCCGGGAGTTAAATTCTCGAGCGTGGTGTTCCTGACTGAAAATTATTAGAAGCGTTTACATTCGGCCGCGTCAGTGAAGCACAGCTTCATTTTGCCTCGTTTCTCTGAAATCGCAACGTTTAGCAACAACTGAAACAAAAATATTAGTCCTCGCAAAATGAATGGATAAGAATCACTTGACAGGGTTTTCAAGTCAGGCTCTTTTTTCATTTTTTCACGAACATATTACGTACGACACAGCCGAAAATATCGGGACGCCTTTGACTCGGATTTGTGAATTCAGAATTTCAACTTGATGATCAGCGAGCACACCATGTTCCCCTGTGAGTCGTTTAGTTACCGTTAGTAGTACTATAATGTGATAATTGTATAAAGCGGATAATGATTCTATATTTCGAATTTTGCAATGGAGTCGTTCTTTCCATAGAACTGGGAATCAATCAAAATTGAAGAGGAAACGGAAGAAGGGAGGAAGATAGAGTCCATTATAAAAGTTCCTTCCCAGGTATTTGTTGTTGATCGAAGGTTCTTAACGTTGTAAGATTTCTTTAGTTTTAATGGGTGGTGTACCTTTACCCGTAGGTGTCTTCTTATGTTATGTCTTTGCTGTTCAGTCTATGCCAAGAGCTCAACAGAACTGGTGCGCACACCGTACAAAGGTAACGTGGTGGCAATTGTACATACTCATTTGCTAAAGCCGGATGTTCTTTTCCTTGTATTTCCATTAAAGAAAAAAACGTTCGTATTCAAAACCAAACTTCAGAGCTATTGCCGTAGCTCAGTGACAAACTGGCACCCGAGGGTCCATAAAGTGATTCTTTTAATAGATTGGTATGCTCCAGAAACCATACAGTTTTCATCTCCACTATTTAAAAGTAAATTTGAAATTATCGCATTGTTCTTATTTTTAAACGCAAAGTGCAACAAAACCTTAGAAGATGTGCGTGATATTCGACTGTGGACACCACCATCTCGAATCTTGCTTATCAACCTCGCCGCTTACCTGTGACTTAGCAGGGTTATCTAAATCGAAGCATGGTGGTTTTTTTGCTTGTTTGTTTGTTTGTTTGTTTTGTTTTGTTTCTGTTTTTGCGGGAGCAATTGTTTGCGACCACCTCAGCCACGCTGTAATTTTATCGCGTATAAAGAAATGCCTTTACTGTTGTTATTATTATTGTAATTTTTTTTCTCAATGAGTTGGATCTGATAGGGACAGAACAGTTGAACGCTATCCCAGGAAATACTACACACCAGAAATATTTTACTGACTTTTTTTAAGGTTAAAGAAATTATTTTGCTGTCTTAAAGGATTGACAATAGAGCAACCAGTTTGAAAAAGCGCCCTACACGTTAGACATTGTTCAATGAAACTATGGAAGTGAATTTTTTTTCTTTTTTTTTTTTGGCGTTCTTTTATGTATATTGTATTGTGGGGTTTGTTTTTTGTTTTTCTTGGAGAAAGTTATTTGTGTGGATCAAAGGACAATACGCACAATTCGCTCAAATTCAAAGCCGCAAATTTTGAAGTCTCACAGTAGACTGTATCCTTTCAGTTTTCTTGCTACCGTCGTCTCGGATGAAAACGAGTTCTAGCTTGACGACATATGATATTTTACTTTAATGAATACCTGGAACGTTGTTGCCTTTCTAGGACATTGCTCAAAGAGCTGGTGACTAGCCTGGCGCTTGGGGTTCTGTCAACACACGAGAAATTAGTCGAGGAACACAAATCGAGTTTAACTCAAAACCGCGCCCTACAGATACTGTTTGACCTCAGATTCATAGCAACAATCCTCATGGGACGAGCCGAGGATGATGATTCAGAGTTTTCAAAGCGGCTGGAACATGTCATAGACACTTTAGAAAGCTGCATCGATCCGTTTGATCTAGATGTGTTTTCTCCTCACATGACAACAAATGTCAACCGACAGCTTCAAAAATGCGGGGTGAGTGCAAGGCGCAGATAGAATCTTCTCGTGGGGTGTCACAGTTACGAATTTCTGCGCTCCTTACGTGAATTGACGCATTCATGCCGCGAGAAGGACCGTTGAATGAAGTGTCTAATTCTGAAAAAGATTGATTCCTTGATTATCCTTCGGTTTCTTGGGTTTACGCAAACATAGATAAGTGTGAAGTATTCATACAGTGAAATGTAACTTCAGATACTTTCACATGTAAAAGCTAAAAGGGGTAATGAAACGGATAGACGCATGCTGAGAACCCTAACATGGGACCTTCCATGGGTAAATGATTTTTTTTTTGTCCGTCAGATGAAGGGTCACTTCGCCGACACGTCAACTTGCCGACACCTTTAGTGACTTGATGACAACACTGATCAACTCAATACATTCACGGAAGGTAGCTAACCTGTTTGTTCAAATGATATCAATCAGGATGTCGGCGTTTTGACCAATGGTGTCGGCGAGTTGGTGATCGGTGAGTTGACATGTCGGCGAAGTGACTGGGTACCTTACGCTAATGGCTTTAGTTTTGATTGTGCTCCTATGAAAGCACTCGAAGCAGAATTTAGACATTTAGACAGACATTTTCTTGCCCACTCAAGTCAAAACTTCACTTGATGTCGTATTTCGTGAGACAAAATTTTCCTTCATGAATGTTTTGTTTTTAGGTTTTATTTGGCGTCTTATCAAGTCTTGACAAGCACTTTTCTCATTCCTTTGGAGTTACGCAACGTCCTTCCCCAGGCTCCCAAGACCAACACAACGTTATGCCGTTGGCTCCCAATCCACCTCGATTTAACTTGTTGCCCCTCAGTTCCTATTCAAGCGTGGGACCTGCGTACCAAACTGGAGATCACAACGACAGCCACCAAAAGGTATACCTGGAAAAATTGCATATTTGTTTTTCACTTTGTTTGTTTTGTTTGAAACTCAACAAACTGAAATATTGAAACAGACCCAGCAGAACCACTGGGAGGGAAGAAATATCAAAGCTCCCTCTTGATTACATCCAAAGAAAGATTCAAACTAGGAGCGGTGAAAGAGTACAGTGCCGTTATATATTTCTAAAAATGTGGCCTCCAGTCTTCATCACAATTTATGCATCCTTGAATATTCAGTCTTTGTGACGCAGTACACACACACACTATACTTTATTTCATGCAAATCATTTTGCCATCTCCACCCGCAAATAGCAAAAGCTAGACGAGGCAGGCGGAGAGGAAAGGTTACAGCAGTCATAACAGATAATATAATAATTGTAAAGTAACTAAATAAACTATCTGGATAAACAAGCTAAAGTTACAAAATATATAGTCTTACAGAATGATATTACAATCAAAAGCCTGAAATATTTTAAGTTCTTCATTAATTTTAATCTTAACTTTTTTACCCTGTCACTCCCAGAACTGATTAACATGTAACTTTCTTTTCTAACATCCATACGTTATCCAGCCAACAGGTAATGAGAATGCTCAAATTTATCAGGTAGAAGTTGTTATCTTGATCCAACACTAAATTCACTTGACCAATTTACAATAAAGGGGAGAATTAACAATCAGATCTTGATAGCTAAAGATTTGTTGGAATCGCAACCCTTGCGGCCACGGTTCCTTTCCTAAAGAAATATTCTACGAGGTGAAAACTGTCCAAAATATTTAGACTTAGCTGGTAGGCATTTTATTATCTTTATATCCATTCCCGTTCGATAGGAGGCGTACTGCTGTTTTGAGTTGCTCATTTAATAATTTTATTTTTTCTCATATAAAAGCTTGTTTTATTCGTGTATTTAAGTTAAAAAGTTATGGGATGGAAATATACCGCTAAAATTCAAGCGTAATCGTGGCTGGCTTAGTCTTAAGAATTTTCAGTGATAAATTTGACTGTAAAACCATAGCTTTTGTCTTCAGACAATCCTCTTGTACCACTTACTTTTATCTCATTCTTTTTCAGGAGTCGTTAAACCAACATGAAGATTCACAGCAGGTGGTGACTCGCACAGCGTTATTTAAACACTATCAGTTTTTTAACTCAGGCGTGGGTTATGTGAAGGGCTGAAGACAAGACTTTGCCATGTTTGGTAATACTTTTAGAAATTCGACTGTTGAAGTAACAGATGTGGATTCTCGCTTATGTGATGAACACTTTTCCGAAAAATTCAAGATATAAGGAACTGGTTCTGAACAACTACACATGATTTAAAAAGTGTTTATAATATTCGGGGATGTAGCTTTTGTGGTGAAAATAAAATTCTGGGTAAAGGCCCCAGAAAGAGGTTGGTCTAAGGGTTGAAGATATCCAGGATAAAAATCGCAGATTACAGCAGAGATGAACTGATCCAACTTCGTGTCCGTTGTAACTGTAAAGGTCTTGAAAGAAGTTAGGGACATCTGCGGTTCGCGAATACGGAACTCAAATTTAGTTGTGTCTTTTTCCGTACAAAATATTATATTATTTTTGGGTCTAACCTCAATTAGTTGTCATTGTCTTGCTTTATAACTTAGGAACATGTGGCCTCGTTATGGCGCATGTGAAAAGGACATTTACACCGGTCCGTGGCCAAATGCCTTGAGCTTGTGAGTTAGTTTAGTCGGTTCCAATTTGATTTTTTATATTTGCGTCCTATTACATAGATCAAATACTATTCGAATTTTTACTTGGAAAAAAAAACACACCAACACAAAAGAATAATACACAGATAGCCGTTACAATATAACTCATCGTGCGTAGCTGAAACACTTGACATCGGCTAGGAAACTGATTGTGACATCCATTACTTAACAATTTGATTGGGAGGTTGTTGTGGTTTGGTCATGAATCAATCTTCCGCGCTTCATTATTCATTCAAGATTCATTCAGTATTCCACCTGTTTCCGACCTAATGGTTGGGTCAGTCTTTGGTTTGAACTTAACAGTATCAGTTAATTGTAAGCATATATCATTGAACTGCCACGCACCAGACGTACCACGATGATTCTTCATAATTCTAGAAGCAAAACCCCGATGCTATCCCGATAGGAGTTCCTAAATTGTTTACCTCCATCGAAGAGTCGTTAACACACAAAAAAAATTGAAATCTGGCTGACATGTACGTTGATAAAAGATTGAGACTTTTTTTATGACGTCATGTACCATAAGAGACATGCCTCTTTTCAAATATAGTGGCGATATATATTAATCGATGACGAAGTCCAAAACCACCAATTTCGATTAAAAAAGACATTTTCCATTAAATGACCGTCATGACTTGACTGCACGTGAAAAGGACAGTGGCTGGTGACAGCATGCAGTAAAGGAAGTGACCTCATGGTTACCTGACTCGGCACATGTAATGACTTCCTTTTTATGACATTGTAAAACAAGGAGGCTGTGTCATGTAAAACAGAGGACCGGACATTTTATCAAATACACGCTCATTGTAGCGCGAAGCCCGGAAACAAATATTCTTAAACAACGACACAAGGGCCGGCATTGAGTGGGTCTCTAAGACAACAACCTTTTCAGTGTTTTATGTTCAGATTAAAGATTTTCAAACAATGCGGAACGTGGTTGAATGGAAAGAAATGGAAAATTCGGCGATACGTACGTACTAAATAAAGCCGTTAGGTAATTTTTATCGAAAAAGAAAAGCATTGAAAATAGCAACCAGTCACGTAAGCAACTTTCTCAAGACGAAAATGACGACTGTGATAAGTGGCAAATGAAGTCTGATAATGGAAACTGACGACATAAGACAACAGCCGTGCAATTCGTTGTTCATGAATTTCTGTTTCAAGTCGCACTCTAAAAAAATTCATTGAATTCTTTCGGTCATAGTTGCATCCCCCAAATCCATTGAGTGAATGAACCGTCCAAATTAAAAATTTTTGTATTGATTCTCTTGGAGAAATTATCAATGTTTCGTCTGCAATTAACAACCGGATTGTAGCTTTGGGTTCCATTTAAACTTCTGCTGTTCCTTTGATGTTGCCCTGGGAGGGAAGGTGAAAGAGAAGTTACCTTCAAGGCAGGGGCTTCAATGAAAGCTGGTTACCTTTAGTCTACTGTCGCTAATAAGATCTCTTACCGCCGTCTGATTAGCCTCCGAGGCTGTCAGTCGTGTTTTGTTTTCGCCTTACGTTACCTTTTATATCAGCTATTACATCGTACCATTGGCTGCCGCTAATGGAAAAAGTTATTGAAACTCTCACAGGGGTCAGTTGAAGTTGACTATACCAGGATTTCTGTGGTTTGAAGTTGTGGGAACATTGACAAATGTCTAGTGCAAGTAAAATGGAGCGTGGGGTTTTTTTTGTTAAGTTTTGTCCGGTATATCTTTCAGTTATCCATTTGATTGGTTGATTTGTTTTTCAGTACTCTCTCACTTCCCCTGGGCGTTACTTTGAATCAGGAGTACCGACCTGTCGGGCGCGGTTGATCACAATAAAAAAGAAATCAGACCATTTTCAGGGAATAACTGCTTTCGTAAATGCACGTTCTCACCGCTATGGAATCTTCAAACTCGTTAGAGAACTGCTAGAGGAAAGTAATATACGTACAGAGCTTATCATTATGTTGAATGATTTTTACAGACGGCTGGTTTCGCAAGCATGAGGAAAACTTGCGTGCCAAAATGGCAAACCTTCGATTTTCAGAAGGACTTGTCTTTACCCTGTGCTTGGGTAACATGCAGCTCCGTTACTTAAAGCGTTTTTCCTACGAACAGCACTCATTCATTTCAGTTTCAGGCTACTCGAAACACTTCTGCTTCACACGCACTGAGTTGCGTAATGATGCTGAAGAGCATATACTTTTAAATATGCAATGATAAAGGAATGAGATTACTTCTAGTTCAAATGCTGATTCAAAAAATGACAGAGGAGCCTGTGCCTGAAATATTGTCACTAACATTTTTCAGAGAAGAACTTGGTATCGCCCGAATCCATCTCACCTTTGAACAAGCATCACTCACCTTCACTACTCATTACAGACACAAACTCGATTCTCTCAGGCACTGAGTTGTCAGAAAACTTTTCGCTGCCGTGTAAGGACGTCTTTTGAAGCTCCTTTGATTCTTCCTTCAAAATGGAAAATTGTGATGAACAGCAATGGGCAGAAGGAAAGAGAAGAAGTGGTCAATAACTGAAAAAACTATTTGTCTGTTTACAGGGGTGCGGTCATCCGTGACCTGCAAGGAAACTTCCATCATAAGTTTGAATGATCATAAGATCAGAAAATAGAAATCGCTTGACGATCTCATTGGAAGCTAGTCTTTTATTAGCTTCCGCGAATAGACGTTTATATAAGCTAAGTATAAGGAGCCATCAGTTTTCTTAGCAATGAGTGCCCTGATGCAACTGAATTCGTGAATAATATACAAGTTGCGATTACGCGAGTTTCGAACACCTTCTTAGGAGAACTAAATCGAGTTATTTTAAATTTCTCTCTGTCTGAATTTAGCCTAATTTGTAGAATACAGCTCGGCATTATCTGCCAATCAATTTTGTTTAATTTCCCGTGACAGTTGAAGAAGACGGGTGGCTCACTGTGGAAATCTGATTTTTTAGGACTGTTACGGGAATGGATAGCGATTTATTTTCTCTAAAGTGAAAACTATCACAATGTGTAAAACTTATAAATGCCTATAGACAATTGCTGTTTAAATCCTATTTCCACATTTTACATTCTTTATAAAAAAATAACGTCTTGGCCATTTTTAGGTCTATCACCATTACGGTTTTCTTTAGCAAATATCACTCAGTTCGAGAGTTGTCGTCTTTGTTTTCTATCGTCTGTTGCAGTTTGTTACGTAACTGGTAAGATATTTCTTCAAGTTTTGTAGCAGACCTGTATAAAGCTTCTTGGCTTTTATACAGACACGGAGCTGGGTTGACGTCAATACACTTAGAGCTCCGAAGAAATCGCACGTGGAAAGTCCAATATAACAATTGGAAAGAACGTCCTAGATTAATATCACTCGCCAAAAAATGACCTTGGTTCTACATACCACAGGAGATACGATTCAGTAGCAAAGGAAGTTTGGAACTAACGCTTAAGTCACGAATTTCCCTTGCGGGGGTTGTAATTAGAAATACCAGCGCCACGTCAAGATCTTTGCTAATTAAGCTCTATATTCAACGCAGTGCTCATTTTGTCAAGCTTAATAGAAAGTTTGATTATTAATTACCCATTAAGAACAAACTTCTGGGCAGTAGAGTTAGTGTAGTAAATCTACATTACGTAACTGACTGAACGGCTATCTTAGGTCGTAACCGTTAATTTGCATGATACGTGGGCAATACGAACATTATTCATTCCTTTCTGAGTTTTTGTTACAACTTTGGATCGCGAGACATGCTGGAGGTAGAAAACAAAATGAATTAAGTTAAGATGAATTTTCAGAAGTTAATTGCTCGAAACGGTCAACTCGCACCTTCTTGTGAAAAGAGCCTTTATTTATTGTCTAGTGGCGACCCGAGTGGTCCATTAATACCCGTCACAACACTTTTTGTGGATCCAATCAGCTCTGTAAATGAATTCAGAGACTTAGGTTTTCATTTAACTAGATGCAGAGGTACTGCGAAGGCTGAATAAAATTAAAAAGAGCCTTAAGTTTGACAGGATGTTGAATGAAAATTAATTACCCTACTAGTGATGTTAAACTGTGTGTCCAGGTTTTGTTACGAACTCTCCAATTTTGTTAAAACTATATTTCTAGGTCAAGATCACAACAACAATCGCCTTTAGTACTTGAGTTTCATCCTTTTATTATGCAGTGCCGTTGATGGTTTCTGTGGTTTTTTACGAACAATGTGTCGTAAACACGACGGTGAATCACGCCTCCTCCACTTAATTCCGCATACGATTATCGACAAAGCTTTCCATAATAGTAATCTGATAGCAAGAAACATCAAAGCTTACCGCATAAAAGGCGATCGTGCTAAAAGTGGCCATTGCTTGTTCTAAAAACCTCCTTCATTCCCCTATGTAATGTAGCCGATTGCACCTACTCAAGCTATTTTTAGATAATCTTTGATAAAACTTGATGTTTGACAAGACAAAGCTTAAGATGGAAAATTCGAGGAAGAAGTAGCGAAGGCACAGCATTCGCAAAACAAAGTCTTTCTTTACTTTTTGAAACGGCCGCGAGATGAATTGTATATCAGGCAAACTACATTAATTAGTTCTGTTTTGTGTTTCATTCATTTTATGAAATATCTATAATTAAGAGACTCACAATTGGAGACTTCAAGGATAATGTTTTTATTCTCAATGATCTGTGGTCGTGTTCCCCATTCACAGCAGTTTGTATCATGTTTGCTGAAGTTTTTTTGCGGCATTAGATGTAATAGAAGATAATGTTTCGTTTTCAGAGATATCATGCAAACTTTTAAATACAAAAAGAACAAAATTTGATGTTTTAAAAAGAAAATTCTGTGTTCAGCCTCCTATCAGCAATATTTTCCAAGGACACGAGAGCTAAAGCAAAACGCCTGCATGCACCTCCAGGTCTCTCCCCAAGTCGACGGGTCCATGCATGAGACGATATTCTTTATGCATGAGATGACTCAGTCAATATTCAAACTCACAGCCAAACTCGACAGCCTAATAATAGAACTATGAATTTAAATTTGACAGCTCTTTTTCAAGTAAACATTGGAGCTGCATATAATTTGCGTCGGAAACAATGAATATTTAGAACTATGGCCTCGCCGCCTTAGATCATCATGTAAATTATAGTCCAATAGTCTCGCAGACTGCGTGTATGTTTGTATCTCAGATTGATAGATTTGAACCGATGGTTTACAAATGTTCAAAACCCCTTATGTTTAAATCATAACCTTTGTTCAGCCGATCGTATATATGGAAAAAGTCATGTAATGCTCTATGCTGGCAAAAATGACAACAAAATAAAGATAACCAGTTCAAATTTGTTACTCGCGCTACAGATAGTGACGCCCATGACAAAAGAAATTTTTCCTGAGCTGTTTTAGGAGGTCGTAAGGTATTTGGAAATTACAAGTTCGCGGGTGGCCTCATATGCTTAAGACTCAAGATTATTGTTTGCCGTGGTTAGTTCTCTTTCACCTGCTAAAACGAAACACATAGGACTCTCTGCCCTTTGGACATGACTTCTTTCTGAAAAATCTTTGCTTGTGAAAACCAACTAGCGTAGAGCTCTTGCATGACCTGAACAATTGTTATTCTCTTCTTATTTCGCATCGCTTAGCAGATGTGAAGACGCGATCATAAACAATGTTCTTATTTTGCATATTGGGTGTGCTACAGACAAGGTGACAACAATACACGGGAAGATTTTGCATATTAGACTTCCGCTCTGAAGATGCCCTATTTTGCAATGCGACTTTGATGAAGACTATTCGTCCTGTTAGCTGTCCACAAGAATGTAGAGAAAACAGTTGGATATGTTTGTTACGAGTCTTGTTCAACCTGAATCAGGAAATAATATATCAACTCCACGTAAGGGCGTGATGGTCTTTGAAACTCTCCCAATCAACACTGTGACACATATTTGACAAGCGGCGGTTGAAATTGACAAGACGCTGCACCTCCCGCCAACTTCAACCAATCAGAGCACGACAAGAGCCCCACGTGTAGCAGATGTTGCTAATGAGTGGTGCATTATGGCCTGACTTGAGGTCAAAACCAAATGACGTCTATTCCGGCTTTCACTTGAAGCAAAACTAGAACTATCTAGAGGTGGTTCGAACCTCGCAACGTAAACCACGGCACAATTACGGAGTTGCAGCTGACGGCTCTCGGAGCAACTGTTTCCATATGCCGAGCTCACTTCTTGTCGAAATGGACCGCTCCACAAATGGGCAATTAGAGGCAGATCAGAGAGCTCTGCAAATCGCCCTCGAGCTCTCCATGCTCGGTCTAACGAATGACGACGATCAAACTTCGAACGCGTTTGACGATATTCGTAATAAGAAAAGTATGAACATGACGGAGTGTGTTCCTGTACCAAGTTCCGAGCATGTAGCCGAGATAGTTGGAAGACAAGGTACGTTTTGGAGTCGCTAGCTAGTATGTAATCAAATTAGCTGAGTGACTTGCGGAAACCGCGTGTATTTGACGTGTTTTTGTGCTTGGCTGTATTTCAGGTTGCAAAATCAAGGCTTTGCGAGCGAAGACGAACACTTACATCAAAACACCTGTACGTGGTGAAGATCCCGTCTTCGTAGTAACGGGGAGGAAAGAGGATGTAGCTCTGGCCAAACGCGAAATTATTTCAGCTGCAGAGCACTTTTCGCAAATTCGAGCTCAACGAAAGAACAACAGCCTGAATTCACTTGCTCCTGGGCCACCGAGCCCCACCACTCCGGGACAAACTACAATCCACGTTCGAGTACCGTATAGAGTTGTTGGTCTCGTTGTGGGTCCAAAAGGAGCCACGATCAAACGAATTCAGCAGCAAACGAACACATACATCGTAACTCCATCAAGAGACAAGGAGCCTGTGTTTGAAGTCACTGGAATGCCTGACAACGTCGAAAGTGCGCGAAAAGAAATCGACAACCACATTACTACGCGTACCGGCGGTAGAATGGATACAACAGACGATGTTTTCATCAGTGATGGACTACAAGGCTCCTTCAACGATTTCACTCCCAGCTCGATATATTCCAGCGTGTCGTCAAGCTTCTCTGCGTTTAGTGAGAGGAGCAGTTCGCTGGTTTTGCCTCAGCGTACAAGCTCGGATTCATTCTACGGCTACCCCAGCAGCAAGAGTTCTAGCATCAACGATGGCGGATTTAATCCGATCACCAGCCCATTTTCCGCGAATAGTTTCTTCTTCAATGAACTGCCCTCGCCGGACCGCGATGTTGGATCAGAAGGGAGTTCGTCTGGTTCAGGATTTGATCCTGCACCCGCTCCACCGTCGCCGTCCATCTGGGGAAACGTGCAATCTACTCGCTCCATCAACGAGCCGGCAGCATTTACACGTAGCTCCAGTTTAAATAGCCAAGCTATGAACTCGGCAATCGGTCGGCCTGCAAGTCCACATACCACCGCAAGACGCATGAAGAGCGATCCTCTAAATGGGAACTTTTCGCCACTGTCAGCATTTACTCCATTTACCACCCAGGTTACCACATCAAATGTTTCATCCATTCCAGCTACAAGTTCCAATGGAACTGTCAACACAAGCGAAACAAACGGGGTGAGTACCATTGGTTTTAATTCTGCAGAGGAAGCGAATAATAACAACACCACATTAAGCCCGCTCGGTAAAGATCTCAAAAAGAAGGATTGCGTCATTTGTTGTGAAAGCGAAGTTGTGGCAGCTCTCGTCCCGTGCGGCCACAACTTGTTTTGTATGGAGTGTGCCAACCGCATCAAAGATGAGAATAATTCTTGCCCAGTTTGCCAGAAAAATATAGATCAAGTTCTCCGTATATTTTCTTAAGATCTAAGCACGAGTGTGAGCGATATAACGATACTACATTTCGACGAAGTTCAGTGAATTTGAAATCTATGAATTGAAATGTCATGTAATGCTATAAACATTTTGAAGTAATCTATGGAGTGTATTTGAATTAATTCAGAGAGAATTTTTCTCTATGTATATTTAGTTGAAATTTTCAAGGATGCTTTTAATCTATACTTTTGTTAGTGATAACGTTATGTAAAGCTAGATTTTTTGCTAATTTAAGATTAGTACAAATGAGAAAGACTTAAGTTATGTAAAGAAACCACGTTGCTGGGTTAAATTATCTAGAGAAATAAAAACACGCTTGGCCGTGTTTGGAGCCAACTTACCCAAATCTTATATTCAAAAATTAGTTTCTAAGTTTATAAACCGTCATAGCAAAATTATCTGGAATCAGTAAATGAAAGTACATGCTATATATGAAACATAACCGGGTTAGATTCCTCTACCCAGCACAACGCATAGGTATATTTATGTGGACTATTTTATGTCATATTCGATAACTTTTTTGATACAGTCTTCTAAGGAATTCTATGGCCTTAAAATATATGATATTTGTATAAATAGTCATAATTTCTATATAATATTGTGTTGCACCATAGTTCTATTTACTATTTTAATATTGCTGAGAGAACTCGGCCAAGACTATAGTTCTTCTGTATATTTAGTAGCAGCAAATGCTCGCAGATTTTTCTTGGTCGAGAATTGAGAGTTTAAAGTATTTTTATTTTATGGCACACTGATAATACTATATGAATTATACAGAGAATAAAGTGTAAATTTTATTTTTTGCTATTAAAATTGAGTCTATAATGTGTATTCTTGGATCAAATTTAGCTCTAAAATTTAGATGTTACAGTAGTGTGATTAAGAAGCTTTGCGTGCAGTGTTTTAGATATCAGTATCGTTGGCTGCCGGAAGGCTTCTGAAAATTTTTTTTGCATGGTCACGTAGTTGTATTAGATTTGTTTAAATAAAATGGACTGAGAAGTTTTAGAAGAGCTTTGCTGCCATTGATTGCGTTCAAATACCAGGCGTCTCTCATGGATACGCAGGCTAAATTGTTGAAGAAGGAACTACATGTCAAGCTAGTTAAACGACTCCACGATACAATACGCCTTTCGTGGGCCAACATATTCATATTTTACAAAGTTCGACGCAGAAAACGCGTGAAACATATTTTCATCGGGTTAACATAAATTTGAAGTTCTGTTTATCATATCTCGCCTTCCACCCTTTCGTATTTAAATTTTAATGACCTCAGTAAACACACGGAACGTGTCTTGAACTTTGCATGTCATTACGCCCTTAAAGGAAAGATGGATGCATCTTACGTATTTCGTTTCGCCATGCAATACGCATATATTTGGAGATATTGGGGCAAATAGTTCGCAAGCTACTCGCGTGAAAATCTAGAAGGCGGCCCTTTAAAACAGCTGATAGTAATCAAGAGTCTCGCCATCTAGTTTGCCGGAGCAGCAGGAGTAGTTTCCATAGTTTTTAGTTCGAGAGTCTTGCAGGATGTCGTGCGTGAAATTTACGCTTAGCAGTGCTATAGAAACTAGATTTCAAACGGGTTGGGAAAGGTAACTATAGATCTTTTGCAGGACTTGGTGAAACTTCGATTCTCAAGAGTCAAAATTTGCAGAAAAGCTTTAATGTGGATTTTCTTTATTTCAAAGTCCAAGCTTTACACGCTTTGCAAACAAAACGATCGAAGTGGCGCCAATTACGTTGACGTCACACGGAGCTCGCGATTATCATATCAACACCTTATTGGCTGTCGATGACATTAATTATTTACTGTTTACGCTCTCTCGAGTGTATCAGCTGTTTTGCATAAATTGTCCCTCTGGCAAAACTGTGTTTTCCCTGTAATGTTTTGGCAAACTGTCAAGAGCTATTGTGTTAGAGTCTCCCTAGCAAGACCTAATTAAAAACCCTTGCAAACAGTAAAGACCAGCTGCAGCAGTGCCCCAGGTTGCAAACCTCCTTATACACAATCTAGGAAATAAAATTCCTGTTTTATGGTCAGTATGGCAGTTATATGGGAGGTTCTAGCTTATCGCTCAGGCTGGTAAGTGATATTGCCCTCGCAACGAAACACGAACTACGCTGTGAAAACAATCTGGCATTATAAAGTCTATTCGTGTGTATGGATGGATTAACAATTTATCACTTTCAAGCAACAAAGCGAATGCCTCCACGTTTAGAACTATTTGCATAATAATTCAGGAATTAACCAGTACCGTTTAGTCAAGCAATGACTGAGGTTTTTAAACTATTACGAAAGGTCCTACGAGTTAGTAAAGTAATTAAAATATATTTCCGCCGACAGTTAAAAATGGTATCCCAATATCAAAAGTCTTCGCAAATGTTGTACAAGAACAGCCACGGCAAAGCTAGAACGCTTTACAATGAGTTGTGATCTTTCAGCTATGTTCAGTCAAATAATTTCTATAGTACTTAGGCGTCATTGTTTTGACACAAAAGGTGCCTTCTAGAAGTTCTAAATGCAGCTTGCTGTTCAAAACTCAATCAATATACAAAGACTAAGATGTTTTGCCTTATTCCTTGGCAACTCTCGTGAACTTCCTTATAAACACCACTTTAGATCTTCTACTTAAACGATGAATAATTTCCTTTCATTTAAGCCATTATTTCTGCTGCTTTTATGAGTTTCCTGTCCTTAATATTTCTGTCGAAATTCCGTTTAAATAACAAAGAGGAAACTATAGGAATCCGATGTTTGTTCTCTTTATTTAAATAAGGACTATGGCTGTTGCACCTACAGGATTAATTAGGTAGCGGTACCTTTGTGTTGTAAGCCTATTCAGACGATGGAAACTAGCTACAGCCATGAAAAGCAAAATAAAAAGACAAAAAAAAAGATTCTTTTGGGATTACTGATTTTTTTTTGACTAGGTTCTTTGATGTGACGCAGACATTCAGAGGTGCGATGCCGGCTCAATGCGTTGAAACACGCTACAATTCAGTTTTTTTTAACCTTTGAAATAGGGACTGAAAAGGGTATTCAAAAGAACAAAATACACCTACAGAATTTCCTAAGCTTTTTTCGGCAATCAAACGTGATGACTACTCCTCCTCCAAATAAAAACAAGTCACGTCTATTACTTTTCACACAAGTTTTAAAGATGCTCTAAGTGAGTTCTGATCCAGTTATAATTATTATTTTTAAAACTACTTCTTCATCAGTAAACTTGCCATTTCTCTTCAGGGAACGACTAATGTACTTTGTTAACAATATAATACCTTATTACAAAATCAAATATCAATTATGACGATCAAGTTGACGTAATGACATCAGCTTGCTTAGTTGGTGAGAGGAAGTCGGAATCTTTCATATGTTATCATTAAGACCGCAAAAAAAATGTTCTGTAAAAAACTTTTTGTTAGGTTGTTAGATGGATAAGTAGATGGATAAATGAAAAAAATAAGTAAATTTTTATTTAACGAGAGCATCACTTTATAGTGATTCAACTGCGAAACTACTGGAGTGGCCTCGATCCTAAAAACAGCTATATAACAACTTTTGTACAGAGAAACTAAAGGTCTAATTTTAAACGGAATAGGAAATTTCAAAAATAGATTGGGCAGCTAAATGAAATTTATATTGCATTCGGAATAAAATGTTCCACTTCCCTATATCTTAACAAAGAAATGAGCTGTGACAGGCCTTTCAAAAAGTGGCCATAGAATTTGCAAATAAGATTGTTTGAAAAACGATTTGAATACGGCAAAGACAGCATTTACTAAAGTAAAGAAAAGGATTAGTCTTACTAATGACACAGGTACAGAGTTACAGAATCTAGTAACAGAGGCATCAAAAGTTCTTCCTTTCTCAGACCAGCGAGGGCAGAGGAGGTTTCAGTTACGGTGGCGAACAATTCGTATATATAAGTCTGCATTACATGCAAGTAGATCGTACATGCAAACGGGGCAGTTTCCTAGTAAGCGCTAAGGGACCGATGAACATTTTCAATCTTAACTACGTCACATAACGGGAGCCACGCTAATTTCCTGAAAAAATTGAACACGATTTGAGGTGGCTCTTTTGATTGGAATACGAAAATGAAACAAGGCAGCCAAGAGGGTTGATAAGGTTTAAATTATTTTTCAGAATTGTTTGATTATAAACAAGGAATTTATTGCGGTTTGCTAGAAACAAGAGAGACGAAGCCAATATATACGCGGTGCAAACTCAACATCTAAAATAGGTTTCAGTGAATTCTCAAATGTTTGAAGTAGTTCGTACCTAAAATCATGCGGTATTTGGAAAACGTGGACTAAAGATTCAAGACTAATCCCTTCCTCTTTTTCAGTAAATGATGTATTTGTTGTATTCAAATCGTTTTTTTCAAACAATCTTATTTGTAAATTGCGTAAAGATTACAAAAGTTTTAACATGACACACATATTTACCATAAAATACAAAGAATTTGTTTCTGCTATTGACGAAAGTTAGATTATATCGAAGGAGAAATACTTTAGGCTGTACAACACATATTCTTAAACTTGATTAGTTTCATGACACGTATGACACAGAAACCTTTTTTTGGTAGAACGCAATTTTTTTCATATGGAAATTAGGTTCAAGAAGTAATCAAACAACTCACTTTTCAAACCTTTTACTTCAGAAATATTCAATGCACCAAATTTAGGCTCTTTCTTTGAAAGCAACCTTTTCCTCTATCTTTGAGCTGATCTGAAGAATTTGTAGCCACAACTCATAACACCCTGTTGGTCACTTTTTTGAGCACAACTTTAAAAGATTATATGATTTTCCTGAACCCCAGGCTTGGGTTTTTAATATAAAAAGAAATCCTCTTTCCCTGTTAGTTTCTCAGGAAAATTTTGTCGAAAAGTGTTTAATGATGAGCGTGATTTTTGCCCGCTTCTATGTATCCACTTCAGCGAGCATATTTGAAAATATACTTATACGTTTTCGTTTACGTCATTTGTGCGTAAACAGAAGGCAAAACATGCTCTCCATAATCCCGATAATATATGTCTTATCTCAGGGAATGAAAGTTCGCCAATATTCATCTGATCAAACTCCACTTGTACGCAACTAGGATTGGTTTGTTTCGTACTTTTCTCAGACGCCGGTGTCAAAACTGCGGTTGTGTTATTTTACCTTTCAACGTTGTCCGTCTAATTTCAAGCCCGGTGCAGCACAAACTACAAGTGCAAGCTTAGTGCTTGCTTAAACCCAAGAACTCCGCTAAATGCTTGCACTGGATGAAAGGATTGACAAATTAAAGATCCATAGCATTCGGCAGAATTTTCACCATTAAATAAAACTTCAACAGTGTTAAAACCTTACACAGCGATGCACAGTCAAGAACTTTCATGTTCATTAAATGAATCCAACATAATTGAGCCCCAATGAAAATAAACAGTAAGGTTTTTCTTAAGATTTTTCTTCTTTAGGCTTTGTTTTTCTATTGTGAAGTAACACTTGCGAGTCAAAATTTTCACCAGACGATGTACCAAGATAAAATAATGGTCCCATTATTTTCTCTCATAGGTACCTATTAGTTGAGTGGGACGGGCCGGACGGGAAAATATTTAGCTCTCGGTCATGACGTACAGACCGAGCGAGGCGAGGTCCCCGTATGCGTCATGACCGGGAGCCAAATATTTCCCGTAAGGCCCGACCAAACTCTCTCAATAAGATTTTATCACACGTTCACTAAGAGTTGAAAATTTTGAACTTTCTTTTTTGAACCTAAATAGGACGTACTTGCAAAGTAAAGACGGGCGTACACTGGCAACCCATAAAAGATTCTACAGAAATCGAAAAACTTTTCCTTTTTTTTCTTCGAGTCAAAGCAGGAAACTCGTGATTCATCGAAAAACGCGAATCATTTTTCCATTTGTTTTGTTTTAAGTAGAATCCCACAATTTCACCTCACGTTCTCGGAAATTGCTAAAGAGCCGCGTGAGTGCAGGGCCGGACGGCTT